CAGGGGAGACAGGAGACACAATCAACCCAATGGGACACAGGGGACACAACGGGACACCGGGTACGCAGGGGTCACAAGGGACACAGGGGACTCTAGGGACTCAGGGGATACAAAGGAACACAGTGGACACAGGGATGACAAGGGACACAGGGGACACAAAGGTACAAAAGGGACATAGGGAACACTAGGGACACAGGGGACACAAGGGACACAGGGGGAAACACTCGCTACAGGAGACTCAGGGCACACAAGGGACACAGGAGACATAAGGGACACAGGGGAGTTAGGGGACACTGGGGACTTATGGGACATAGGAGACACAAGGGACGCAGCCGACACAAAGGGGACACAAGGGACACAAGAGGACACATGGGACACAGGGGACATAGGGGACATAGGGGACACACGGGTCACAAGGGAGATTAGTTGACCCAAGGCACACAGGGAACACAAGGGACACATAAGACACAAGGGTCACAGGAGACACAACAAACAAAGGGGACCCAGGGGACACAAGAGACACGATGGAGATAGGGGACACAGGGGAGAGTAGGGACCCATGGGACACAGGGGTCTCTTGGGGACACAAGGGACACAATGGAACACATGAGACACAAGGGGACACAAGGGATATAAGGGACACAGGGGACAGAAAGGACACAGGGTCTCCATGGGACACAAGGAACACAGGAGACACAAGGGACACAGGGGACACAAAGGCACACATGGGACGCAGGTGACACGAGGGACACAGGAGACACAAGGGACACAAAGAGACATAGGGGACTCACTGGACAGAAGGAACACAAGGGACACGGGACATAAGGGAGACAGGGGACACAACGGACACAGGGGACACAGGAGGATACAAGAGACACAAGAGACACAGGGGAGACAAAGGTACACAGGGGACACAAGGGGACACGAGGGACAGAAGAAGACATAGGGAACATAAGGGATACTGAGGACACAAAGGGATACAAAGGAAACAGGGGACAGAAAGAGACACAGAGGACACAGGGGACACAAAGGGACACAAGGGACACAGGGGGCACAGGGAACACCTCACGGGTACCGTAAACTTCCGATTGTGAGCCCTGGGCCAGGAGCCCTTCAAATGCCCGGGCTTATACAACTTCGTAAGGGCTTTAGGAGGGCTTATAAACTAGGGGCTTATATATAACAGGTAGGTGGAGAGTAGCAATAAGAACCGAAACACAGCCATCATGGATCTCAATTCGCATTGTATTTGACGGTCGCAGCTTCTTCTCTCATTGGGGAGCTTTAGCATCGACGACGGCAACTGCAGCGAAAACGTCAGTTTTAAAATGAATTCCCGTTTTTCAATCTTCGTCGCGTTTATTCCAATTTGCTGAAAATGGCAAGTGTAGGCGAATTTCCCTGGAGTTGATTTCTTGAGGACTGCAGTCAAGTTTAGAGAGAGAAAAAGAGATTCGTCGTCGCTTGTTTACGTCCTCCATAAAACTTGCAATTAGGCATTTTCAAGTCGTAGTCGTGCAAGGACGGAAAAGAAATGTACAAAAAAGCGTGATGCACGTGCCAAGTTGTTGTTTTGCGTAATAAACCTATTGCTTTTTTGACGTCCTCTTTGCCGTCGCCGTCGTCGTTGCTAAAGCTCCCTAAAGAATGTGGGTGCGGCGATCTTAAAGGGAGTTAACGAGCAGTCGCGGATGTGGGAAGCACGTGTTTCTAGGCGTCCAAACTAAAAACACATCAACGTCCTCGATGCGACTTCTCTTAACCCCCTAGCGGCTGAAGCCTGCGTAGCAAGCGCAGGTCAGTTTGTTGCTTAGTTTTACTCTTTTTCTCCCCTAGAGGGCGCGCGTGTCCTCGAATTTTCTCCCTTCGCCCTTACAAAACTTGTACCTTCTGTGCAGCCTACACCGACTGTGACGTCAGAGGCTTTTCTGTCTGTCCTATATTAAATTACTCACCGAGTCCCGCACATCTTATACGATAAATCACGCTTCACATGCATAACTGGTTTCGCGGATTACGTTCCTATTTTCGGAACTTTTACGCTTCACGCGACTCACGCACTAAATTTGGGCCTAATCACGTGTCACGCATAAACCCTTTGCTACCCTCTAGGAGCGTACAAGTGAAGGTAAGTGCATGCAAGTGAAGGTAAGTGCATATAAGTGAATGTAAGTGCATGCAAGTGAATGTAGGTGTATGCAAGTGAATGTAGATGCATACAAGTGAAGGTAAGTGCATGCAGGTGAAGGTGAGAGTGCATATACAGGTGAAAGAAGTGCAGGTAAGTGCATATAAGTGAATGTAAGTGTATGCAAGTGAAGGTGAGTGCATACAAGTGAATGTAAGTGCATGCAAGTGAAGGTAAGTGAATACAAGTGAATGTAGGTGCATGAAAGTGAATGTAAGTGCATGCAAGTGAAGGTGAGAGTGCATATACAGGTGAAAGAAGTGCAGGTAAGTGCATATAAGTGAATGCAAGTGTATGCAAGTGAAGGTAAGTGCATGCAAGTGAAGGTAAGTGAATACAAGTGAATGTAGGTACATGCAAGTGAATGTAAGTGCATGTAGGTGAAGGTGAGAGTGCATATACAGGTGAAAGAAGTGCAGGTAAGTGCATATAAGTGAATCTCAGTGCTTGCAAGTGAGGATAAGTGCACAGGTGAGTATATAGTTTAATGATATCAGAAACTTCTGACAGAAGCATACATATGTTTCTGGTTTCTGATAATATCATATTGAACAATTTTTGGATGAGGTTTTTTTGATATCCAGATTAATCAAGGACGAGCTAGAGATTATCAGCCGAAGCCGAAGGCTACTGATAATGAACTGAACTGATACTAGGGCCATTTATACGAGGAAAAATAAGACGCGTCTTACTAAGACGCTCTTAAATAAGACGCGAACTTTCCGTATAAACGGCACATTTCGTCTAAAATACGACGCGGCCTAGCTAAGACGCGTCTTGTTAGATAAGACATGCTCGTATAAATGGTACAGTTCGCGTCTTATTTTTCCTCGTATAAATGGCCCTACTGATTTATTCCTAAACGTGTAAAAATACCTCAGTTTTTTTCTCTTTCACGGCGTAGTCAGCAAACAGCTCCTTTGCCACCTTCATCGACCTTTCTGTGTTTTGTGAGTCCTTGTCTTCAACCATTTTTTCGATGTCTTGCTCGGACAACGAAGCAAAGCTGGAAGTCATGTTTTTGCTTACTGACGGCAAGCAGCACAAAGCGCGCGAACTTGACGTGATTACCCTTAGAAATCATGCACCGCGGTCATACATGACATGATTAGAAAGAAAAAACATCAACAAAGTCGGTTCTTTTTCGGCGTTATTTTTTATGTTTACACTAACGTGGATAACAGAGAAAGAGCTATAACGAGTTTATTGAAAACAAAGGAGACGAATTTTGTAGGAAGTAAAACATAGAAATTCAAAGCGACGGTGAGAAAATTAGAAATGCTAGCGGCCAGCAAGGTGAAAATGAGCGGCAGTGAAAAATACAAGCGAACATGAACACAGGAAACGAAATATTGGGTAAGCACATACGAGGATTCCTCCATAAAAATAATGTGTAACTAGGAAGTTTGACGTTTTAGTCGTACAAAACAGCGTTGTAGTCGTTCAAAACAACGGCCAGGGAAAGACAAAAAAGCATCCTACACGTGCAAATTTGTTTTTTGCTAATCAGAAGAAAAAGTGTGCTGCACGTGCAATTTGTGTTTTTGCTAATAGATATATTAGTCTTGAAGCCATTTTCGTTGCCGTCCCCGTTTAGCACAGTTACACGATTAAAGTTTTTTTTGTTTACATGTATTATTAACCAGAGCTTCGCTTTTAGCCCTGGCTAAATCTATATATTAATAGAAAATAATTTTCTATTGCCAGAACTGCCGGAAGTTCCGACAGGGATATAATCACACATGAGGGATGCTTTCAGAAGTTTTCAAGAACTTTTCGGCATTTCTTTGATTTATCTAAGGAGAAGAGAACAACTACTAGTGAAAACAAAACAAACAAACAAACAAAAAAACAACTGAAAATGTAGTTATGATAAATGGACGCTCCCATGGTGGTTACTAGAAGAGATGTTGTGCTTGGCGCAAACAAGAAAGTATTTCTGATGTAGCGGGCGTGACAGCCGGCGTGACATAAATGGCCTTGTAGTCTATTTAGTCTATTGGGTCAACTGACAGAAAATCTGTCATCTTGACCCTTCAGAAATATAACATCTCATGAAATTAATAATAACAAACGGGATCTATAAGAAGGACTCCGGTTTACAATGCCCTTTGACAACCCACCAAAAGATACAATTATGCCTCACCCTTTCAAAGAACACGAAAGCAGAAGAAATTTAGCGTATGTTTTCGATTATCAACGCGGGCCTTTTAAAAACCCCTATCAAGAGGGTGCATTGCCAAATAAATAAAATTTGTAACTAACCATTTCCATCGTGTCCTTGTAGTAGTCAGGCCAGTAAAACCGCTCTTTGATTTTTCGAAGAGTATGATCGCGGCCGGCGTGTCCACTGAGTGGCACTCTTCGAAGACCCTCGCTTTCTTTTCCTCGGTGATAACAAGTCGTCGAAGCGCTGTGCCATCCTTCTCCTTGGCCACGTCGAACAAGGACTCTAATTTTGAGTGATACTCGGACTTTTTGGCAAATTTTCGCAGAGTCGTTTTGTCTTGCTTTATAAAGCCTTCCGGATAAACCTTCTTTTTAAGATACTGGAAAAGATTTTTTATATTTAGCGGAACCCATCTCTAAAACGTTTTCGATTTTCCCGCGAAATCCAGAATTTTTTTGGAGGGGATGACCAAAACACTAGGGACTTGGGCATCCCGGAAGGGTACCGGGGGATGCCCAAAACGCTGCAGATAATATGAGACGGAGATGCCGCAAACGCTAGGGATTTGGGAATGGGGATGACACCGGCCTGAGTTCGTCCCGGTCTTGGTCCTGGTGTCATGCAATTACCCCCTAAGATTGGCTCTAGTTCGTCCAGTTCTAACATGGCGGACATGGCGGATGGCGGATGAATTTGTTACTCAAGGTTTTCACATTATCGCTATCACGATACATGGTTATAAGAATCAATAATGAATGATTTAGATGACAACGGCGTAGATGCCGATCCCTCATCAACGTGGATTTTGTTACAGATTGGAGATTCAGGTGAAGATTTTGCGGTATTGAGTTGTGCTCTTGGCATATCGGCGGGAGAAAGCGCCAAGTGAGATAGCGACTGACTAGAATTCAGGACAAAAGTAGTTGGGAAGTTTGTACAACTTAACAGTAGTTCATTTTAACCCTCAAAAAAGAGAATTTTCTCCTTTGCTAAATATCCCCCGTCCCCCAAATTCAATGTTGGGATATAACAGAAATGAGAACAATTGCACACACAAACATTTACGTTTTGCTCCACATTGGGGCAGATGCGGGGGAAAGAAGGAAAAAAAAGTAAGTAAAAAGTAGCAGCCTTCCCAACACTTTTGATGTTGATTATGGTTTATTTAAGCTTATTTCATGAGAAAATTTTGGATGGATCTTTTGTTTCCAAGAAGGGAATGGGCAGGAAGAGATAAAGAATGAAGGCATTGATGGTTTAATTAATTCAGTATAACTTTTACAAGTGTATATAAACCAACTCTCCCGGATTATCCAGGCGTCTCCTGAATATGGCACCGATCTTCCACTCTCCCGTATGGGTTACCCATCTTTTGAGCTAATCTCTGTGCTTCAGTTTGAGATTTAGTCCATTTTTTCCTCAAAATTTGAATTCTTTTTTATTTTTGTAGCACGGCTTCTGGGGCATTTTTGCGCATATTTAGTCACTGACAAAGATTATTTTGGCATTAAATTAATGGTCGTGTATTTGTATAGTATGTAATTCATGAAAGACTTCAGATATTGTCCTGAGCCATTCCCACTTGGGACTGGGTCAATTTGTCGCGAGGGGGGTCCTTTGAAATTCGGGGGGTGGGGTTAAAGGAGAGAGTCTACAGATTTTAGATCTCCAGAGGTTAGCATCTCTGCAAGTGTAATTGACAAGTGTTGCTATCATATTTGTATGGGTAATAGCATGATTTGTAATGATATTTGGTATAAATTTGGCATATTGTTATATGTAATTTTATGAGCTGTTAGGCGAGTGAAATTTGAGACAATTTTGAAGTATCACTAGTGGTATTTATGCCAAATATCACGTACAAATCATGCTATTATTTGTTTATACTACTACCTGCAAAAGGTTTGTAATTTTCACATGTAGGTATTTTAAATTAAGCTGAAATACCACTGCTCTAAGCTAATCAAATTGCAGAAATTTCTCATGTAGTAGTATAAGGAACATAAAACAATGACTGAATCTTTGCTGATGTCACTGTTTACATTTTTGCTCACTAGCATATGACTTAACTCACAGAAGCCACGGCCATAAATACAAACTAAAAAATTCAAAAGTTTAAAGAATCGATTAAGTTAAACAATTTGTGCAATTTTCAGCTCTTTGCAGGCAATATTGAAGGAAATATCAGCCATCAAAAACTGCGAAATTGCTAGGTGGCAAAAAAGTTGAAAGGAGATTTCTCTGGCACCATTCGGTATATTGGGCTCAAATTTTTAGAGATAACTGAAATTCTTATGCTCTTCCAGTATTCAGAGGTTTTATTTTATTAACTTCATAAGATAATAGTAAGAATGTGTTAATGAGGCAAAAAATGTAAACAAAGATGCACCTATAGCCACCCTTGTAATTAGAGGAAAAGAGTGAATCCAAACACTTGAAAAAGCTTTAGAAGAATGTAATACCTTTCCTTCTCGAGTCACAACCTAATATAAATCTGTATTTCCAGTGCTGGAAGTTAAGTGTTCAAATGCAGCAAGGCTGTCATTAAGGGATGGGGCCGGGGATTCCCCCAGCTACTGTGAGCACGATCCTGGGCTGCTTTCATAGGAAACAAAATGAAATCTAAAGGACCTCCAAATTGTTCAATTCCCTGCCCACTTAATGCATATATACTTGGCAACTTGAAATCCTAGCGACAGCTCTGTGGAGTCTCTGTCTCAGATGAATCAGCAGGAGACAAATTTTGGCCCATAATTCATTTATTAATGACCACCAGACCTACCTGAATTATCCATCTCAGAGGGACAATTCATCTTTAGTATAGAGTGCTTCCTAAGCTAATAAAGTTATTTTATTGGTTTTACACTTACAGCCTTTCCAACTGGAGGATTTTCTCACAGTTTTGGTTTTGAATCAGCCACCAAACATGGCTTTGTGACCGATTTCAGTAAGTGTTTAACTTAATACAATCAAACCTGTATTAAGCGGAACTGTATTAAGTGGTCACCCTCTATTAAGCGGTCACTTACCAAAGTTCCAGAAATCATTTTTCCTAATTTTCAAGTTATTTTTTTATTGTCTTTACCTCCATTAACCCTTTAAGCCCTGAGAGTGATCAGCATCAAATTTCTCCTTGTGATATCAATGCTTTGTAAAACAGAGTGGTTATGAGAATTACAGACATGATCACACAAGATGAATTTCCTTGATATCTTATCAACTTCTCTCCACTACTTCGGTAGGAAATGAATAGGGGCAACAAATGAGAATTCAAATTTTGATCTCAGGGTTTAAAGGGTTAAATGGTCACTTTCAGTTTCAGATCCAGGGGAGAGCCCCCCTTATTTTTAGACCAAACTGGGGCCCAAAAGGCTAAAAAAATTTTTTCGGAGTCTGCCCCCCTGCTCTTATTTTAGGGTCTGGTTGACCATCCCCCCCCCCCCACCCCTTATATCAAGGTCTGGATCCAGCTCTGACTTTGACGAGATGCACCTTACTGGTGCAGCAGACATAGTGTGCATATCCTTTAATAGTGGTCTTTTATTCCTTTCTTTTGACACAATAAGAGGTATCTCTAAACACTTTCAAGTCAATTTGTTGTGCTGTTGATAGTTATTTTGCTCTTTCACCATTTTCATTTACTGGAATAACTCTTAGGCTCATCAAACATGTATTAAACAGTCAATCTGTATTAAGTGATCAGTACATCATTTTTGTTTAATGATAATATATAGTAGCATCATTGTTTTCTTATAAAGCTGAAAGACAGAAGGAATAAAACAATAAAGGGAAATGTTGAACTTAGGACATATTCTAGCGAGATATTGTTGGGTCAAGTCTCTTTGCTTGTCTATTTATACCAGGTAACATAACGTTGGGGCAAATATTTCCTAGTGACAAGTTTTACAAAGTCCAGTTTCTACAGCATTTGCCAATGCGGGAACATATTGTTGGGAGGGAACCGTTAGCTAGTCGTAGATAACATCCAGCCTGGGTGCTGTGTTTAAGCATCAGAAGAACAGCTTAAAACATTTTCTCATGGGTGCAGGCTTTGTAATGTCCATTTTATCCTTTTGCAGGTGCCTTTAGAGTTTTTGTTTTGTCTTGCCTTCAAAATGCAGGTATAAAAATCTTTACCATAACTTAAGCCCAGATATTGTCAAATAGGTTTGTTTATATATTTTATATATTTTTCTTTTAATAAACCTTGTTTTTAACATTTTTTTTTCAGCTTTTATCTGGAACCCCATGACTACCAGATTAATTATTTTAAAATATTGATTTAGTTGTCAGTATGGAATTTTTTGGGCTGAGTCACAGACATCTCTCCTGCGAAACGTCCCTGGTAGAGTGTAGTAAGGAGAGATGTTTGTATTCACAGGCTAGGTGAGAGTAGGCTACAACTGATTCAGAGTGATGTCTCTTTCAGCTTCATTTAGCCTTCCCTTTGTGAATGAGTCACATAAAGAATGTCATAACGAGGAGAGAATCATAGAGCTTGATGGGATCATTCAAGCATATCTCAGCAACCATGTGGCTAACAGGGCAAGCATCAGGCAGGTCATAATGATTTAAATTTGTTATTGTATCAGTTGTTTTGGAATGCATTTAAAGAGCCACTAGTGGGCCACTAGCTTATCAGTTTTTCATGCAGCTTTCAGTGTTACCCGTCTAAATTAAGTCTCGATCCACTCATTAAACTAGATAATGTAGTATGTTTGATGGGCAGATTGAGGAAGTTAATTTGTGCATTCTTTTATAAACAGTACAGATGATTACTTCTTTGGAAATATGGAGTGTCGATTAGTTTGACTGGTGTCATTCAAATTAAAGTTCAAGTGAAAAATGTGTACCTGTCAGCTTCAGTCCCTTTGAATTCAAATTCGATTTCCTTTGCAATCCTCCAGTTATAGCTTCATTGGAAATTTTGAGTGTTGATTGGTTGATTTAGCTGGTATCAAGGAAATTAAAATTCAAGTGCAAAATATGCACCTGTCAGCTCCAGTAGCTTGGAATTCAAAGTCATATTTCTATGATTTCCAAAACATTTTTGTGGTTTGAACCAGGACACTGGTTTTAATAAATATTTTTCCAAGTGTCAAAATCACAAAGCTTCTTCCCATGGACATAAACAGTTGAGTTTTGTGCGGGGTAGTTGAGGACTATTAAATTTATATAATACTTTTATATACAGGGAGTGTCTTTGCTTGGTACAGCTTGCAAGACATTTGAAAATGAAGAAATGAAGAGCATGGAGGTGAGTTACAAATTGAAGGGGTACATGGGAAAGAAACCTTTAAGACGGAATCCATTAGGAAATTGAGTAATTTTACTTTCCAGTTGACGAAAACCTTGTACCAGAATAATTTCACGCATACTGTAATACTGGATCCTTTTTTACACTTTTTGAGGGCTATAAATGTAATAAGTTATAAGAAATAACTCTAAAGTTCTTATGGGAGTCGTAGAAAACAAACTTCGAAAGCTTCAAATTTCACAAAATGAATTCTTACACATTACAAGTTTTACCTGTGTTTTCTCAATTCCTGTGAAGTTGAAATTTATTTTCTCTCAGACTGCCATAAATATGGTTTTTCCCCACTGAACATTAAAATTACTCAATTTCCTGTTGGATTCCATGTTAATAACTGTAGGTAAACTACCAAATTCCCTTTTGAAATTGCCTAGAGCCCATTGTGGTTAGTAGCGAGTTTCCATTGTATTTCAGTGCTGGAATCCTCAAATAAAGCTGCTAGTTTTAACCCTGTAAAATTCATCAAAATTTTGCAAATTTCGTTTTGTAATAAACTGAAAAAAAGCACTGTGTGAAAGTGCTCCTTAGGCCCAGTTCATTTGTCAAACTCTTCATCACTTAACTTAATAACTTTTTGGGTCAACCCAAATGATACAAGTTCAACAGTTGATGCAGACGTCAAACTTAATTTGTCAAACTCAATTTATTTTTACAGTTTGCAATGATCTGAAATGTTTACCAATGAAAATAAACTACAGTTATTTATGCATTAGGTTTAGCACATGAAAAGCAAACCAAGTCGAAATTTCCATGTGGGCCACTTGAACTTAATTCATGGGTCGATCAAAATTGGATATGTTGGACTTAATTGATTCAAGCGTTGATCTCTTCGTGTACTTAATTGTAGGGATTGGGTTTGGTACATGAAAATATTGACATTTGAACTGGGCAGAGTTTTGTCCATGCAATCAAAAGTGAGAAACCAGTGGCAGATCAAGGGGGTGGGTCTGGGGGTCCGGGGGTCCAGACCCCCCCATCCGAACTGATGCTTGTTTGAGCAGTATTCTTTTAGCAAAGCAGTATTTTCCGTACCAACGGTGACTTGCGTTCACAGATTGAGAAACATGTGTTTGTCTCTGTGAGAAGTAATTTTTAAAAAGTTCAACATTTCTTTCTGAACCAAAGTTTGGACCCCTTGCAGATTGCTTCTCTTGCCACTTGAAATGGAGAGCTTGCTTGTAGGCTACCTTTACCTATAAAAAGAAAAGGACAACAACACACCACCTACATGAAAGAAGATTTTAAATTCAGATTTAGCAAGTGAAACAATCTAATTCACACGGTCTAACATGATTCCTCCTCTTGTTTGACTGAGTTTCATTTTTTACACTTTTCCCAGATCAAACTTGAAAACAAGCACCTGCATGGACATTTTGCTGTAATGTTTGGCTTCATATGTGGTCTGCTGAAGCTGTCACTCATTAAAACCCAACAACTTTTTCTTTTTTCTACTCTGCGTACAGTGATTGCCAGTGCTGTCAGACTTGGTAATGTTGGCCCTTTACAGGTGAGGTGAACCCAACACTGATGTATTTTGCTTTCTTTTAGAACTTGTTAATTCACTTAATGATATTGCTAAATCCGCTAGCAGCGGGCAAAGTGAAGCAAAACTTGTTTTAATTGGCTGCCTGAGATGAGATGAACCCAACTTGCCCGATTGGGTTTTCCTGCATTGGTTCAGCAAGAAAACTTCTTTTTTGGCCATAAAATAAATCTTTTATTGACCAAGATGGCTAGATATTGGCCTTGGCCAGCCATGAAGGCTAGTTAGTTATATCCGCTGAACTTGGAAAGTTTATGGTGTTCAGCACTTCAATTTTGTCCAAAAATATGTTTTTCCTTTCACTTTAAACCAGAAAATATTTACCAGGGTCTTCTCAGTCCCCCTTTTTGCAGTAAGCTCAAAATGCTTCTCACACATAACTAGGAGCCATGCCAAGCCGACAATCAACACCACAAGTCATTACGCGTAGTATTACAGCACAAAAAGGCGAATGAACGGCTGACAAGAAACTATTACTAATTACAATAGCAACAGAACTACAGCACTACTTTAAATGCTAAAACAGCCCCCAAAACACATGAAGGGTAGGTGGGCGTGGCGGGTCAGGCAACGGGGGATGGCAACAAATTCAACTTGCAGCAGCTGCATCTGGCAAGAGACCTACTTTCGCTTGATAAAAATCTACTTACACAATACTGTTGGCCATTATAAATGTTTCTACGACTTGCTGATCATTTTTGTACTTCAAGTAACATAAAGGCACACCCCATTAAAACGAAAACTGTATCTTCTGATGTTTAAAGCAAAGCAACTAATATGTAGTTTGTCGTCCGTGAGAATAACTAGACAATTCTACAATTTTTTCAGCATATTAGCACTGTAATATTTGTAAGTAGTTTTTATCAGCAAGTAAACGTGCCATATTAGACATTAGACTGATATTTTTATGCCTTCGGGTATGGATAGACGAACATGTTTGCCATGTATTTTTAAAGTTGACCGTGATTTCCCTGGTATCGTAATCAGGGCAGATCTAGGTAAGCCAGGCCCCTACCTTAAATTTATGCCAAACTGAGGCCCGCCGTGCCAAGAAAAATTATTTTCGAGGCCAGGCCTCCTTTTATCCCAGGGACTGAATAAGCAGGTCCCTCACTTAATTAAAGATTTGGAAATTTAAGATATTTTCCAAGTCAATACGTTCGATACTGCTAAGTTTATGTTTCGCTACCACAATGATTTGCTGCCTCCACTCTTCCTCAATCTGTTCATCACTAACAGTCAAGTCCATATATAGATATGACACAAGAACAGCCGGTAATTATCGAGTTCATTCCTGTCGTACGAACATCAAGAAATTCACAATTCTTTACTGAGGACCAAGAATCTGAAACTGTCTTCCCGCATTTATTACAAACTCGTTAAGCTTTTCTTTCTTTAAAAGCTAAGTGCTAGAGTTTTTATTAAAATAGTTACTGAAAAAGTTGAGCCACACTCCTTTGCAGCCCTTTTTTCTTACAATATTGTGATGTAGAGGCGGCCAGCCTGGTGGTTTCTTGAGGTTTCCTCGCCTAACAACTTGCTGTATCCTTTAAAATTTATTCTGAAACAAAGGCTAATGAATGATTATGACGATGAAAAAAGATCTGAATTCGCAACTGGTAATGTCTTCACAGTTCTATCCGGTAACCTAGCCGTTTCTTTGAAGTAAGCGGTTATTTATCCGTAGCTATCCGTACCTACGTCTACAAGTAGGTCCGTCAGACCTGTCCCCTTACTTTGAGTTTCATTTCAGATTCCTATTATCTTTCTTGATGCTCTACCGCCGCAGGATAGGTTTAGCTAATACAGCCCTTGGCTCGCAGAGCGGGACGTCGTGAGTTGGATCCCTGAGGCGGGACCATTACTTACGATGTTAACCGAGAAAGACGGTACTGCATTTTCCCTGAAAACGGCGTGGCTTTCGTGTGGATGACCGCGGATAAATGATCGTGTGCCCAACAGGCGACGTAGAAAACCATGTCCTCAATTAGGGCTTGTGATAAATACATTGACACTCACATAATGTTCGTGTTGATTAGGCTGTAAAGTTCACTCTTCATCGGATTCGCTCTCATCAGAACTCGAGACAAAACTGTATGCGAAAGTGGGATTTTCCTTGAGGAACTCTTCAATTTCGTCGATAATTCTATATTGCAAGTGAAGAAACTTCAGCTCAACATCAAGCTCCGTCATGCATTCTTGGTACTTTTCTGATGTTGTGAAGGATTTTTCGAGGAATTTGATGATCTCTATAACTTTCTGGTGTTGGAGAAGAGAATTCGGAACGGGAAGTGGCTGCCCATAAATCTCGTCTGACAGAACAAGATACTTAAGAATCTCTGACATCAAGATTGGGTGCGTTTTCGAATTTTCCATCAAATCCATTAAGTTTTTTTCACTTGGAAGTTTGCTTGGTGGATCAAGCTTTGCCATCATTTGGGCATTCAGTGACTCAAGCCACACGTTGATAACGTAGAATGGTTTGTAGGTGAACATGAAGTTCACGGGAAAGTCTGACGTCGTCTCAAATGTTCTTGATTCTAAATCCGGTCCCTCGGCCATGTGCTCATCAAAAATGGAAAAACCATTTTCCAGTGAGACTCTCCGGCTGTGATCATCCATTTGTTGAAGAGTGTTGCATCCAGTGATGAAGTAGTGCTGGCAGTACTTGTTCTTCACGCAGGTTCTCAGTTCTTCCATCAAGTCTTTCACCCGGTCGCCAATCGTTCCATTGGTCCACTGGTCAGTAGGTACAGTTTCAAGAGCCCAGAGGAAAATCGTTTTGGCTGTGTAGGTAGTTATCACAGATTCTAACTTGATATATCTTGAAAACAGGTACTTGAAAATGAGGTAGCACATCTTCTGTTCTTCGGTGATTGAGGTCATCAGTGTCCTTTCCGCCAATGAAAATGAATACCTCCACTGGGTATTTGGGGTTACGCTGTTTGTTAGAAACTCGTTTCCCATCTCACGTTTGCTCGATGTTCCTGCACAATTCCCTGACGTGTCACTCTTGGGGACATCGTGGCATCCATCCATCACGGCGTCGGGGTTAATATTCGTCTGGCTCTCTAGCGCAGCACTTTTTTTCGCGGCCTCTTCTGCGTTTACGTTGTGACTCGATGTTTCTGAATCTTTTCCCGATGCTTCAAATTTTGGCACAACATGACATCCATCTTGCATCACCTTGTCTATGAGCTTCTGTGATGGCCATCCAGATGGTCTGTCTCGACTTGGCCATTCCTTAGCGCAGCTGGGCCATTCCTTGCAAGGCACTGACAAGCTGACATCCTCAGTGAGATAAAGATGCGTTCCTTTCTTACCCAAGTCACTCATGCACATGACAACATGAACCGCTGGACCAGCTTGTCCCACGTACTGAAGGTAGTCATTTAGGGATATGCAGTCTTCAGCATCGAATACATTGCCGTTCTTATGATGATGCTGAATTCTATAGACATTCATTATAGCTGTTATGATTGTAAGTATGTTGTACATTTGTTCAATGAGCAGCTCTGAAGACAAAAGCTTGAGGCCGCGATCATGTACACACAGATTCTCCAGACCAATTATTCCCTCCACATTGGCAGGAGTTGATAGGTCAACACGTCCAGATGACACAGAAGGAATAATTTTCAGCTGTAATGGCATGTCCGGGGAGTCATGATGAATATTTTGCTGGGTATTCTCACTCGCTGTTATATTTGTAAAACAGAGGTTGTAATCACATTCAAAGGAAAGACCAACGTCTCTCATGATGTCTTCTTCAGAGTCTACAGGCTGTCTAATGGGTTGTATGATTGGTACATCTTCTGGCATGCTGCCCACGCGTTCAGCAACAAACCTCTGATTCGCTAAGAAGCAGTTATCCAAATCAAGCATTCCGCTGTGCTGCAGAAGCTTTTGTGTTGTTCCAGGCAGAAGTTGCTTCACTACGCTCTGTAGGTTTGTTTTGGCATGTCCAAAGCAAATCTTCTTGACGACGGTTGCCATCGTGTAGACGTTAAAATTCCAAGCACTGTAAGGGACACCCTCTGGATAGTCGACTTCAAAAGGACCATCATCTGACCCTGCAGTGGCCATTGCAACTAAAGAAAACCAAAAAGAATCCGTTATTTGTTATGTATTAATAATACAGTAGTATGCGTCATTCAGTTGACACTCCGACAACCCGACCTCCGTGACATTCCTGGGAATTTAACATCGACCCGCTCTTTAAGGGGGCAGTCCCCTTTTTTGGGGGGGGGGGGTGATGTTGATTTGGGAAAGAAATAAATTAGAGTAGAAAAGGAATGTACATAATCTCTGTTAGTCCGCTTATGGGCTCAGAGGCACCTTGTTGTGGTGGTGGACAATCTGGTATTCACTTCATATTTTAATTTTTTTACAACCCCCAAATCCAATATTTTCCAATTTTCCAGAATTTTAAACATCCCTCCTATTTTTGTACATTAAAAACATTCACAACATCATCCAAAAAATCTCAAAAACATTATTGAACCAAGGACTCTTAACTAAGTGAGTCATCTTTTGATCGAATGAAATCTTGGCTAGATAAGAGCGCAAATTAAAGAAATACAACGCTTTCAACCAGACTGTCCCTTAAACACTGTTATTTCCCCCACCGGGGATAAAATATTGGGTTTACAGTGTCGTATATATAGCCCTAGCCTATAGCAGAGCATCAGTATTTTAGAATAAAATAAAACACAACTCAATCAGGCTCTCTGTTATCAGACGTGTTTCAGGCCGCATCAGACGTTCTTATGTGCTTAATGGAATTCCTACAGCGATATTCCAAGCTCAACTATATCTATCTCCAATAGCCCGCCATCTACTGAAAGTTGATCTTGTGAAAATAGGCCATTTGAGTGAACGTGAGGCTGAGGTTGACTTTGTTTTGATTCAAACCTCCTTCCTTTTGTAATGGAAATTATGCTTAAAATAATACTTGTTAGCATAAGAGCAACATCATTTTCATAATAAAGGAGAAAGGTTTGTTTCAAAAACAAGGTCAATTCCAGCCTCTTTTCCTGACGTGTAATTGTAAATGGGCTATTGGCCGGCAGCATATGGTAAATTTCGATAATGCACCTGTGTATTTGATATCGAACACAAGCAGGCTTCTAACACAGGTCAGCATTAAGAAGTTGGAATATTGTTCGGTGCAGCCCTTAACTCTCCCGTTAAGTTTCAGGGGCCATCTTGAGAAAGACGTATCGGCTTCAATTCAGTCCGTTTCGAATGTGTTCTGTTAAATCACCGCCCCAGGACCCCGGTGCAATAGACATTTTGTTCAGTGTTATGGCTTCCGGGGGCTAACGTCCCGGCCTTGGCCACGTTAACCCTTTTGGTCCCAAGAATGACCAACATCAATTTTCTCCTAACAATGATTACCAAATGGAGAATGCTTTGATTTTAAGCCAAATTCTCTCAACTATTCTTAAAAGAAATGTATCGAGATCAGTCCGGAGAATTTGGATGTGGATCTTGGGGCTTAAAGGGTTAAATTCCTTCTATGTCCCGGGGTCAGAATTGACTGATGGATTATGTTGTTTGAGGGTGTCAAACCACATGTCACGAAATGCGATCTTTTTGGCATCTTCGACTGTGGATTAGCCAGCGTTTTCTTGGTGTCTTGAGGCCGATCAAGCCTAAATTTTAAAGCTTTCCTTTATTTTGAGAAAGTGAGTTACAGGAAATGTACACAACAACAGTCAACGACCAGGTAGATCTTTAATCCTCCAAATTCTTGCTTGTTGCAAGAAAATAAAAAAAATGTGTCACGCAATGTTTCGGATGTTTCAGCTTGGTTGAAAAAGGAAAAATGAAGCGAGCTACTTAATTACGTGAAATGGCTCATCTTTACCCATGTTCTTGTTACTTTGGAAGTTTGCTTCCATTCGGACATCTGCGCGCGTCACAGTCAGAGTTCGTTATACACGACTGTCACAACTCAAACAAATGTAGATACCACACTAGGGATGACAATAAATCGTCCTAGCCGTAAATAAGATTTTGACGCGATTAAACTGTTTAGGACCGGGCTAAAAGGGGCGGGTGTATGTCTCTCAGTTCTTGAAAAAAGACCCTGGATTCTCTATGAGTTTGACTTGATTCTCAGAATTTACTGAACTTGGCACAACTGCTCAAGATGCGTTTCTTGGTATGGTAAACACGAACTAATCAAACGAATGAAAGCCTGTTAAAAATAATACTCTACAATAATACTCGCTTTTACGTGTACAGTGTATTAGTCGTTGACTATATTAAGTTCTTTGCTGTGCGAAAATCAAGCTCAGACTTTTCGTAAAACGTTAAGGAGACGAGTAGTAACTAGAAGTACTTTCTTAGAAATTGAGACAATCGAGGTCCCGAAGGCGGAAGGAAAAAACACAGTGACTAAATGGAAAGAAAGTTGTAGTTTTTGAAACTGAGTCGTTACCATTACTGCCTGACAGTGCTGCTACCTTAACACAGTACATTAACTCAAAAAATTAAGTGAAACTTACTCAGAGTAACTTAGAAGATCGCTGGTAGATTGCGGAAGTGAGATGCTTGTCAATGTCGAGAAAATGATTAACTTCGAATTCTGCGACATGGACTCAGTCCCAGGTCGGCCGGTTTTCGCAACGGTCGCAGGGTCTTAGTAACGAGCATAAGACCAATGTTGTTACCAATGTGGAGAAAAGAAGCACGGTTTGCGAAAGGGTTATTGGTCTTGGTTGAAGGTTATTGGTTATTGGTTAAAGGGTTATTGGTCTTGAGGAAAATAAGTAGATATTTAATTAAGTAGAGAACTGAATCAATACATAAATAGTCCATCCTGCAAGTACATCTTCGTCTTCTTGATTTTCGTTTGAAGAATATTTTAACTTGAGCTGTGAAAATGCTAACACTTGATTGGTGCTTGTCAATGAATCGCCAGTTACATAGCTATTGGCAGAAGCAAATTACACAAACATCCATTGCATGATCCGATCGACTCCTGCCATTGGTATCATTCTAGAACCACGGACATTGCTATAGAAACAGGTTATCGTTATGCACTAACTAAAATACCTTATCAAATTAACATATGTCAGAGGCACCCAGCGACTTTATTCTGTAAAATAACTGTTCGAGGGAGCAAACATTGCCTAGAAAATTCTAAAGCTTGAGAAAAGCTAACATTTTCTGGATAACCGTTCCATTCGTCTAAAATATTCGGAGGTTTTCTATAACAGCTTAACTACGATTTTCGGAGGTTGTGTTAGTCGCATTTTGATACCAAGATGTTGCGATTATTGTTGAAAAAGGTCTCGTAAAGCTTTCGGTATTAAGACAAAACTTCCCCTAAAATTTTCTAGTGATAGCAAGGCTACTTCATGTCCTCGAACTTTCAACCGGACCCATAAGGGTAGCTAACACTTTCGGATGAAACGAAAAAGCGACCTAAAAATTTCGTGACAAAGACATCCGAACAGGTAAACAGTTTTTAGGGCAACTTCAAATTAACCAAACAGGCTTCTAAAGGAAAGAGAAAACTATCCGAAACACTTGTGGCGTTTTTAGAAACAAGAAAGCTCTGTGCACCTCCAAGTTCCAAGAAGCCAACACCGTAGGGTTAATACCCAGGGCTTTAAAATAGTTTTATTAATTTTTTTAAATACAAAGTAGCAATTTAATGTAAAAATGGCTTCAATGTTAATGGTAATATTATATACGAAATTTTAAGCTTTTTCAATGCTTTCAACTGTACGTTTTCTTAGTTTTAAGCATGTTTTTTTTCTGCTTAAAACATAGTAAAGACTAGCCTGAGAAAACAGCCGACATTTGGCGACGCTACCACCGGTTTCCCCTCTAAATGACGTCTGAGAAACGAGCGCAGAAATTCCATACGGATGACGCGTCACTACGCAGATCTGGGTAGTGCTTCTGATTGGTTGAATCAAATTTTACACGCGGCACGACCAGTCAGAAGCTCTACCCAGATCTGGGCAGTGACGCGTCATCAGTATGGAATTTCTGCGCTTGTTTCTCAGACGTCATTTGACGGGGAAACCAGTGGTAGCGTCGCCAAATGTCGGCTGTTTTCTCAGGCTAAGTAAAGACCTTATTTAAAAGACTTTTTGTCCACCTTAGGCCCAGTCTTTCCAGTTTAAAATGCAGAAGAAAGCTGAGGAAATAAGGAAGAAGTGAGTATTGCAGACATCATTTAATAGGCCGTATTCGTATCACCCGTAATAGACTTTAACTAGCTTGTATTAGAGTATGGCTGGGAATTAGCAGGGGACAAGGAATCTTCCTCCTCATATTAGCCTTGGTTTGCCGGCTACAATCTAACCTGTCATCTGACGTTATGTTTCTTGTACCCTGGGTTCCAGAGACTTTTCATGCGCGGTTTCTGGTTTCGGTCAATCGGTCTTCGGCCGAAGATCTGTCTGTCGGCCAAAGGGCGACACTGAAGCATCCCGCCGCCCGCGAGAAAAAATCCTCCGGTTCTCAGGGTATCTTTCTTGCGCTCTCAAAGTAGAATCGTCTGCTTCCTGGGCAGCTACAATTTTTGTTACAAATGTCGTAACGCTTACTATCTCTTTCTTCTCCCTCAGTTCTCGGATTTCCCTCCCGGATCTCCCTCAGTCCTTTTCTATGTTCCAAAACAACACTTGGTGTGTGTGTTTATGCAGGTGGGGGAGGGGTCAATTCCGTTACTCGTAGGGGGAGGGGGTCAATTCCTGTACTTTTGTATCACTCGTGCATGTATCCCGTAAGGGTCGACACGCAACGCTCCTTCCTACTAATTTAATAGGTAGACACATTGTGTGACGACCGTAAAAACAGGAGACTAGGGTATCTTGTATTTTCGGAAAGTGGTAGTAGCTGTTTAGACCAGTAGCAAATCTTACTGGCTTAACAGTGCTTTAGCTGTTTATCTTGGTTGAGATTAAGTACCCAGTTTAAACCGTTTTTCCGTTAAATCTCTCCTAGGTTCGAAAATGTCACCGTTGAGGAAGCAACAATAACAGCACCAGTGGCAGACTTCCTACAAGGCGCACATGATAACTTGTTTTCCAAACTGTTTTATTCTTAATAAATTCACACCCAACATAGTTTCCTTCCCAGCCTCTTGGGCCTGGGTCACGCAAGCCGGGAGCATTGCGCGACTCCGGCCTGAGCGGAAGTTAAGTAGACTACTATCAACAATGACAAAAATCAAACTCCAAAGGATTTTCAAATCTACAATTGTAGATTCCAGGGCTGTCTAAAAATAGACTGCCAGGGATACCCTAAAATAATACTCCTAACGGTGTCTAAAAATAAACCATCAGGGATACCCTAAGTTAAGCTTCCAGAAGGGTGTCTAACAATGAACTCCCAGGGATACCCGAAAATAAACTCCCAAGGGTGTCTAAAAAAACTCGTAGTTTGGGATACCCTAAATTACACTTCCAAGGGGTTGTAAAAGTTAACTCCCAGAGATACCCTAAAATAAATTCCCAAGGGTGTCTAGAAATAAACTCCTGGGGGTAACCTACTCTAAATTAAGCTAACAATTGTAGTTCTGGAAGGTTTGATATTGAATTGTTTAATTTCCTTAGCCGAGGAAGGTGAGACACGTAAGATTGGATACGTTCGTACTAGTTAAAAAGACTGTAACTCGGGCCAAAGGGTCTGATGTTTTTCTGTAAGTAAAAATGTGTTAATCTCTCATGAAAATCCTACTTATATGTTCAAGTGAGAACATTGAAGAACAAAGAAATGGCTTGACTAAAACTCTTTTATTTCAACTTTTATCAACTGCGTCTATTTTAGTAACAGATCTTATACTCTCTGCTTGAATGGGAAATGAATGGTTAAATGCACTAATATGGAAATGGATATGAGATGCCCAGGTGGATGGGAAGGGGTGGGCATATTGTCTATAATGGACCGTACGGGAAAGCCACTCCCTCCCTTTTCAGACTATATGAAAGGTTAGGGAAAACTGTCATTTGGTCAGAAAAGGGTCATTCAAAATATCTCAAATAACCTTAACTAATGGCTGACCCATTGCAGTAAAACTCCGGCGATATGCAAGAGAGAGTCAGGTTGCCAGAATCGTTTATCCTAATCGCAAAAACGTGAGTTTAATACTCACAGGGTCGGTTATTAAAACGAGGTCTAACTTATACCGCGATGTAGGAAATCTTTGGACCTCCAGATCACTTCCGTAGTGGGTTTTCAAGAAAAATGCTTTTCTTGTCTACGCCATATGCTTTTATGAAACCGTTCACGATAATCGGTACTTACATAAAAGCGGTCGGCAAACTCTAAATGGCTTAGAACGCGGTTTTGTTAAGTACTGGCTAAACTCGGTTTAAATAAGTGGCCCTGGCATACTTTTTATCTCTTAGCCATACTCCAGTACTGTATGAAGATGGGCAGATGGGCGTGGTGTAAGACAATATTCTATTTGGTTATATATTTTCGTCGGCAAATGTGATTTCTTTACAATATTTCTATTTAAATCCTAGCCATGTCGCTGTACAGATCGGGAGTGAATCTTTTTTAATCTATAAACTTTTGTAATTATATACTAATTAGAAAACCCCGTTGTTTTCGTTCGTCATAAGCGATGTTCTATTAACGGAACAGTATGGCACTTTTATCGTTTGTGTAGCGTATATTACAAAGCCAAGAAAAATCTGAGTTACTTTTTTTCGTTTCGTCATATTAAAAAGTTCTCAAATCGTTCCTCGCTGCCAAAGCCGTCGTCGTAAACCAGCTTAGACAGAGGATAATGAGGCACTGTTCCCGCAAAATCCGAGTATGCTCTTCGTCTTAGTCCCGGAGAGACCTCGTCTCTGTGGAATGTCGTCGGAGAATCTTCGGTAATGGAATAATCCAAAAACATAGGGGACCAGGGGGAGTCCTCGGGAAGACTTATTTGACGATCAAACTGCGGTGGGTCCTCTGGTCGGTCCTTGATAGAGTTGAGGACGCCTCGCAGCTTGGCGAACTGTTTCATTAGATCCTGGTCTTGCTGTTGCAAACATTTCTGTTGGAGTAAAAAAACGCTTTGTAACTGATAAGAGCCATTTTGGTTTAACCTTGAAAACTGCTTTATGTAATTGTTCGCCATTTCCAATCAACTGCTCCGTTTCTGGTGCCCCAAGTTATGAAAAACTACTTTCAGCTGACTCCCACTAACTCGAACCATCGTTAACTCCAACCTCTCGCTAACTAGAACCAAAATCGATCCCCCTGGATTTCCTTCATACGTTGACTGTTATTTTACCCTTGGTAACTCGAACCTCCCGCTAACTCGAAGTAATTTTTGTTTCCCCTCAGATCATTTCTACCTAATTTTACCCTCCATAACTTGAACCATGTTTTGCACCCTTACAAGGTCGGGAAAAATCAGTGTACTGGCCTCCGAAACACTGGATTTTGAAGTCCCATCGACGTGTTGTAGACATATAGTTTTCCAGTTGAGGCTGATGTTGTTTGTCACAAATCAAACGTGAAACATGCAGCTTTACTTCTCAAAACAGTAAAACGTACGCTCTGTTTTGTTACGGTACGTTCTGATTTATAATCTAAAAGTATCTTTGAATTTTCACATAACATTTCTACAATGAACGTGAGTAAAATGTTCACTGTATAGTCGAAAACGTTTTTTACCTTACTTCCGGCTATTTTCTTCGAGCTCTCGGTGACTGGAACTTTTTTCGATTTCCCTTAAAGGTTCGAGTTATCGCGAGTCGACAGTATTGGTAACGGAAAGTCCTATCTCAGACTATCCAAATTAATCCTTAATTGGACAGTTCGTAAAAATTAAAGGATAATAGCCTTCCTGACAATATCGAATTAACTTACAGCTATGAAATTAGCTCTGAAATCTTTGTTCAGCAGCGAAGGAGTAGCGTTTTCGCTTTCTCAACAAAAGGCCGTATCTGTTCGATGAACCAATCAGATTCTAATATTTTTTTTCGTTAGTTGTTCACGGTCAAACAAAACATGCTCAAGTAGAGGACGCAACAGACTATGAGGAAAGGTCTTTTAACTCCAATGAAGCCTATGGACTGGTATTTTCTGTATAAATTATCACTGTGTTCCAACAAAAGGTTCTATTGTTATTGCTCTGTGGACTAAATAAGTCACAAGTTGCTTTTAGATTTCTAGTTTGTCACTCGGCTGTATCTAATCTGTCTGGGATATTGGGCAGTGAAGACTGTGAAGCCGTATTTTGTTGGTAATAATATTTATTATAATCCACGAGAAGCTTCTAAGTGCTTAATCTGTGGTAAAAATCCCTCAAAAAATACTATTGCACTACAAGACTATACTCATGCGTGAATGCTTATTGCTTGATATTAGAATTGTCCCAAGTCCTCTCCCAAAAGCAAGCGGGAGCTTTCCAGCGTTGAAAAATCAAGTCATTTAAATGAAAACAATTAAAAGCTGAACTTTCTTATTTCCGACTCAGTTAAGTGCCGCAACACACTGAAGCCCAGCAGTTGATAGAGAGGGCGGGACCTCAGCCTTAGAAAGATTTTAGTTGCTGGAGCAAGAAAAAACAACAAAAGGTAAATAAGCCCTGGAAAGTTTATTTTATTTTTTAAGTAATAATTTTTTAAAATGCAGAGGAGACTTTTGTTCCGAAAGAAGGAGATTGCGTGCGCCACTTTGCACTCCTTCGCTGGCACTTTACGCATCTTTACACCCGTTTTATCAGTCACATAGCTCCAGGGTTGTAGTATTAGCAACCCCAGACACGCACACCGGCACATAACACGCAGCAGGAATAGCTGACCCAGAACGATCGTGGACGTTTCCTAAAACAAGTTACGTAATACCGAAAAACACAAAAGTTTCAGGACAGAAAGGGGATAAAAAATTGCCCTTTTTCTATCACTCTGAAAACAAAATTCCTCTAGAACCTGTTTCGAATGTTTAAGGATGATCTACCCGAAGCCTACCCCCTGAGCCTACCCTTCTCCCGAGTAACAAAGCAAAGTTGTTGTAAAACTGATAAGCTGAATTGAATTCACGCACGTGACGTAGCCAATTTATTCTTCTTTCTAATTTGAGTTGAGCTATGACCATTCTTTCGGGATTTAGGCAAGATAGTCTTCTCTGAAGATAGCTAGCATTACAAAATTCTCGGGAAGTGTTCCTCTTCCGCTCTGTGTGGTTTTTAAAAACAAATAACCGGATTTACGCACCCACGTCGCACATGCGGTCTTCCTGCAGAGGCATTACTTGTAGTTATAAACAGCCACTTTTAGCTTTGGATTGACCAGAAAAATCTCTACCTTTCGCGACAAAATAGGCAAAATAGTTCTGAGAATCAACTTATCTGCTCCCTCTGGTAGCTTCCAGTTCATGTACGAATGCTAATAAGTGGGGTTGCTGTTGTCACTGAGTTTGAAGTTGCTCTTGAAAGAGCGTTTGTCAAATAAAAACTTCTTTCATATTAGTCACGTAGGATGGTGCTATGTTGTAAAAAAGCTTCCTTTACGTCGATTTTGCGGCATTATTTTTCAGTTGCTAACCGAAGAGAAGGGTTTGCTAACCGAGGTCTTGTCTTATGCAATTAACTGTAAATGTGCTTTTCATTTCTGTTTAATGTTAAATTAAGAGTCCATCATAAGTGCGACCGCGTCTACGTTTTAATAAACAAAGCAAACTAATTGCATCATGCCGAGCAATTGTCCAATTTTTTGCAAGTGAATTTCCGTGCGCACCGTAAAAGCTACAATCTAAAATCAAGACATTTCGTCTTATCTGAACGCAAGCGCAGAACAGTAGCTAAGCGCAATTGTTCCAAAGTTAAGGTAAAACGAAACGTATTAACTTAAGTTTTTAGATTTTGCAACTTGACTGGCTACAGCGAAGGATTAACTGGACTTGTTTTGACTCGGTGGTACTTACTATTTCTTTCACGATCCACTCAATGGCTCCGTCAACGTCGCTCTTGCGCTCTTGGAAACTCTTGGACATTCTCTGCTCTTCGTTGAGACAAAAGGAAGGCCTTCGCTGCAGAGGGGACTCCAAATTGCTGGATACGTCGGACTGGATTTCCAATTCCTTTGTTTCGCTATCGTCTGCTGTACACACTCGTATAGTGATACCATCAGAGGACATTATCTCAACATTAGCCGACGACGTTTTATAGACGAAGAACGTTTTGATTAAACCTTTGATCCTGGCAGCAGAGTTTCACTCAATTCAGTCTAGTTTGTCTGATGGTCACTGAAGCACGAAATGTTTCAGTTTAGTGACGCACACGCCAGACAACCTTGTTTCTTCTTTTGACTGATGTATAAATAGCTGGCAGAAGCACATATGCGTGATAATGCTGACTAAATGCTGACTCCTGGTAAACAACGAATTGACGATCTTCCCGTATGTCAATCTGACAATATTTAAACCAGAGTGATTGACTAGAGAAGAGCAGAAGTAATTTTTCAATTACCAATTCCGAATTTTTGAAACGCAGTTCTGACGCAATGATCCATGTTTCCGTTAAAACATTAGAACACAATGGTTATCTTTATTAGCAAACGAGTTTAATCAACCACGTGAGTGCGAGTGTGTCGACGAGGATACCTTCGATTACAGCCTCGTGTAGCCGCGTACTACACGTAGGCTACTTCGATTGCGATCACTGGATCGTTGACCCACCCCAGTGTATTATTATACATTGTACTTACTTTCCGTCTTCTCATTGGCTAAGAGCCTACAGCCAATTTTGATCAATTTTGGAAATTAGCGCAACCTCTGTAGGTTGCGCGCGCAAAGCATGATTTCCACTGTTGTTGTTGACAGTGACTGACGTTTCGACAACCTGCGCGGTAGTCATCTTCAGAGACAAAGTCAGTTGTATTACGTGAGTTGATGGTATTATTCTCTGGTCATTGATCTGATTCGTCAATTAAGTCGCGATGTTATTGGTGGTCTGTCAGTTAAGCCGTGGTGTCATTGGCTATGAAGAATCGTAATCAGTAGTTGGTGCGTTTCGATTCGTCTATTGTCAAACAGTCGTATATTGTTAGTCAAATTGTCAGTTCTCCAGTCGTTCTCTCGTAGTTAGTTTTGGTTGATCTCGTCAATAAGTCCTCTGTACAGCGCTGGTAACTGTTGGCTACGATTCAGTGGCGTTTGTTCTAAGTTAGTAAACCAGCTTTCTAAAGTAAGACGTTGATAGCAGTCTGTAGAATACGTTATACATGTCGCAGAGCACAGTCCCAGTTAATTTGATGTTTCGTCTGTAAATGGTGCTCAGCAATGTGATTGTTGACGTCACCATTCCTTGTCGCTCGTTTGTGTTCAACCTACTTTTGAAATGACTCCTGGGTTCAAACCTTTCACAATGTATAATAAAACAATGATCAGATTCGGTTTTTGTGATACCCTAAATAATCAAGGTCCCGGTTAGTGTTTATTTCCCTTTGAAGCCAGGGTAACTTCTGACAACTAGGGCAGAGGTTTTTGGATGTAATTCATATTACAATTTTCTCTCGATTAGATAAGAATTCTTTAAAACGTGGGCTAGTTAATATTCATTCCGTTTTTGAAACCTAACACTTTCAAATCATTGCAATCTGAGCCGGGAAGCGTTTCCATGGGAATCCATTTGCGTAAGCTGTGGTCTTTCAAAGGAAGATATTCCCACCTGACGTGGGTGGACAAGTTTCATTTGACATTTCCTCTAAAAATTCCGGCCCTTTTCTTTTTCAGTCCTTCTAGGTCTTTTAGGTTCTTTAGTACTAGAACCCCCCGAGGGGGGGAGTACTTTAAGAATTTCTGGGTGGGGATGTGCCGCTGGGACCCTGAAAAACCCTTAACCTATACCAGAGCCAGTTCAGCTGAATTTTGCTACCCTATACTAGAGTATACTCCCCAAATCCCCCCTATCCTAGAGTAGCTGTTTTCCAGAAACTACTGAGGTCACTAGGACAGTTTAGCCAAAACAAAACCTTATACCACAATCACTGGTCTAGATAAATCTTCAACCAACTAATCAGTTTCCAGAAAAATGATACCCTATTCTAGACCCAAACGCTCTGATTTATATACCCTATCCTAGAGTAAACTGCTTGAAAACCATACCCTTCACAGCGGCACATACCTATATAGCCCAAATATGGCGGTACCCCCCGCCCCCCCCGAGACTGGAACAGCCCCAGGCGGGGGATGAGGGGGAAGCAGAGGTGAACGCAACCTAAACTCCTGACGTCGAACGCAATTATAAGAAACATTTCTTGGACTGACAAATATTTAGACAAACTTAAAAGCAAGTGATACGTACACCAACCAAGGCCTGGCCATGTTGACGAGTTCTAATAAGGGCGAAACAACTGTCCATGGCACAGGGTCCAGAGGAGTTCAGCTTGCCGTGGGAACATCCAAAACTCTTTTAAAAGCTACTTCTAAGGACTGAAGACAACCAAGATCAGCACTTCGGCACTTTACTCGGCACTGCTTGCCTCGCTTGGAAAGGTTTGCTTTTCTGAATGCGTCGCCCTTTGGGCGACGTTCGTTCCCACTCGGTGTAGGAAAATATTTTACCAGGTTTGTAGCAGGATTTAACGGTTTGATCGGTCAAGTTCATATTCTAATGTAAACAAAGGCAAATCGTACTATCTGTATCTACTGTAAACTTTAACTGCATTCATGGTCAAAGGTAACTCCTTTTGCGCCGTGTGTCCGTGGCTGCCACTGCCCGGGTGGCTGTGCGCACGCGTTAGGTACTACCTGCTTTTCAGTTTAACAAATCAGTGAATAGTCCTGATTATACAAACCTTAGACAGTAACTTTAGTTGTTAGACTTCATTTACGGTCAAACGGCTGACTCGTCCCCAGTCGTACTCTCATAATCTCTCCCTAGTGGCGCGCGGGGTGCGATGGGAAGGAGAAAAGGGAGAGCTCTTCTCCCTTCCCTTCCTATCACCCCCTGCTCCCGCCCTGCACGTTAACGTTGAAACATCACTTTGAAAGAATTTAATTAACTGCAAAAACCGTGGACGAAGATCCTGCTAGTTGTAAACGAGCGGCGAAGCCCTCGCCCGCCTTTATTACTTAGCGCGCCCAACGAAAACCGCCATGCTACGCAGGCTAAGAAGTTCTCGGCTATCGTTCTTCACAGTAATAATGAAGCATATGGAAAAGCACCCGGATCTAACGTCAACCTTGTCACCGTTTACGAGTTTTAAAACATGTGTTACATACCCATATCACGGAAAAGGAGGCACTGCAGTAGCCTGTGTACAGATGCCCCCCTCCCCTCAGAAAAAATTTTCTGCGGGGGGCGTCTGTACACAGGCTAGCAATGCAGTAGTCTGCTAAACAGCCTTTTTTTAGGAGCGTTGCGTGACGACACTAAAAACGGCTGTGTAGCAGACTAGCATTGCAGCTAAGAACCTAGAAGGAAACGACGTAAGCGACGCGCGTCTAACGTTCACCAGGAGCCCATAATCTGTGTTCACGCTCAATTTTTCTAATGCTTTGGTGAGGCAACCGTTTTGTTTCTTAGGGCGAAGGAAGAAATCTCGAGGACGCGGGAGGGGACAACAATCTTCTCCCCCTCGCCCGGCTTAAAAAAAAAACTTACCGGAGCTTGCTTAGCCTGCGGACACAGACGTATTTCCGGTCGTGGAAAATACGTCCGTGTCCGCAGGCTACTGGTGAGGAGCGTTACCTGACGAGATAACAGCGTCCGCGTGGGAGACTATTGTGACGAAACTACTGTTACCTTTTCGAAAGAGAAAGACTAGATTGGGAGAAAGGCACAGGGTCCAGAGGAGATGTGTTTGTCGTTAGAACATCAAAACCCGTCGAAAACCTCTGAAAAAATGGGTTATTTTGATCGCGTTACGGTTTCGTTACACATCCTATAGACCTCAAACCAAGAGACTGAGGGCTCGCAAGATCGCCTTACAGTATAAAATACTTCGTGCCTCGGTCGCCCTCCGGGCGACGTGCCGTGCGCCAACGAGGATATGGCTTGCGGTTATTGATTTTCAAAAGTCGATCTGGGTCAGATAAGAAGCGAAGAAATCGTTTACAGTAGATTTATAAAGATCCCATTGGGCTAATTTAATCGTGCTAAGCGACAGGTATAGACATTTTTTAAGATAAGTAATTCATTTATTCACACGAAACTCCTCTGGACCCTGTGAGAAAGGGCGCTTATCATTCTCGTTCCCAGAGCCGCTATCCCTGAGGCGCTGACCAAAAGGAACGCAGCTCTGGGATCAAGAATGGCCGTTGTTAGAAAATTACGAGCATTTTTGGCATGCTGGTAGCCCGCAGGCTATCGCCGAAGCGGTATGCAAATTTCGCTAAAAGTGTAGTCGATCACCTCGAACATCTTGCACAATATCATTTGATGTGAAACCCGAAAAACATAAGAACGGATCAAACGTCCTTTCAAAAAGAAAAGAAATAAGACATACTTTTGACAATTTCCGGTCAGACCCAACCACGACAATGCGGGGACAAGGGCGAAACTTCTCCTTGAAAACAAAAGTACACTCCGAAACGGTTTCAACGGATCACTTTATTAGGGTTTACAAGCAGTCAGAAATCATTTATGTATCGATTACAATTTCAAGAGGTATCAGGTCACAATTTTAACGTATTAGCGAGCAAAAAGTTGTGAGGTTGTCTATTTGTCTAAAGTCAGTTCCGTGTACGTTCAACTCTAAAGTCGGTTCCTTTTGAATACATTAAAATCACACAGTCAGAAGTTTATAAACCGAACATAAGACAGTAAAAATAAACAAGTTCTTCACGAAGGATATGAAGAAGTAATTTGTTTACTTGATATGACGAAATACTGGATTCATGAAACCATATTTTCAGCTGGCTAAGTCAGGAACGAGCGATAGACATGGCTCCAGGACCTCCCTTGACTTCTTGCGCGGACTGAACCAGCATACACAAAGGACAGCAGCAAGTTGCAAGGATATCGTTCACGAACGTTCCCTCGATTCCGTTCTGTTCTCGAATCTTGGATCGGATCTGCGCCATGAAGAATATGTTGGCGAGAGGGACAAAGGTGGCCAGACCGCACAGGACACAGCTATCGCCCACAGCCTCGGCGTTCTTTCCAGCGGTGTAACAGCCGCAGAAATACGTTACAAGGCACGTACCACAGTCATCAAAGCAACTAAACAATCCATGCGACCACTGCTTTGCCATAGTCGAAGTTTGATCCAGCGAAACAACGGAATAAAACGGGATAACAGAGCACAATTACGGGGTAATCAGCCAGTCCACGTTTATCGCAATGAAGATGGGACAGCGCCTTGCTATTGTCGCTCTACTGACTCATTTGTTGAAACGTCAAGCAATGTGATTGACAGTCTTCAAAACGTAGCGTAATGTAATCTTAATCGAACTCTATGGTGCAATCGGAAGTTAATCGGAATTCGGCCGAAATATCATTTTTTTTCCTGTTAGGAATTTGACAAAAATACTGAACCCACTATGGACTAAACTGACCCTTTTAACAGCGAATAGTAAAAATGATTTTCTGACTATAAAAAACTATGTTTGTACTTCAGAAAAAAAGAAAAGCGGTTGCTCAGCAATAGTCTAGGTTTCCGTTGCAATAGAAACAAACTTGAGCGTGATGACGTTTGCGTGACAAAGTAAAATACTTATTAGAATTACACTCGGAGACCAATATCATCGAATTTATTCCAAAAAAAACTATAAAGAAAAAAAAAAGCCCGAGGTGGCACCCTGCAGTTACCTTAAAGATCAATTTTACATAAAATATATGGAATTAGACGACAACTCATTGCTATCCTACTGTCAATAGAGCACCATCCTTGAACCTGCAAAACAAACACCAAAAACAAGAAAAAGAGACTGGAGCTTGAAAAGAATACTCTCGCTGGGAGATCGCTTTCGTATTCGAAGCTCAGCGGAAGCAAACGCTTAACGGAGAAAGCAAGATGTCGACAACGCGGAAGTACGAGGATATCGTGAAGGAAGAATACACTGATAAGATTTCGTCACCTGTACTGTTACGATGAAAGGGTAGTTCGCTTGTTTAAAAATCAATTGTGCAGTTTAACACGCACATAAGGGAAGCAGATACATTTCAACTTCATTCAGATTAAATCCTTTATTATAGCCAACCGAATTCATTATCATAATTTAAAATCTCTGGTTGTTACCTAGGTTTCGACTTGATCGCTACGATTGCTGAAAATGAAGGCAAAACCTGACAGCTCTTCAAAGATCACTGCGATACTGCTGGTTTTCATATGATCACCACAATTCTTTAACCTTTTTCAGTCACGATTCCAGGCTTGCGTTACACTTTGGTCACAATCATGAAGAAAGGCTATAAAGTTATTTTCCTCAAAACGAATTTCGAAATGTTTTTTTCTTCAGATGCCAGCCTTGCATATTACTAACTATTCCTTGAAAACATGGACTACATATATATACACGCTGACTAATAATAAGGAAAATAGACCATTAAGTGAGGTAAATAATTAACTTGTGGCTTCTAAACCCTTTCATCTCAAAAAGTAGCTAAAACTCTAAGACATAACAACCATCTTGCAGTAAAATATTCAGAAACACTGAAAGAAGCACCAATCATAATTTTGAAGGAACATCAAACGGTTTCATTTTATACATCACAGCACAGCACGGCCAACAGGTTTCAAATGTTGCTTAAAGTAACAAATCAAATTGCAGGTAAAATGGATGTAATAGAGTGGTAATTGACCTTTGTGTTGTGCAATTTTGGTCTGAAATCATACTTGTGCTTTCAAATCGAACTTGCGCTGCATGCTCGTTCAATTTACTCCACTCAGTTCAATTGCCATTATAAAGCACAGCCCTAATAAAAGTAATATTCAAAGGTTAACTATATCTGCTGTGGTTCAATTTCATTCTAAGCTTGGTGTAAATTTGTAAACTTAATTTTTCTTTGTTTTTGGGTATGAAAATGTATTATGATGAGTTTGAAATAAAGGAAGATAAAAATTAAACCACTGGGCTAAAATAATTATTGATCCATAACATATCTAATACGATTTTCAGGTAAAAAAGCTAGTAAATATCAACGGTTATCTCTGCCTTTTGGTCCCCCCCCCCCCCGCCCCTCACCCCCAGATATTACAAAAATATATTCTAAACAATCATTAGATGAGGTTTTAGTGATATCCACTTTTTTTTTCGTCAAAAGTAACAACTCTATACAGGAACGTGAATCACTGGATTTAGAAAGGGTAGGATTTCCCTTGGGTACGAAGCGGGCGTGGGGGAAGGTTTTGGGGGGTGTATACACGAGCACCAAAGGAGCCTCCTGGATTCTTTCCGACCCTACCTAGCACTCTCTAATGCCTTAGCTTAAAACTCTTTCCTTCGTAAATGGTATAATACTAAGAGCGTCGGCCTTGATTATTCTGGATATCACAAAAACCTCATCTAATAATCGTTTAGAATATATTTTTGTAATATCTGGCGGGGGGAACCAAAAGGCAGCGATAACCGTCGATAACCGTTACATCATCTGCGAAGGAAAGAGTTCTAAGCTAGGGTATTAGAAAGTGCTAAGGTAGGGCCGGAAAAAATACAGGAGGCTCCTTTGGTGCCCGTGTATCCCCCCTCCCCCTTAGTACCCGAGGGACACCTTCCCCTTCCTTACTCTAGTGATACACGTTCCTGTATGTAGTTGTTACTTGTTACGAAAAAAATTATTATAACAGATAAGAATTAGCAAAAGACAGAAACCCGTTACTGAGGCTCAGTGCCTTGGGCAGGTCTTTAAAGCGTACGGCAAAACTTTTCCTTTCTTACTTGTCAGTATCACTGGACAAAAGGGAAAAACAGCGTCAGTGAGCGAGACAGATCTGTCGATCCCATACTTTCTGAAAATTGTACGTATAACTTACGTCTTTTTCGTTTATTTTGCGGAGATAGCTCAGATATGTATAAATTAATCTTCATCAGCAACATTTAATGTCTTTTATACAGTGCTGGTGTGAAAGAGGAGTGGCTAAGGAAATATCGGGAAGAGGACGAAGAAGAAGCCGTCACGAAAAGGGCAATCAAGGAGTTGGAGATTTTCGTTTTAAAAAAATATTTTACGAATTTTTTCTTTATATTATTATTATTATTTTTTATCATTTTTTTCTATACTTTTTTTACCCACGACATTTACCCACACCCACGCCCACGACCCACACCCACTACCCACGACATTTAGCTACACTTTACTTCTAAGGACTGAAGACACCCAAGATTAGCACTTCGGCACTTTACTCGGCACTTCTTGCCTCGCTTGGAAAGCTTTGCTTTTCCGAATGCGCGCCCTTTGGGCGACGTTCGTTCCCACCCGATGTAGGAAAATATTTTACCAGGTTTGTAGCAGGATCAAGGGGTCATATTCGCCTCTAAAGTAAACAAAGGCAAATCGCACTATCTGTATCAACTGTCAAATTTAACTGCATTCATGGTCACAAGTAACTCCTTTTGCGCCCTGTGTCCATGGCTGCCACTACCCAGGCGATATGGCTGTGCGCACGCGTTAGGTACTTGCCAGGCTGTGGGCTTGTGGGCAATCTGGTTCCTAGAGGCCGCGATCCTTTTGGTCAGCGAGAGGCGGACTCTGGGAACGAGATCCTGGTTGGTGTACGTGTATCTCCTGCTTTTAAGTTTAACCAATTAGTGAATAGTCCTGAATATACAAACCTGAGACAGTAACTTTAGCTGTTAGACTTCCATTTACGGCCAAACAGCTGACTCGTCTCCAGTCGTACTCTCAGAATCTCTCCCTAGTGGCGCGCGAGGTGCGATGGGAAGGAGGAAAGCTAGAGAAAAAACATCGTTCATACTGAATGTAAAATTCTCGTTTATAAATGACGACATGTATTGAAATGCTCAATTAGCTTTAGACTTCAGAGTAATAGTAAAATGTACGGAAAAGAACCTGGACACAACGAAACCCCTACATTAAGAAGTTCTCGGCTATTGTTCAAACGTAGAAACGGCTTATTGACGAGATCAAGCAAAACTTACTACAAGAGAACGACTGGAGAACTGACAATTTGACTAACAATAGACGACTGTTTAACTGTGACAATAGATGGATCGAAACGCACCAATTACTGAGTACGAGTCTTCATAGCCAATAGCATCACAGCTTAACTGACAGACGACCAATAACATCGCGACGTAATTGACCAATCAGATCAATAACCCGAGTATAATACCATCAACTGACGTGATACAACTCACTTTGAGTCTGAAGATGACTACCGCACAGGTTGTCGAAACGTCAGTCACTGTCAACAACAACAGTCCTATTCGGGACTACGTTCACCCCGACGATCAAACACCAGGAGCCCATAACCTGCGTTCACGCATAATTTTTCTTATACTTTGGTGAGGCAGCCGGTTTGTTTCTTAGGGCGAAGGAAGAAATGCGAGGACGCGCGAGGGGAGAACAGGAGAGGAAACTTCCTCTCCCCCTCGCGTACGCGCGTGTTACCCTCTCCCGGCTATAAAAAAAATTACCAGAGCCTGCTTAGCCTGCGGACACAGACGTATTTCCGGTCGTGGAAAATACGTCTGTGTCCGCAGGCTATTGGTGAGAGGCGTCACGTGACGAGATGACAGTGTCAGCACGAGGTTGAGCGTCCGCGTGGGAGAACACGAAACTACTGTTGGGAGAAAGGGCTCTTATCATTCTCATTCCCAGGGTTCGTTCCCAGAGCCACCCTATCTGAGGCGCTGACCAAAAGGAACGCAGCTCTGGGAACAAGAATGGCGGTTGTTAGAAGATTAAGAGCATTAGCCCGCCGGGTATCGCTGATGCGTTATGCAAATTTCGCTAAAAGTGTAGTCGATCACCTCGAACACCTTGCACTATATCATTTGATGTGAAACCCGAAAACAGAGAATGGACCAAACGTTTTTTCAAAAAGAAAAGAAATAAGACATACTCTTTCAAAACTCTCGACATTTTTGACAATTTCCGGTCAGACCCAACAACGACAATGCGGGGACAAGGGTGAAACTTCTCATTGAAAACAAAAGTACACTCCGAAACGGTTTCAACGGATCACTTTATTAGGGTTTACAAGCAGTCAGAGATCATTTATGCACCGATTACAATTGCTAGAGGTATCAGGTCACAATTTTAACGTATTAGCGAGCAAAAACTGATGAAAGTTGTGAAGTTCTCTATCTGTCAGTTCCGTGCACGTGCAACTCTAAAGTCTGTTCCTTATGAATATAATAAAATCACAGAGTCAGAAGATTATAATCCAAACATAAGACAAGAAAAATAAACAAGTTCTTCTCGACGGCTATAAAGAAGCAATTTGGTTACTTGATATGACGAAATACTGGATTCATGAAACCATATTTTCAGCTGGCTAAATCAGGAACGAGCGATAGACATGGCTCCAGGACCTCCCTTGACTTCTTGCGCGGACTGAACCAGCATACACACAAGACAGCAGGAAGTTGCGATGAGATCGTTCACGAACGTTCCCTCGATTCCGTTCTGCTCACGAATCTTGGATCGGATGTGCGCCATGAAGAAAAAGTTGGCGAGAGGGATAAAGGAGGCCAGACCGCACAAGACACAGCTATCGCCCACAGCCTCGGCGTTCTTTCCAGCGGTGTAACAGGTGCAGAAATACGTTACAAGGCACGTAACAGAGTCATCAAAGCAATGAAACAATCCATGCGACCACTGCTTTGCCATAGTCGAAGTTTGATCCAGCGAAACAGAGGAATAAAACGGGATAACAGACCACAATTACAGGATAATCAGCAAGTCCACGTATGGGACAGCGCCTAGCTATTGTCGCCCTACTGACTCAATTGTTGAAACGTCAAGCAATGTGATTGACAGTCTTCAACAAGTAGCGTAATGTAATCTTAATCGAACTCTATACATTGTGCATCATTTCCCTTTCGCTGTTTGAAATTCGAAAAGTTTAAGGTTAAAAATTGTCTAAGCAGAAGAATATGGGCGATTTTAAGGCCAAGAGCATGGCAGAACTGCAGGAGTGCTTAACATTGGAACTAAACCTGTCCTCGAAAGAGATAAAACCGGTGAAGTAGGCAATACGTACATAATTCACATTTTACAATTCATGATCGCAGGCGACTACACGCTATTTAAAATTTCCAATCCATTTTAGCTACAAAGAGCGTTTGGCCATCTTGACATTTCACATTTTCCTTTTCAATTGTATATTGCGGCAAACAGGGACCAGACACTTTTGATGACGGTTATGTTGATGTTGTTGAATCAAGAGGCTGTTCACATAGCGGAAGCAAAAAAGTGCAGGCTTTTGTGAACCTGTACTTGGTCACGATACTGGGTTTGTATTTAACCGTTTAGAGACAAAAGGATGCAGTGTACTATACTTACAAGGTAAGCATAGAGGAAAATGTAAGCACACTGCAGTATCATGAATTATAAATGTGTCTGCCTCAGTAGTTTCATTCTTTTCAAGTTTAGATCCACCGTGCAAAAACATTCTTTCAACTGAAGAAGAGATTTGCACGCGATTTTTGAAACTCCATGTTCCGGCGAATGTTTTATCTGATTTACCACACTTGAGGCGGTTAAAGTCAACCCCGATCTTCTGCTTTGAAATTTTGAACCTTAAACTATTCGATTTTCAAACAGTGAAAGGGAAGGAAAATACATAAGTTAACGCGAACTTGAAATTGCGATTCGTAGTTAGTACAAGAACGGTATGTGGGAGAGAACAGATGTCCGAACTTTCAAGGGTTGTTTACAACAAAGGTCATCAAAAGTCACGTGAAACTACACGTGAAATCGGACGCTCAGAAGGTGAAATCGCAAGTTAATCGGATGAGGGCTTAGATATCATTTTTTTTCCTGTTAGAAATTTGACAAAAATACTGAACCCACAATAGACTAAGCTGACCCTTTTAATAGCGGACAGTAAAAATGATTTTCTGACTATAAAAAAACCATGTTTGTACTTCAGAAAAAAAGAAAAGTGGTTGCTCAGCAATAGTCTAGCTTCCCGTTGCAATAGAAACAAACTTAAGCGTGATGACGTTTGCGTGACAAAGTAAAATACTTATCACGCGGGATGACGTAGTCAGCCAGCGTTAAAAATTCGGTAGCGCATTCCTTTCGTCGTCTCGGGAGTCAAAAATTGCCTTGTTTTTTTAACTTTTCCGTATCCCGAGCCCGTCCCGAAAACATTGTGTGATTATTATTGGATGCAACTTCGAATCACCTGCAAGTCAGGTTGGATTGCACAAGCAGCAAAAAGATACTGCGTCAGCAAAGAAGGGAAAAGTAAGATTACAGTGTAGCTCTAGGAGGACGACGAGTAAAGGCTGTGCACTAGATCTAACGGCGCAAGACGTGGCCTCGAGCGACTGAAAATATTGTCTAGGTGGCCCAGCCGGGCGACTTGCTGGTGTTGGTTTCTTGTTTCTGTTGATTTAGGGTGCGTTCGATTGGGAAATCTGGATTTAGATTTCAAAATCCGGATTTCGGATTTCCAATCTAACGCGAAATCCGAAAACGGATTTCAACGCTGAGATATCTGTTTTTGGATTTTCATTTTTACCGTTCGATTGGGAAATCCGAAAAAGGATTTGAAAAACTGTCCTTAAGAACAGCGGTCTTGCACGCGCACGCATACTTAGCAAAAAGAAGACCACTGTTCACGAGAATAGTTTTGCAAATCCTCTTTCGGATTTCCCAATCGAACGGTAAAAAGGAAATCCATGAAATCCGGATTTGGATTTCTTAATTGAAATCCACCCTGAGGACGGATTTCTCGGAGGTGAAATCCGTTTTCGGATTTCGCGTTCGATTGGGAAATCCGGATTTAGATTAAATCTAAATCCGGATTTCCCAATCGAACGCACCCTTACAGTCAAACAGCTAAGAATGTCTAGAATTTATTACTTGCGAAATCGTAGCTCGCTCGGTGGCTTCACGGCTTAAAAAGAATGCTCCGCTCGCTACGAAACTCTTGAGGTCGACTTGTAAGTAGCAATAAGTAGCATGTCCATCAAAAAGCTTAAGAAAATGTTGTTAAATCGGGCAGCGGGCACGCGTTGTATTGATGTTCAAAGGTCGTTTCATGTGAATTCACATGTAACATAACCTTGACTATGAACGTGACAAGCTGCACAGTTTTCGATAGTAACAGCTTTTCATAATCGTAGTTCTGAATAGGACTATTGTTGTTGACAGTTTTTTCCTTCAAATTAGGATGGTTCATTAGTTAGTTTTTCTAAACAACTTTTGCTCTGACAGGCGTAAAGTACGGTCAGCGACGCAAAACAATAGTTTGTATTTTGAAAAATCGCTGAATAAACACGGGAGTCGGTCTTTTCTGTTAGTTAAATATTTTTACCTTTTTTTAATGCTGTGTCTGCGAGGTTAAAACTTAACTAAGATTGTTACTCCAGTAAAATACGATGTATAAAAAAGAAAAGAGACGACTATTATTGTAATTGTTCTAGAATCGGTATAAAGGGGGTATAAATCTATAAAATCCCGCATTGTCTTTCGTGTCGTGACAATGCATTACGTATCACGTACTAAAAATAAATACGCGAAAGCTAACCGAATCTACATTTGTCCTGAACATTTCACCGATAATGTAGAAAGAAAATACTTCCGTCTATGCGCTTAAACGACGACTTTACAACAAGATGATCTATTCAAAAGAGATAATAGTTTTGGGGCGGCCGGGGGGGGGGGGCACTTCCTTATAAGAGGCTAATGCGGAGATATGCTGCTGGATGGGGTTGCATTTTCAAAAGAGTTACTGGAATGGGGCCGCACATTATCGGATTTTTGGGGTAAGAGAGTTGTTCATACTTACGGTTAGCAAACGTATCAGGATATTTGTACTGTAGCTGAAAAGCAAAGTGTTCTTCATTCAATTTATTAAAAAATGGGTCAAGTTTTTTGATGACCTATTTAAAGGATCGATAAGGTAGATAAATAAATAGAAAGTGACTAAGTTGGGATCGCAAAAATTACACATTTGCCCAAGAGTGACTAATATGGGGTCTAGGGGCTCTGAGAGGTCAGCGGCACATACCCAGCAAAAATTACCCCACGTAACCCCCCGGGGGCACCGCGGTTTCGTTGAAATCATAACAGTTTCCTGGAAAGCTCCACGGGATCTCAGTCAATCTTAATAAGCAAATTTTCTTTTCAACCTAAATCAAAATGATTAGTAAAAAGAATGGTGCCCTTATTTTTGACCCCAATTTTCTTTTTTATAAAAAAATACATAAACAGACCAGAATCTTACTTTTCCATTTAAAAAACATGAAATATTCGGCGGTGTTGCCCACGTTTCTCATGGCACGAAAACTTACTTTCATATGACAACATGCGGGTTTTTTTTCACACGCTCAGGAGGTCAAAGGGACGTGATTTTTCATGAAAAAAATATTCACAAAATTCTGCTTGACTTGTTAAGAAAATTATTTGTTTAATTTTTCATAATTAACTAACAGCTCATTGATTTATTAATTTGGGCGACCAACTTGGAGGCCCGGGCACCCCAGCTAAAAATGCTTGCGGAGCCTGAAGGGCTCTCTGAAATCTTCTCTAGAGTACAGCCTTGCAGCCCTGTAGTTATTGGAAGTATGATACATTACCTGTTATTGTTGAATGTGGAAGTGCATTTTTTGAGGACGTTAGTAAAGGAATGCAAATTTTAGTGAACTATCCCATACTCCTAACATATATGGTGGTAATATTGATGTAAGTTTTGTTTTGAGTAGCAAAGGAACCCTTGTGTGTAACTCATCTTCAAGTGTATTAGTCCTTAACAGAACATCTCCGTCTCTCCTGCACACATTTGTTGCATACACTACTCAATTTGCCATTGCCATTCAACATAACGGTAATTCTTTCTTTCACCATCACGTCCCGCGTAAACGCCTTCGGGCGTATTCTTGTTAGAATTACACTCGGAGAGCAATATCATCGAATTTATTACAAAAAAACTGTAAAAAAAAAAAAAGAGGCCGAGCTGGCACCCTGCAGTTACCTGAAAGATCAATTTTACATAAAATAAATGGAATTAGACGACAATTCATTGCTATCCTACTGTCAATAGAGCACCATCCTTTAACCTGCAAAACAAACACCAAAAACAAGAAAAAGAGACAGAAGCTTGAAAAGAATACTCTCGCTGGGAGATCGCTTTCGTATTCGAAGCTCAGCGGAAGCAAACGGAGAAAGCAAGGTGTCGACAACGCGGAAGTACAGAGTTAGCAATGAGTGAAACTGAAAGTCACGAGGATATCGTGAAGGAAGAATATACTGATAAGATTTCGTCACCTGTACTGTTATGATGAAAGGGTAGTTCGCTTGTTTAAAAATCAATCATGCAGTTTAACACGCACATAAGGGAAGCAGATACATTTCAACTTCATTCAGATTAAATCCTTTATTATAGCCAACCGAATTCATTATCATAATTTAAAATCTCTGGTTGTTACCTAGGTTTCGACTTGATCGCTACGATTGCTGAAAATGAAGGGAAAACCTGACAGCTCTTCAAAGATCACTGCGATGCTGCTGGTTTTCATATGATCGCCACAATTCTTTAACCTTTTTCAGCCACGATTCTAGGCTTGAGTTACACTTTGGTCACAATTAGGAAAGGCTATAAAGTTATTTTCCTCAAAACGAATTTCGAAATGTTTTCTTCAGATGCCAGCCTTGCATACTACTAACTATTCCTTGAAAACATGGACTACATATATATATACACGCCGACTAATAATAAGGAAATCAAACCATTAAGTGAAGGGACATAATTAACTTGTGGCTTCTAAACCCTTTCATCTAAAAAAGTGGCTAAAACTCTAAGACGTATAACAACCATCTTGCAGTAAAATATTGAGAAACACTGCAAGAAGCACCAATCATAATTTTGAAGGAACATCAAACGGTTTCATTTTATACATGTTATAGAGCTACATACTAAATGATATAGTACGGTCTGTACGTACTGCTAAAGAGGTTTCTGAACTGTCGCTCTAGAGTTTCTAGCCTGCGAAGCAGACGTTTCCAATCGGGTTATTGCGCGAAAGTTGAACCAAAAGGAAAAAACAAACAAACGCGGAAACACTTGCGACGCAGGCTACTACATATTTTCATCCAAGGACTCAAAGGTTAGCAAACTGCAACTTGCCACAATAAACTCTAGTAGTGATATCATTAAAAATAAATAAATAAATGTACACCGTTGTCGACCTTTTCCCAAAATACATATGTTGTGGTTTAATGTTATCCGTGGTTCAAATTTTATTTTCCTTTGTTTTAAACTCATTACCACACATTACCATACCCAAAAACAAAAGAAAATAAAATCTTAACCAAGGATAAAATTGAACCACAACACATACAGACGCATCTATTAACTTTAAGTCACTTCCACTCCAAGGGCTGCTAGGGTTAGGAATAGGTTAGAGTTAGGTTGGTGTCATAGCACATCGTGGGTGACAAACACGGTGATCAACTGTGTTTATTTAAGGGCAAAATAAAGAAATATAAGGACAACAATTCGTCCCTTTTAAGGTTATCTCATTATAGTGGAACTTGCGTGATTCAGGATTCCAATCGTAACTAGGATTCCGCATTTCTTGAGCTGTACTCCGACTTCTAAAGGCCAGGATTCCGGATTCCACAAACTAAACATTTACGTATTCAAGAACCGCCTGATTACCTTACATGGGAGCGAAATTAACTCCTTACACTGACCCATGAAAATACCGCATTCCTGAACAGAGGCGTGGCAATTAATCTGACATGTAAATACGGACTAAAAATGCGTGGTGCACTTAAAGACCATTATAAGAGTGCTGCTGCTTTTGAACACAGGTTTGTTTTGCACAGGCAGTGACTGGTGCCAATGTTAAACATTTTCCATGAGTAGAGTTCTTTTCTGTCTTTGTGTTAAGTACTTGCTCCTTTGCTGAGCAATCCAGGCGTTGATCTGTTTTTCATTCTTGCTGTACACATTTAGAAAGATCCCCAGGAGAACAATACCACCAGACCAAACGTAACTAAAAGAGAAAAAAAAAAAGAATAGAAAGAACCTACACTGGAACTATTTTCACAGAGCCTGTTTCTCCTTACAATACCAAGGTTGTTTAAGGTTTCCTCTATACGGATACTGGAATAATTAACAATTATTCCACGAGAGCTTGTTTCAGTGAGCTACAACAAATATCAAGCCTAAAAATCTACTAGGACTCAGGGGCGGATCCAGGATATTTTTTAGGAGGGGGTGCACTCGTCTCTTGCACTACTTCAACACCAATAAACCACATAGTTTTTTTTTTTGGCAGAATACCAGTTGTATTAGAAAACCGCAGGTCATCTCAGGGGGGGTACCCCTGCACCCTCCCCCTAGAAGATCCGCCCCTGGGACTTATCAGTAATGTCAAACCTAGCCTGCGTAGCAAGCGTTTCCTCGCGAGGTTCGTCTAGAAAGCTGGGACAAGAGCAAAAAAAACATGAATGACGGGGGAGGGGGAGGGGAACGAAGGAACCCGCTCTAACTTTCGCCCAATAACTCGATTGGAAACGCTTGCTACGCAGGCTATGTCAAACCTTCCCATGTGGTGATAATGAAATCAGTAAAGTGGTGAATTAAAACGCGTGATGTGATGGTTTTACAACTTTCTACGCCCGAGATATTCAAGCCTGTCCAGGGAGAAAATGGTCAAGTTTTCCACGGTGACAAGTTCTGTTTGTTACGGATAAGCCACAATATAGTGTGACACGGAGCTCACTGAGGGTAAGGGTAAAATCCTGTACTTACTGTATTGTGAAGGGTTTAGCGAAAAATATAAATGACAAAACCATTGTCACAGCTTTACGACCTGTAGTCACTGGAACACAAAATAATAACAGAATTAGATGAAAGTAACTATGACAATAATATTGCAGAAGCCTGTGTCCATCCGCCCCCTTCGCTCAAACAAAAGAGAGCTTTAGCAACGACGACGGCGACGGCAAAGAGGACGTCAAAAAAGCAATAGGTTTATTACGCAAAACAACAACTTGGCACGTGCATCACGCTTTTTTGTACATTTCTTTACCGTCCTAGCACGACTACGACGTGAAAATGCCTAATTGCAAGTTTTATGGAGGACGTAAACAAGCGACGACGAATCTCTTTTTCCTTCTCTAAACTTGAGTGCGGTCCTTAAGAAATCATCTCCAGGGAAATTCGCCTACACTTGCCATTTTCAGCAAACTGGAATAAACACGACAAAGATTTAAAAAACGGGAATTCATTTTAAAACTGACGTTTTCGCTACAGTTACCGTCGTCGATGCTAAAGCTCCCTAAAAACGGCGGGAGGAGGCGGATGTACACAGGCTAACAATAATGCAGTTAATAGTGTTATTGACTGTTGCACTACAGGAGTCAACGGAAAGGTGCGAGTGTTATAGCCTACGAGCAAGCTCTCCTTTTTAAAAATTTGGGGAGAGTCGCGAGAAGTGACATGAGAGCCGCACTCGAAAAGAGATGCGAGTGCGTTCTCTCACAGCTCGCTTCGCTTGGCACTCGAAATGGAGAGAACTTGCTCGCAGGCTACAGGTGTTATGGGGAATATTACAGTCTGGAGGGAGCCTTCAAGGTGGGGTCAGACTAAAAGAGGGAAAATTGGGGTAAAGAAAAAGGGATGGGACAAGAGAACCTGCTTACAGGCTGAAAAGGTCACCGGTCGTTTCGCTAACGTTGCGTTCGCTAACATCTTAAGTCGTTCCGCTAAGAAGTGAACGAACGTTGCGCAGATATATGCTTCGTTCTCTCAGCCATGATACAAAAAAGTGCGATACGCATGTATATTCCTCGATCTTTCAGCCACTGATCAGGCGAAAGTAGTTAGGGAACTGACCTAACATGTAAGCGAAACGACTTCAGCAGTTAACGAACAGGACGTTGGCGAAACGACCATAAACCGCTGAAAATATACTGTGTTTGGTAAGAATATGTTAAAATTATATTTCAACCACTGTCATACACGACCTGTCTAGATCACTTATCACGACTAATGAAATGAAATTAACTATGTTTGAGCGTCGCCTCAATCCGTTAAAAAGGGCATTTGGCAGTTATGGACACCGTATTTCCTCGAATAATAGCCGTCCCTCGATTAATCGCTCCCCTTTGATGGTAATATTTAAAATAATCGCCTCCCTCGAATAATCGTCCCCCCCCCGCCATCTTCTGTTTCTTTTATCCCCTATCTTTCAAGCTGAAGTGGAATCTGATTCAGCAAAACTGATCAGTGACGGTTCAAGCTCCGAAAATTAATCAAGGAACCAAATTTGGAACACTTAAAAAGCCTATCTTCAGTTTATTTGATGTGATAATTTTTGGATTTATTGGGATAATAAAACAAAACATTTAGGGCACGACTTCCTGTGAGCAATATTTGAAATAATCGCCCCCTTTTGACGCGAAAAAAGAAATAATCGCCCTCGGCTTCTATATTCGAGGAAATACGGTAGTTTCATAGTGCTAGACTGAAGTTATTTTAAATAAAATCTGCCCGCTGATTTTTGTTTGTCATGATTGAAAAATAGCCTTTAAGATATTCACAGTACTTGACATAAATGACACGGCCTATTGACAGGCTATCAAGAATATTACTGTAAAAAAAGAAAGAAACTCATGGGTAACTTATTGACACGCCAAGTATTTTCAGGCTATGTCCTTTAAAATTGAAGCTGAGTAAATATAAACCTAAGAGGATTGAAAATTGCTTAAATAATGGGTTAACTGCGAACGAAAAAACACATTAAAATAATTAATAATATTAGCACAACTTTGGGTCATTCATGCAAATGTTCTGTAGTTACAACTTTGATTAAAAATCAGCATCCCATATCACTCATTTTATGATTATAAAGCAAATGTGCTCTCTGCTCAGTCCAATTACCTTCATAAATTTAAATTATTTTCGTTCAAAATCGGTTTTTACAAGAAATATAAAAATTCACGACTGTCTTCTACGACAAAATGCAGATAGCACAAAAGCTATGAACCCAACACATCTTAAGTGCATAGCATGTAAATTTTGTAGAGGAGCTAATTACAATGAAGGCAAAAGTAAGTTACTAGGCTACCAGGCACTCATACAATGTTTTATTTCATCCCCTTTGAAATCACTGGCGATTCGTGCAATCTAATTGGCTCTCAGCAGTGTGATATATTCCCAAATCACACCATTTTTTTTCTCTAAATCGCATTTTTTTCCAAGACAATGAAAAAGGATCACTAAAACAGCACGACCAACAGGTTTCAAATCTTTCTTAAAGTAACAAATCAAATTGCAGGTAAAATGGATGTAATAAAGTGGTAATTGAACTTTGCGTCGTGCAATTTTGGTCTGAAATCATACTAAGCTTGGTGTGAATTTGTAAATTTAATTTTTCTTTGTTTTTGGTATGAAAATGTATGATGATGAGTTTGAAACAAAGGAAGATAAAAATTAAACCACTGAGCTAAAATAATTATTGATCCATAACATATCTAACACGATTTTCAGGTAAAAAAGCTAGTAAATGTCAAAATCGTTATAAAAGTTAAGTGCAAATCTTAGCAGATGTATAACTAAATTGCATTCTTGTGTAAAATATCGCTGTGGAGAGTTATATGCACAGCGATATTTTACACAAGAATGTAACAACTTGGCATTAATATTGTACCTGTGACAGCTAACAGGGCACCAAATGCTCTAACAAGTGTAAGAACAAATGTAATTCCTAAGTATCCAGTAATTGAAAAGACGAATGCCAATCCATATGCTTGAACTGGGTTCTGCAAAAGTAAAGTTAAGGATAACGCATCAGTTTTTGAAGACGAACATTCCACTAGTTTTGATTTCTTTTGACACAAGTTTCAAGTGTGGATCAGAAATTATCATCTTGCAAAATACTATTGCAGGCGACCAGAGGAGCATGCAGTCCTAATCTTCAGGCTGCTATTGTGCATGGGCAGCACATAGGTAGCCGGCAATTGTTTTTACTTCCACTAAGAATGAATGGAATGCAAGAAGGTAATCTGATCGCTCACTTAGAATTCTATCACTCATAATCTTATCACAAGTGTTTTGAAAATATTGTCAGCATAGTGCAGCATTGGAGCAAGAGTATTTGGCTTTTGCTCGATCTTGCCCGCACTCCATACATACATACATACATACATACATACATGTTTATTCAAACTCATAATGACCACATGAATTTGAAAGGGAGAGTCTAGAGGTTAACCCTATGAATAAAACTCTCCTAAAAACAACAAACAATAAAAATTACAATAAAAATTACAATAAAAATTACAACTTTAAAAAGGATTTGAGTTTACATTTAAAAAGTTCAAGGGAACCGGCTTCAACAACATTACTAGGTAAATTGTTCCAGTAACTAATTACATTGTTAAAAAAAGAATATTTAAAACAGTTGATTCTAGATAATTTACAATAAAGCTTATACGAGTGATTTGCCCTAGTGGATTTGACTTTTGCGAATTGAAAGAATTCCTCAAAATCCAAGTGTGATAAGCCAAACACGATCTTATAACATTCAACAAGAGAGGAATATGTCCTACGACTGGACAAAGATGGCCAATGTAACGAGTCACAACGCTCTCCATAAGACATATCACCTCTTTTTTGCCTAAGAGCTAATCTTGATGCGCGTCTTTGCACGCTCTCTATTGCATGAATATCTTTGACAAGATATGGGCTCCAGACTGGAGCAGCATACTCTAGAAGTGGTCTGACCAATGTTTTGTAAAGCAATGAAAAAGTTGTTGTATTAGCTGTTCCAACAGACCGTCTTATTAGCCCTAGGACTTGGTTCGCCTTATTCACCATGGTACTAATATGTTCACTCCAAGTAAGATCTTTTGATATAATAATTCCAAGATCTTTAAAGCTCTTGACATCTTTTAAGGCCGTACCTAGTTTATAATTCGTATTCGATTTGTCACAAGAATGCGTTATTCGCATTGCTTCACACTTTTCCTCATTGAAACGAAGTTGCCATTTTTTCGCCCATTTACCAAGATTATTCAAATCAGTTTGAAGGTATTGTTCATCGAGACTAGGGTTGCGAAGCTCTCTGTAAATCTTAGTGTCATCCGCAAATAATTTAATTTTTGAAGAGACACTATCAACGATATCATTTATATATGATAGGAATAAAATTGGACCAAGAATAGTTCCCTGTGGGGTACCAGATATCACAGGTGCCCAATCAGAAAAAGTCCCTCTTACAACAACTCGTTGCTTTCTACACGTGAGGAAATGCCTCAACCAGTTAAGAAGTTTGCTCTCAATACCGAGGCTATATAACTTTATGAGTAGACGCTTATGAGGAACACTATCAAAAGCCTTTGCGAGATCAAGAAATACAACATCTGTTGCTACAGATGAATTCCTAGATTTGGCGAAGTCATGAAAAGTAGAGAGTAATTGGGTCACAGTAGACCTACCCTGCAAAAAACCAAATTGGGTTAATATTGAAAAAAGAGTCAGACTTCTTGTAGGAAAACAGGAAAACACTTGCCTGGGAACAAAATTTGAACGCAGGCCACAGTCCACCAGAAAACACCAGGCCAATAAAAATATAAATGAATCCAATACCATATGAATACAAAACCTAGGAAGAAGGACAAGAAATTGCACTTAAGTGACTGCGTTGAACATTTTTTAAATTCTCTGTTAGAGATCAAAATTCTTTAATGGTCTGAGTCTTATTAGTCAGTATTATTGTCACTGGTATCTGGATAAAAAGTTCAGCTGGATTTATGATTGCGCACTTCTTTGGGAATGCACCTGCAAAAAAAGTACACCAGTTGCTGGTGGTGCTGGTGGGGGGGGGGGGATTTCTAGACACAAATATGAAGCATGGCATATTCCTGCCAGTTCATATCAATGCTGCTCTCACATAAAAATATACACTTTTAAGGCCACTTTCATGTATGTCATATAATTCTAATGCAGTGAAAACCTGTGAGTAAGAACCCTAGTTTTGAGAGCCTGTTAGGCTAAAATTTACCAATTGGGCACCTTCCACACAAGAACCTGTTTAGCATAAAATTTGAAACAGGTTCTTTTGTATTTCCTAAAATCTATGAAAAATTCAACACTTGGGCAAAAAAAGATAGGTCAACATTCAGAATCCTCTTTGGAGACAGGTGCTTTATCACTCCAACTGCAATGTAATGGTATGTAGATTTTTAATATGGAATAAGCCAAATACCACTTATGTGACTTGAACACAGACTGCTCTCTATGCCAGCTGTCTGCATTAACTTTGATACATGATTAATCCTTCCTCCATTAAAAGCTTGGCAAATATTGTAGTTGGTCAGTCAGTAATAACTTTTTGCTTCGGCTTTGCAACATTTCACTGAAAACAGGGCTCACGAAAAGTCCTGTCCATTAGTTTGGGACTTGTAAGCAGATTTTTTTGCTGGGAAAGGGTCCAGGCAAGTCATCATCTCAAGTGTGATGCCTTACACATGATTGTCATGCCTGCGGATCGAAAACTTTGAACTCACGCCTACTCACACCTGTGATCCAACTTCTCATGTCTGTGTTCCAACTTCATTAACAAAAATAAATTAATTACCGTATATGAAGAAACTGGAACCAATGAGAAAAGAAATTAGTCCATGTGAATGATCAACTTTCTAAGAATTCTCTTATTATAGTAGTTTCTCAGAATTCTCTTTTATATTATCTTAAATCACTCTTTGGGTATCATCGGACCTCTACAAAAAATCCTGGGACTCTGTTCCTATAAATAATTTATGTTCTCATTTGTGTTCTGGTACTGTTCTTGTATACTGTAAGAAAACCATTGGTCCCAGGCAAGCAATTAATTTGAACTCTTGTGAGCTTTCAAAGCCTTCTCCTGTACATTTCCAATAACAGCATCAGCACACAAAGCCAGGGAAATCAAAACCACCCCTACAGCAAGATGGCAGCATTTAATGACTTGAGAGCATTATTAATTTTGTGCAGGAGGTCATAATAATATAATTTTTTGTATCTGTATGCATGTATAAATACATTCAAGAGAGGAAATTCACTTTCTTAATATGTCTTCTTTCTAATAAAATAAAACATGAGCAAATTGGTTAAATACTATGGTTTTAATTCAAAACAGAAAATATCATAAGTTTACAGTTTTATAAAATTGTATATATAAATTTAGGGAAGCATATTGAATATCCTTTTAAGTAGTTTTAGAATAGTTAAACTATTTTTATCCAATAAGTAATTTAATACCGGATTAACAGGCCCCTGTTGATTGATTAAATTCATTTACAGTAACATATCTATTCTATTAAAAGGCCCCATAAATTCATTTACAGTAACTCTATTCTATCTCTAAAATCTCATCCTTTGCTGTTGTGCTGTTTGTTTGCTAAACCTAATGACCCACCCTTCTCCAATATGCACCCCATCTCTGTGTAGACCCTGAACTAAGGCCATCATTACAGAGTTGAGGGAACAATATTTTATATTGGTGTAAGGCGTGACACAAAAAGTTCCAAAGAAAGACATGTCTGCCAACTCTCCCATGCACTATGCACAAGTCTCACACCCGCCATCTAAAGATATTCATCTCCTATATCAAAGACAATTTCTCACACCTGACTCACAAATCATTAACAATTATTGTTTTTTAACGCATGATTAATAATGAAAATTCAATTCAGTTTCCCTAAAAATATTTCAATAGGCACTTAATGTTAACTTTGTGTGCTAACAGTATCTCCCGGTGCTAAAATTTCCACCATTTTGCCTCCACTACTCAACCGGTACACACAAGACAACAATGTTTAAACAGTGGCCGTTCATGTCTCAAAGCCACCAAATTTATTCAACATATTTGCAGAAAAAATATCAAGTAATATCTATAAACAAAGAACAGAAGCAATAAAAGCCATTATTATAAAACCAGCAGGTGGTTTTACGGGATTTGTACCCCGGAAAAGGCAGTGGTGCAACCTTGGGGTTTTAAAGTGCCTAAACTTTAAACATCAATAAACATATTGAATAAAATAGAAGAGAGAAAAGCAACATCAGGTTTGTCTCTTAAAATGCCTCACCTTCCTTGGTGTACCACCAAACATCTTTCGAATCCCATGACTCCGGCAATCTAACACCCTCCCCAGACCTCTGATAATTCTCAGCAAAATAGTAATTTATGATCATCTGGTGTTCGGGACAGTTTGAAAAATTTTTAAACATCTTTTGGAAGGTGCTCAAAACGTTGGAAAAGCATCCTCAAACAGTGGCTATTCATGTCTCAAGAGGAAAATATAATCACACATTTGACTCAAAAAAAGTTGGCAGGCATAGAAACACAGGCTGGCTGTATAAAAATCATTAATCTACTGAGAACAGAACTTACCAGTGTGGTTAAATTCTGGCTGAACTGTACTGTCAGCTAAGGTGAAGAGTATGAGGCCAACACTCATGCTAATACAAGCCACAAAATCAATGGGTTTGTAAGTTTTTCCTGAAAAAAAAAAGAGAGAGAGAAAAAATATATCATCACATCATGTTTCTTAACACTTAAACCATCAAGGAGAGTCAATGGTTTTTATTTCATAAAATGCTGAGAACTCTAATTCTACTGACATAAAAAAAACTGTTATTTTACTTCTTGCTTCAAAAGGGTAAAAATTATAGACCAGCTTAGGATTGTCACATGGGTGGGCATATTATGGGGGTATCAACAAGGAAATCTGGGGTGGACGTATGAAGAGAAAGAGAGTGATACACTGTATGCTTGTAAAGTGATAGTTCAGAGGGACTGCTATCATAAATTATTATGGCCAACACTCATGCTTAAGGTGTAAGTCTCGAGTCTGAGGACAAAAAACTTTGAACAAAGCAGTATGTTTCTAAAAGAAACTTTGAGATCAATATTACTTTGATCTTCTTACACCAGCTCACAATTGCAAGCCTGGTTCCTTGATGGACACATTTTAGAAATAATGTATCATTAGTAAAATATATTAACTTGAACCAATAAATGAGAAAAGATAAAACCCATTTTATATTCTCCCTAAAATCTCAATTTTAGGATGAAAAACATTCAGAGGCAAGGGGAATGAGTACAGGGAATTATGGATCTCACCAGAACATGTTCAGAAATCTTGTTCAGATGATTTTGCATATTATCAGAATAAAATAATTTCTTACACCTTTGACCTAAAAAGTCAGCAAGTATATAATACCCTACAAAACCAGATAAAAGAAAGTATAAAATTAATTCACCTTGTATAATTATTCCTCCAATCATAACTGGAATTAACTTACAACATTTGAAAATAACCTGCAAAAGTATTATTATCAAGAATTCAGTCATACAAAGAAATAAACTCAATCAAATGATGAAAGTTAAGGTTTATCCTGCAGGTCTGATCCACGTTATTATACCAGGTCACAACAAGCTCCTTCCTTCTCACAGCCCTCTCGTTCCTTTGTTTGTTGCTTAAAACGCATCAAATGGTAACATATTTGACTTCTACCCAAAAGTTCATATAATTTCCCTGCTTTTAAACTAAATGACACCCCCAAAGAGCTGCAGACCAACCATTTTAACACCCCTCGCATGCGGCCGTTCTTTCTTGCACCCATTATTACCTAGCACCTGCTGTGCAGGCTATAACACAGCTACTTTGGTGGAGAGAAGCAAGGTTCTGTTTCAGGACACAACTTAATAGAACCATCTTCACATTGGAGTTCCAAAGTGCTACAGAAACAGAATATATTTTGCTTCCTTTTTCAATGCTAACTGTAATGTAAATTTTGCAATTCCAGTTCATTTAAGGCATATAATTATTAAAGTTAGCATAATATTTCTGTTCAACTTAAGCAGGGCTGTCACTGAGGGTTAGGGGCTGGTGATTTTCCCTGGCTACACTGCAAAACAAGCATGACTGCCCGGCTACTATCATAGGAGACTCAAGGGAGATTATGAAAACCAAAAGAACTTCCTAGCTGTTCAATTCTCCACCTACTAATATTGCATTTCCCCGGCAACTTGAAAATGTTACGTTGTGACAAAATATTTGCAAGAAAAATGCCTGGAAACTAAACATGCATCAATGAGCTTTATGCAAGCCCCTTGAGGAAAAAAGATAATCATTTTAATAAGAAAAAAAAAACACAAAAACAAAAACACTGTTTTTTTGTCTCCATAGTCCTTACCTGTGTGGGATAGTTTAGATAATTCAAGGAGGTATTGGACAAGCCCATTGTGGCCACTGTTAAAAATGCTAAAATGGAATATGTTTTCAGAGGAATCCTATGGATTAGAAAGAAACAACAAATTTCTACTCTCTACAAACACACATGCTTGTCCTAAGATGCAGGCAATATACAAAGTTCTACTCTATACAAACAAACATGCTTGTCCTAAGAGGCAGGCAATATACAAAGTTCTACTCTATACAAACAAACATGCTTGTCCTAAGATGCAGGCAATATAAAAGTGAATACCAGTTTTCACTCTTGTGAATGAACAAAATACTCACAAACATGAAGTCTGAAGCTCAAGAGAGACAATTTGCATAATAAAAAGAAAGTAATTTGCGAATCATTCATTCAGCAAGTGAATGATCCCCGACATGAAGTTGAGGGAAACATCAGGACTCTTGGGAAAACAATACTAACTGCTCCCTCTGGACCTGAGATTAAGTGTATAATATCCAATTACTTCATTTCAAGTAGAACTTCAAGAATCTATACATGTATATTAAATGGGAGAAACCAAACTTTAATCAACAGGTGAAACACATAAAACTGACTTTTCTCCCTAGGTCCCTTAATGTCACACTGATGTTTACAGTTAAGCCAGGTCAAGTGTACCCCCCAAGATTCCATTACACTGTAATGAATTTACTATTCGAAAGGTGAGTCCATTAGTCGTTGCTGCAATCAGTATTAAATTCAAATCTACATTCTTACATGATTGCATAATTAGCGGTGAACTTTTTACAATAACTTCCCCGTACTGAAATATCTTTGAGTGGACAAGATTACTTCAAAGACATTTACATCAAATTCAAGAAAACTGAACTAGAAGAAATTTCATAACTAACTCGCATGTGAATTCACTGCTCATCATGCATGCAGGGATGCAGAGATGAATCTGAAATTATCTCCAACTAATAACAACGGATTCAACTTTCAAATAATAAATTCATTATTGGAATCTTGTGGGGTACGCTTGACCTGGTTTGACTGGTCCTTGACTGTAAATATCAGTATGGCATTTTGCATATTTTAAACTTTTAAGTACACAAGCACTGTAACTCTTTATTCAAGGATGATGTCAGAATCTTTAACATTGATGATGGGTGTACTGTCAAAGCACATCTGAATAATATTAAAGAAAGTCATATAGTTTCTATAAAAATTTTTATCTAGGCCTTAGAGCTACCGGTAACTTACTTTCTGGTTTTATCTGCTTTAAAGCTTGTTTCAACCATTCCAAATACAGCATACAATGCAAATTGAACTAATGTTAGGTACCATCCAAATGGCTTCATTCCTGTTCTAAATATCCACTCCTATATTAGGAGAGCAGACAGAGCCAAATAAGAGCTAATTTGGCACTCATCATATCATATCCTCTGTGCCCCCCATTTACCTTTAACGCACATACAGTATAAAAATTACTTTTAGTTAAAAGTAACCACCAGTACAGAGGAACTTTGTTATAATGAACGGTCAAGGCAAAATATGTTTGCCATAATAGGGTTCATTAAATCGGCAAATTTTCCACTAATTCTTTTTTTCCACACATACTTTGCTAGAACTGAGGCAAAGATTATCATTTGTTATACCAAGGACTGCTGATGGGGGAGGGGAGGAAATTTAATTTTAATATTTATACTCTTTGTTCCCAGTTCGTTGTTTTACAGGACCCTATAGATTGTTTTCACTACATACAGTGGAGGAACAAGAAAATTAAATGTTATAAAAGACTAAAACATAAATGATTTGTCCAAGTTTCAGGTCTTTGTGTCCCAGAGGTTATTTTTACAGGTCATGATCCTCCTTCAGGTGGAGTTCACTTTTCCTATAAAAATGACTAGAGCCCATCAAAAAAGCTCAAAAAGTCAGACCCATGGACTTTTGACCATTAAAATCCCATTGTCCCCAGACTACATTATTTTATTGCCTGTCCTGGGTCTCCAAAGATGTATAGGTTTAGTGGCCAAATATTGTTAGGTCAGTATAAGGTTATTTTAGGGTCATGTCCAGACATGTGTTTATGCATCAATCAGTGGCAGGCATTACGATCCCCTAGGGTTAACCTACATGGCAGGCACAGGCAACCTGAGGAGGGGAACTCCCATATGAAAGAGACAGGGATATCACAATTATATATTTTAACTAATCTTAACTGGTTCTTGTCTGTTTACCTGTTTTAGGGGTGAGATAAAGCCTGGGCCATAACTGGAATTTTCTGACTAGCATCCCTGTCCCTTTCCTGGGAGTCACCCCCTTGGGCACAGGAATTTGTTGAGTTTTTCTACATGTATGCATGAGGTGTGATTTCCCTGCTAGCAGAGGCCTCTTTTCCCTTGTACTGGCGGGTGGGAGGAAAAGAGATCTCTTCTCCTGCCTGCAAAATACCAAGGAAAAGAGACCTCTGCCAGCAAGGAAAGTAGTGGTAGGCCTGATTTCCAGTCATTTGAGGGAGTCCTGTTTACATACTCAGACCTAGCCAACCCCCCCGAGTACAAAAATCTGGAGATGTCTAGAAATCTTAGCACTGTAAGAACATCATTTTCGACAATGTCTGAATACTCTATGAAAATCACCCAAAGGCCTTCCGAATGTTCCCGATGTTGATAACAGCAAGTGAAAACCGTTCCAGCTTTCTACCATGTATTATACAATTTGATTGGTTGACTTCTGACCAATTCAATACTAGTTAAATAAATATCAATTCGATTGTTCTGTTTTACATTTTCCAATCAAGAACAGCTTAAAAAGAGCACTAAATCCAATTCTTGTTTTACTTTCCTTTTTGATATCTTGAAAATAACGAAATTAATGAAAAAAAATTGACAAAGGCCATGGTAGGTATTTCCAGGAGATTAGATGAAAAACTTGGAGACTCCCGGGAAAATCGGGATAGTTGGCTCCAAATGCTGTGGCACCAAACGACAGGCCAAGACTGGTGTGGGAAATGTCACTTTTGCCAAAAGAGAGAGACTTGAACAAATTTCCCAGGCTCAGGGGGTTGACGTTTGCAAGAAAACAAACCAGACGGTGAGATCAGCCGACCAATGATGATTTTTTAAGGCTTCAATGTTTACAGGGTGTATCTAATCGATATTTTCGATACTCGATAGAAATTCAACGTAATCGATCGTAACAAACACCAATCAATCGATTACTATCGGAAATTGATAGAAATCAATCACTTGCATCTTTGTGATTATCGATTTTGATCGATTTCTGTAATTAGCTATTGATTTTATTGATTTGTTCAACAATGATCGAAAAGAAAATGGACGAAGATTCTCTTTCATAAAGGTCTCAGTTTACAGAAGTGATCCTGGTGAAAAAAAAGAGAAGAAAAGTAGCTACAATATTTGTTGGAGAAAGGAGTAACATCATCTTTATCAACAAAGCGGATTTGAAGGTAAACTAGAAGGTAAGTGTTACGCACTGTTATGATAAGATCAGATCACGTTTTTGATTTTCGATTTCCATAGACGTAACAAAAAATTTGTGGTTATTGATTTCAATCGATTAAATTATTATCGATCAATCGATTACATTTTCGATGATCGATTTCTATCGATTAGATACACCCTGATGTTTATGATCTTATATCTATTCCTCACTACCCTTCGAGGAGTGGTTTCTCCAGGCCGGACGCTACGCTAGAGGAACCACCGCTCGCAGGGTAATTCCTCACCTGCACGTATCCATAAATGAGATAAAACAGGAACACTCCTCCACAACAAACTAAGAATTGAGTTGCTCTGGGCAAAGAATCCAATGAGATTCCCAAAACCACCAAGTGTTTCCGGCTTTCAGAGTCTTCCTTACTTCCTCCATTTTGAATCGCGATTGTAGTGTGCTCCGGCCTGCCTTTTTGAAGATCCGTCATTGAATTATTTCTCAGTTTAAAATTTGCTGAACGAAATTCGTTTTTCAACATCAAAGACCTTACTAAACCGGCCGGAGCAAATGTTTAAACAGTTATTAGCGAATATAGTAAAAACTCAGTCGTTTAACATTTAACATATGGATCCCAGCTGTTTATGTGGCACCGACTCGTTCCTATGGATGAAGCAATGAATGTCGCCGGTCGCCGCCATGATTAACTTAGCGCCCGCGAAAAACCGGGAACGAGTTTCAAACTACTTGGCGTTTGCCACGTTTGCCCTTAACGTTTGCCCCATTTTCCAATTGCCCATAATACACTCTGTTTGCCCCCCAAATTCTGCATAAACCATTGTTTTTAAATGCTCCTGGGAGTATTGCATTTTCCCAAGAGCATTTTAAGACAATAACTTATGCAAAATTTGGGGGGCAAACAGAGTGTATTATGGGCAATTAGAAAATAGTCAATTGGTACCCAAGGTTTTTTTCTCGCGTTCGGCTGGATGCTTTTGCGTCGGCCGCAGTCGAGGTGAATAAAAATGGATTAACGAGCCAGATGAATAAAAAATAGATAAACAAGTAAACAATGAAATAAAAATAAACAGCTTCTGAGTAAGTGAAAAAATAAAAAAAATGCGCTCTAACAGTTCATAGTCTCTATCTACATGTATGTCCTAATATCTGCTGTTGTCTCTTGCTGTTGTCCAGTACACCTCTAATTTCAGTGGTTCACTAAAACAATTTTTCCTTTTGTTTTCAGGGATAGGGGCATTGTTATGTCACCGTTTCTATTGCTTTCACAGCCAATTGTGTGAGCCGTTCAGTGAGGTGCCGCTTGACCCAATATCTGAAGGAAGATGGACACAACAGTGCATCGCACCTCAGAAAAGACTTAGAACAGCAGTAAAAGCGCACTTTCCATCTTTCCTACATACCAGAGCAAAAAAATGTCATGGTGTAATTTTATCGCTGGTTCGAATTTTATTTTTCCTTGACAATGTATGATGACCCGATTGTGAGTTGTTTCATATTCTATGAATTCTTTAGCCACATCTTGGCAACTTCCACTGCCCTGTTCAAAAATCTGTCTCTTTTTTCTCCTTCTTCCTTTTGCAATGGAGGTTTAGATATTTAACTTTGAAGTCACATCTCCACTGCAATTGTACAGGGGACTGAGGTATATTACAGATTTTGACGAGGATTGTAGGCTTGTGTATAAAGAAATACTTTTTTGAATTTGAGGTATCTGTTTTTACACTGTAAATTTGTGTATTCCTTTATCTTGGGGTTATACATGTAGGATAATGCCTTCGCTAGTCGATCATCTTAACAATAACAACCGAGCGAGTTTTGAGGCCTCGGAGCTCAAACATAATATAATTATATTTATCTCGTCAAGTGAAAAAGAAAAGGGAAGAAAGAAAAAAAGACGAGTTTACACAGGCATTTCATGATGACACCACAGGACAAAAAAAAATTAAGTAAAAATTTTATTTGATAACATTCCTCCTAAATACTTGTATTTACAAGGTTTCAAGGCAAAACATATCTTAGGTAATAAAATAATCCATGAGCAAACTCTATTCAGACTGGTTTTTAACCAACATATTTCAGTTAAATTGGTAAAGAAAGAAAGCAGTAGAGGAACCGCATCAGCACTTCATCATGCAAAAATATACTTATCTGAAACAAACAGCGATTAAAAGTGGGCATACTTGATAAAGTTTTCTAAGCGCCTCACTCAGGCTAGCAGAATTAATGGCTCGCTCATTCTGTTGTCGCTTTTTTTTCTATATTGCTTCAAGATCTGAAGATAATTCTGTTCGGTGAGCAAGGAGTTCAAATAGTACTTCAATTGAAATAAGGCGCAAGTCTACATTTAGAGACAGAGAGTCGTTGAACATCCAGTGATCCCATTGTAGATGTACGTGTTGTTAAACGGGACAAACTGGTGAGTGATAAGCTTTACGATTTCTTGGGCTGCCGCACCTGAGCAATAAATATAAAAAAAACGATGTTAATTCTCCATTTCAGACACGAGAAGGGACAGCAGTGTAGGAGCTGCTCGTAAGGTGTTTCCTCATCGGTCGCAGAAAACAATAACACATCATTGTTTATCATTAGTTTCACAGTTAGCTTTTAGGGTTAGGAGAGCTGCCAGAAGGAATCTGGGCCGATTTAACGTTCGCAAAGACTTCTAGGTACACGGGGATAAAATAGCCAATCGACCAACAGCTGATCTTACAGCTGATCGGCGTGTCTCCGATAACGAAACAATCGCGGGCCACATTTCGACTCCAGTTCCCTTCTCGTTTCTATGTGGCGAATATTAAAAATGTCCATTTCATACGTGAAAAGAGACCTATCGCTTCACAAATAATCTTAGCATAGTACTGTTGCCACCACCAACCTTGAAAGATAATAGTGAACTTGCACAACAGGACGGGAGAGGAAAGAAGATGTCAAACCTTGTGTGACAACCGTGACAATAATTTTGCTTGAAATAACTTTTCGCCAAACATCACTTTCCTTTTTTAAAAAAAGATCTGTTTAAAAACAGATCTTTTTGTGAAAACCACAAAACATCAATTCTAAGTGAAGATCACGACATAACATGCAAGTTATAGCCCTGTCACGTTTGTCACGCACAAACATTTTGCTGTCCTCTTTTTCCTGCCGTCCTGTTGCGTAAACTCACTAATGTCAAGTGGTAACGGGAAAACTAGGAACAATATTTATATCTTCCTGTGCTATTTTACTTTACAAAATCTTGCGCCCAAAAAGTGTATTCGAGTAGATATTCTTAGAAACTAGAATGTCACGTTAAAATCAGATGCTGCGACTGGTGAAAACATTTTTTAAACTGAATTTCACGTTTGTATCCGTTAGTTGTTCTTGCGCATGATTTTCCAGAAAATGTGTCGAGGTGGGCTGCACCTAAATATAAAATGTCCCGTACAACTCAGCAGATTTTCCCTCTAATCCAACAGTTTCAGAAGACATTTTTTTGCACTTCATTTTTTTCACTTCCTTCAAAAGCATTTTTTGGCACAGAATTCACGTTAGAGATACCCTGGGAACCAGAGATTTTTTCTCGCGTGTGACGTGGAGCTTCGTCGGCCGCAGGCCGACACGTCTTCCGCCTTCGGCCAAAGACACGAGCGGCGAAGCCGCTAGACTTGACTTGATTTTAAGACTTGACCGAAACCGGAAACCGCGAATGAAAAGTCTCTGGCACCCAGGGTACATTAGGGACGTGCGACCTTGGTCATCTGTGTCTTGTCTCACCTCCAATAAAAGCTGCAACAGAATGCAACTCGCTTGCTCCGTATCGACACCTAAAAAAGACAATGCACATTCTCAACACTGTCCGGCATTTTTCTGTCATGGTGCTTATGAGGAGAAGTTATTTAATAGCCAAGAAATTGATTTTATATGGGGAGGCAATTTCTTTAATGAAGGAAATTGAAAATTCGCAAGTTCCCTTTGACATTATATTTTTAAATGCAATAAAAAACACAACTAAATTGGATAAAACAAAACTATAGGGCAAAATACAAAAAGCTCGAAGCGGAAGACTGTTCCCATCGCATATATAAATCATTAAAATGGCCTTTTCTGTGTTCTTGGCAAATTTTGGGTACTTTCTTCTTTTCAAATGCTATTGGGAACGTATTGAAACGCTAAAGTCAAAAGAGTACTCAGGCAGAAAATTTTAACAGTTAGTCTCGCAGGAGCATACTCACATTTCATGGACATATTCTTCTTTGATATCCGCATTTATAGACCACTCTTGAAGAACAGCGCTTAGGCAGGTCTGCAAAGAAAACAAACCGTCTTATGAAAACTGTGTGATTCGTCCGTGCTATTTCAATCACTAATGTTAATACACTTTTCTTTTGGCGTAGGTTTGTAAGAATTATGTTCCTGTGAAATGAGAATTTGATAGACAATGATACGTGCTAAAGTGCTCTCCCCATATTTTTTCATTTATCTATTTACTTACTTCATTACCTACAGTAATTGTTTGTCTTTCTTGAATTCAATAAACAAAGTTTTTTTTCTCGCTCCGAACGTCACCGTCTTACACCAAGCAAGAACTGCACGACAAATAAAAATGCCACTTATAAAGTGAATTCGATTTCTTTGAAACTTATCATGATTCTTCTAACTTGCTACACTTGCCAGTTTATCACAAGTTTTCCTTGAATTGAAATAGATTTTGAAATAGAAAAATCTATTTTAAAAAAATCTTATTAACAAAAAGCAAAAATCTTATTTTTGAAAAAGATTTTTTGTAATATTAGATCAAAAATAAAAAGGAAAATTCGCCGTCCTGTTTTGACGTCCTGTATAACATCTTTACTAGTCCCTAGGCCTCAACTGTCCGCGCGGCCTTTGCGTTTCGGGTAACGTGGACCGAGTGTCTCGGATACGTCACCGAAATGCAAGAAGGCCTCGGAAGACATCGTACCGGGGACTAGGCGTCGGACTTGGTTAACATGACAATTTCATCGCATTTGTAAAGATGACGTAACAGAAGTTTAATGCACCTGCAGAGTTAAACGAGACAATTCACAACATTTTTGCGACATTGCTGGAACATTCCGACGCTGTGTTACGCTGAAAACTGTCGTTGCGAATCGTCCCGTGTAACATACCTTAAAGGTCTCTAATAACGAGTTCAAAACGACTGAAATTTTCCAGCACCGCAAACCAACCCACCTTTAGCTTAACGACATCTACTTCCACCTGATCATCGAAATTACCTGAAACAGTCAACGGAAATAATTTCTCACAAAACGAAAAACAGATTTAATTTCAGTATTAAGAAATTTTATTTGATATCCAGCAGTTTGCTAGTGAGGCAAAGTGGTAGCCGCTCTAACGCCCAGTGCAAACGGACGCAACATTGTTGGCCAACAACTCCCAACATTGTTGGATGTTACATGTTCCGTCCGTTTGCACACCCTGTTACATGTTGTTACTTGTTGTAAAGTTTCAAACCGGTCAAACGTTTAGCTACGAACAAACGGACGCAACAACCCCTAACATTATTGGGCCAACAATGTTGGGAGTTCTTTCGTCTGTTTGCACGTAAGTTAACGTAGTCGACTACAGGGGCGGATCTAGGGGGAGGGTGCAGGGGGTGCGCACCCCCCCTGGGATGACCTGCGGCCGCTTTCTAATTAACACTGTGCAGTCGCTTCACAGTCATACAAAATCTGCTCTATCGTTTGATATGTATTCTCAGCAGTTCATATTATGTTATTTCCTAGTCAAAAGCCCTCTTCTTTGTATTCGCTTTTAAAATTTCTTACGTCATCAGTCAGTTAGTGGTGCACCCCCTCCTAAGAAAAATCCTGGATCCGCCCCTGGACTAGAATTTACCTGGATATCTGTGGTATTGAGTATAGAATCTATCCACTGCTTTTAAAAGGAAGTAGAATACTGCGTCACTGTCTGGATCGTCAAGGTAACCGCCTAAAAGATGAAGAGCTTCATATCAGAGACCGTAAACTTCCGCTTATAAGCCTCCCCTCCCCCTTTAAAAGCTCCCCCCCTAGTTGAGGGATCGTCTATTATCTATCAGTTTAAATTGAATTCTTGAAAACAATTGAACTTGTGATGCCTCAGGTAATACCCTCAATATTACTGTGCAGTGGTTTCCTCTAGTACTGTGTGTAATGGGTATCTGGAGCCAATAGGGACTGTTTATTGAAAAACCACAAAAGAATTCTAGAGCGTCCTTAATCAAGGAAACTTTCAGCAGAGAACGTTCAACTTATGTCAGCGTGAAACTACACCAGATATTCCATCTCCAGTGAAACATTCATCCTTCCAAGAGGAAAATTTCGACTACCCAATTAGGTTTTGCAACAAACAAACAAACAAACAAACAACTGAAGCTAACAAACCTAATTCACTTGCTTTGGTTGCTGACGGCCTGTATTCTTCAGCCAAAGATCGACCACGAATTAACCTTAGAAATGACGCGTTTTTACCTAGAAATAAACATAATGTAACAGCTGCAATTTTATTTCCTGGAAAAGCATGGAAGTGAACCAAACCAGAAGTAAAGATATAACTATGACATCCGTTGTTCTATAAGCCACTTTCACGAAACTGTTTACACTTCAACTGAATCAACTTGTATCGAGACGGTGACCAGTAAGCTTATGGAGACATCAAAGTTGCCAGAACAAGACAAGTAATGAAAACACATACACTAGTCCAAAGAAACAGGAAACTATACTTACAGAAAAGTTTAATTTCAGAATCAGGTATTGTGTCTGAAGACTGTAAAGTAAACAAAGAAGATATAAATGAAACAGACCAATAAAAAATGGTTTGAAAGACATTTCTCGTGAATAACAGTCCCCTGTGGCTCCTCAATAATTCCTTCATTTTCATTATCCCAACGGAAATTTCCCTTTAATCCCATAAAAAAAATTATCCCAGTTTTAATCACATAATCCTTATCTTGGCTGAGCTTGTTTTAAAGGTCCTAACAAGGGTTTCAGACTCTCTCAACAACAGAGAACCAGAGGCAGAAAATCAGACAACGAAATTGGTACTTGGTGGGTGCTTGAAATAAATGTAAATGGTACTAACGTGGGTGCTTGAATTAAATGCCCAATTCAGACCAACTAAACCTGTTTATTTAAACAGCTTTTAATCATGTTTGAAATTTGGTGTGAATGGGGCATAAATCAGTAAGGGAAGGTTTTTTTTTTCATTATCATTTAGAAAATAATGCACCTCAAGTTGTTCTTAACAGATGTCCATTTTTTAAAACAAAACGTATCAAGTTTGTATCATAAAATTACGGCCTCCCATACCATGTTCATGGTCACAATCTGAACCAGGCTCACTCCCCTTTGAAATCCTCTGAAATCATGAATCATTCATGGCCTTCACATATTCCAAAAGCCAAGTTCTGGAAAAATCACCTTCCTCTTCGAATAGGGTTTAATATGTACAACTAAGAAACAACAGTTCAATTAAAGGCCTGATGTGCCGAAAAAGCGGAAATAATAGATGAAGGAAAAGTATTTTGGCCCTATACAACTTCTGGAAACTGAAAATTACATAAAATTCCTGTCTACCTTACCCATCAAAAGAAGAAACTGTAAAATTAAATTTTTTTTATAACTGGTCTTGTGTACCTCCTACTAGTAATCAGATCCAGAACAACACACCTTTCCTAAATCAACTAATATTCTCTGTACTCTTTGGGTTATTGAAGCAATGTCCTTTCTTGCTTGTTCTTGGTATCTGAAAAGGACAATAAAGCAATAGATTTAATAAGAAGTAAATAAACAAACACCAAAACATACATTGATGTCCTAATACACTCTCAATGATTTCAAAATTTGCCTAAAACTTACATATTTTGAAGTTCAATGTATCTTTTTGAATCTGCTGTCATGTCTGGAATTGATCCTCTTAATGGCAGGGCACCTAAAGAAAAAAGGTAGCTTGCTTTTCAGAAATATGTTAGTGCATAAAATGGAATATTTAAGCTAATAATAACTTTAATTTGTGGACAAATTCAATGACAAACACCTCCACAGTTAGTTATTACCTTCTCCTTCATTTTCCACAAATTCCTTTGTTGCTTTTGCTAAGATCCAAAAAGAACTACTCTAGAAGACGAAAACACAATATTATTCCTTTAAGATACAAATAATTAGGCTTTGAACTTCAAAGATATTATCATTTTCAACTAGACGTACATACAATGTTTCATTTTGTCTTTATACTGAGGCCGCCAAGTTTGATTTGAGAAGAAAACTTTGTATGGAAAAAATCAACGATGACCACAACAACAACAACAGAAAAACAGGTTCTATCCAATAACATTGTACTTACAGATTCTCTATTATTAACACAAGCATCATCAGAAAAAATTTTAGAAACGTCACTTGGGATCTGCAAGCACAAGATGAGAAAAGTGAATTTAAAGTCACAAAATCAGATGCACACAGAGGGATACCTGAACATTCGAGACAAAGAGAGCAAAAAGAAGCAAAAGAAGCAACAAAAGAAACTGGACTATGCATACTGTTTTGACATGTGCATAATGACTGTAGGAAAGGAACAATGCCCCATGCCAAACTTCTGGTCAACCATATCATTAATTTTTTCTCAGTTGAATCTCACGGCATTTTTTCAAAGTTAATGGCCCTGATGGGCCTGACAGTCGTTAAGTTTGCAGTTTATTCAGATCCAGTTTTCATTAAGCACAAGTTGCCATTCATTGTTCCTGATAGCTGTGCATTTCGCTACCCTACCAAAAGCTTACCATCTAACAACTTACAACCTAAGCCACAACTCTTTCCTTCAGACCCCCTATGCATTTAACGTTTAGCCTTTAACCTTTATGTATTTAAATTAGTTGACAAAATAGGGTAGTTCCAAAGCTACAACATAATTTAATGGAAATGGTCTTTTTACGACTCCTTACCCTAGTAGGAACAAGAGCCATATTCACAGCCCTTATAGCTTCATCAAAATTCTCCTCCTCCTCTGGAATACCATCTTTGTTGACTAAGATCCCTGCATCACACCAAGACAGTAATAAAATTAAAAAATGACAAAAGAAACTCTCTGCCACTGCAAGCTTCAATAAATAGTTCACTGACAGATGAATTCTTGTGCAATATCATGGATAAAGAAGTCAAACTGTGTAGCCTGCATAACCTGCTTTGCACACCAGACATTTTCATGTGATTTGTGCAAAATAAATAAATTTTTAATGTAGATTATTTGGGCTATACAGCATGACATTTTTATCAGCATGGTGCTGGGCACTAGAATTCAGCACTTGTTGACATTTTTTTGATGAAAGAAGTCTCAATTGGTAAAAGAATGAAAAATTTATTTTAAGCAAAGACTTTGCTTTTCTGGCCTATGCATGTAAGAGCATCCCACTACAGAAAGTAGACAAGAAAGCACCTTACTAAGTACTGACCTCCCCTCAGCATTTGCTTGAATGAGTCCTTTTCCTTGTAATTTTGAGGTGGTTTTCCATCATGCTAAAAATAATTTTGAGATAGGATATCAATAAAGTAGAAGCCTAATTCCAGGAACTCACATGAGAAACAAAAACTCAAATACAGTGTAGCACACCACAAAAAGTACAATTATTAAGACACTTCTTGCAAGTCAACACCTATCCTTGTCCTGAATGCCTACATTGTACCTACAGCTATACATGTAATAGTCCCCTTTTTTACGTCGGGACATGTGATTTTGTAAAATTATATATACACCTTTCTATTCTTTGTGCATCTGTTCACCATAACTCCTCATTGTTCTAAAAACTTTCTTAAAGCTTAGAAGAGTAGGCACTTGGCTTTTCTAGGAATGGTTTTAGGACAATAATAACAACATATTCCATTAAAATTTAAAAATTAAACATACCTCTGCTTTCCACAGGTTCAAATACTTCAGTAGCAATACTACATAAGGTGTGTGGCCATGTTCCTAAAACAAGGCGGAAAAAAAAGAAAAAAAAGACATTGCACATGTTGCAATATTATATTACAAGAACTTGAAGCATTTAAGGTTTAGAAAAGAGCTATGGCTAGTAACATAAGAAAAGCTGCAGAAACACAAGGTGAAAGGTGTTGTATTTCCTATTAAATCTCTTAAAATTTATTGAACATAAATAACTTTGTGTGGCCTGTTGCATGTGACATCATGGCAGCCATGTTGATGTTCAAGAACAATAGCCATAAATTTCTACGCTGGGAACTTAACACTGTTTTTATCAAATGAATGCAATTTTGTAAAGAAATAAACACTTGAAATTAAAATACAATAAAATTATTTTAACTATATGCTTACTGCGCACATACCTGTTTAGTCATTTTACTAAGATCTAAGGCATCTACATATCGCACAAGGGTAGAAAATGGTCTGTCTAATCTAAGGTCAGGATGTGTATTATCAGGATGAGATTCGACAACTGTAGAAGCAACAAAAATGTTCAAAAATCTAGATTAAGTCAATAGTGAGGTAGAATAAGAAAACAGTCAACTCATGATAACAAATCATATAATATTAACATTTTAATACATGAATATTACCACAATGTTCTTGCAACACTATCCTCATACATCCAATGAAGCCATAAGAACAACAAACTAGCAGGGGGATATTTTCTGGCCATAGCAATGAACCAAGTTTTAAAAGTGTTCTGCAAAAAACAAAGATGAGAGAGCTTACTAGAGGACGACAAATGTGTGGAATATTGAGAAGTGGTTGTGAATGCCAGTAAAGTGCCTTTAACTGTCTTATTTTGAAAATTCATGATACATCACATACATGAAAGGAAAGATTGCTTGCTTTCTTTTTTTCCATAATTTATAAAAAGGAAAAGCCAGAATTGATTCTATTGCTGGTTCCCAGAAATTACACAATCTTGATGTTTTATATAATATCATCAAGTCTAAATTAAACCTGCCAAATTTTCCAAAGTTTAAAGTATGCATGTGTTGAAGACTTAAAGACAACTTCTGAAGAGTCCCAAAGATTCCCGAAGATTTCCAAAGGTTATGGAATGTAGTGGGGCAAGGTGCCAAATCTTGCATGTCTTAGCATGCGATATTATTAATGGTTATGGAACATGTATTCCCGAATAGTGAGTTAATAATACATCAAAAATTGTCCTGTTTGAGTGTGGTCAGCATTTTTGATCTGCAGGTGTGTGACACATGCTCACTGCATATGAGTAGGCAGGTTTATCATAAATGGTATGCACATGAAAGCTGAATTCCACCATCATTAATAACCATTGGATTGGCTGCCTTGTGACTTACCCTTCAGGAAGTTGAGTTGCTAAGACAACAGTGTATTTTTTAAAGAAATCACTATTTTCTTTTAAAAGGGAATCTGCTGCCTAATAAAAAGAAAATCAATGCAACAAGAATAACATTCATTTAAATTACATGTATTATAATACAGTTATTAATTTCAGCAGATCTGAAATTATCTAATTTGTCACACAAAATAGAACGAAAGAATTGACAACAATAGAAGCAGCAGGGTAGAGATGGGGCCGCAATGAGATAAATTGCCCTCAAGTGTACCAAGAGTTTGATTTCCAGAGAAATCTAAATACCACTTGTAGATTACATGTACCATATTTAAAAATGTACTCAATAGAGTGCTATGGTGTTTTATTAAATGTTTCATTTGCTGGTAGACCTACTTCTGGCTATTAAATAGCAAGTAAATTTTCTTTCTTTTTCTTTGTTCCATTCACAGGGAGAAACTTAATTTCCAAATTATGTGTTATGTCCATTTCTAAATCCAAACAAATAACAATCACAGTAATGGTCATACAAGCTCTTCAGCATCAACCATGTCAAAAATCAATAAGCACCATATCCTTGTTGAGGGGATGTGACTCTCGTTCAAGGGTGGTGCTTAGTAATATTTTTGCTGCTAACTGTGCGCTTATTTGGGGGTGGTGATTATTTGAGGGCAGCTCTGTTTAGAGTGACTATGGTAAGAGTAATTTCATTGCTGCTTTCATATCCTTGCTCCAAAGGCCCTCACTCAAGTTATTAGTTTTTCAAAAAGTTTCTTAGAGCCAGTCACATTTCAAAGCAAAGTTTATTTATTTATCATGCTTAAGGTTAATGAATCTTTCTTGTCCCTGTAAAACATACTAATTAAAAAATAACTTTTACCGCTTCAATGAAGTCTCCTGAGACGTCTGAATTGAGTTCAAGAAGAAACTCAGTGGTGCACTCTGCACGAGACTAATAAGAAAAAAACAACTTGATTTACCAAAAACAATGGTGACATTAGTTTCACATCTGTTACTGTGATGACAAAATGAAAGATTACTTTGTTCCAGTCAAGGGTTTTCATTAAGAATTCTAGTAGCAGGAGAAAGGTGTAATGTTACCAAAGAATATTTTGAAAGAGGCTTCATGTCTGAATAAAAAATAGTCATAAGCTACCGAACATTAGTCAGAGAATTCTACATGGTAAATGGAGAATAATTCTAAGAATAATTCTCCGATCAATGATGCCTAATGAACACCCTGCCAGTCCCAACTGATATCAAGAAAATGAAAGAGAATGTACATGTAGGACCTCCTTGTAATAGCATATGTGTAGCTGCACACTCCACACAAAGAACAAAAAACAGCATATAGACTGAGGGCTTGAAAAAAAAGGCCTTCCCAGTAGTCTGGGACAAGTAGATTTTCTTGTTGGCCAAGTAACTTGTAAAGCTTACTAGTTTACCAAATGGGCAAGGGTCCAGGCAAATCATTAACAAAAAAATCATTCACTAAGATGAGAAAGAAGTGGTCCAAAGCAAGCAAAATGTGACAGCTATTTACCCAAAGGACATGCTGGAATTCACATTTTTTTTTCTAGCCCTGAGACTATGCTCTAACTGATACAACTTACAGTGTGCTTACTTTGTAAATTATTAAAAGTACCTACAAGGCCATAACACATATACATCTGAACGATTGACCTAAAGTATAAAACCTCTTAGATTACCAATGCACTATTATTTAGGGTGTGTTATATATATATATATATATATATATATATATATATATATATATATATATATATATATATAAATCAGTGCAGTGCTGATGTCTAGGATGGAGGTTAAGCTTAAAAAGCCACCCCAAATGTCCCACACATGTGATACATCGAAGCCATGCCAGAGTGCTCAAACTAGCGAGCTAGCGATATATATATATATACATAAAACTTTGTACCTTTCCGACACTGTCTTGAGTCAAAAAGAAGCTACAAGAGGTAATCAAAGTATGAAATAAAGTATGAGTCAAAGAGCTTCAAGGAGCTAAAGTTTAGAAATAAATCTAGTTTATGAAACACAAAAACTAATGAAACACAAAGTAAATGAATGATTTGCACCACAGAACTCAAAATGTTTGCTCCATTAGGCTTCATCTTTCAGCAAGACAAAATAAGAACACAAGAAACTGATTATTGTTTAGTATCACACTCACTTATTTCCTACATCTTCCCCTGTGACTTTTTCTCCATCAACAATAGTGAATGATCCTATACCTAAAAAACATGGAGAATTTGCACATGTATGATGAATAAAACTAAAAAAAAACCTGTCAACAATCCAATGTAATTTTATAAAATGCTCTGATCTTGCACTTTGAAAAATTAATGAGACCCCTATGATAAAGACAAGCACATACACTTAACATAGATAGAGAAAAATAATAATAAACATAATCATGACGATGATAATGATGATGATGATGATGATAATATATAATTGAACATAACTGGACTTGTTGAACACCTCTAGGCTGCATAAGCAAGTACAGCTGTACCCCTCTGCAAGGGGCAGACTACAGCTATTGCCACAACAGGGTATCGCTGGGGTAAAGAAAAATGTTCATTGTACCGAGCTTTGTTATACAGAGATTCGTTATATCAAGATTCCACTGTACCTCTTATTCATCTTGGACAAAAAATTTGTAAATGTGGTGAAATATACCTTCCTCCCTACATGGCCCAGGGGGTGTACTCCAGATTTCAGGTGACGGGGATGATGGAATGGGGGCAAAAATCAAAACATAAAAAAATCCTTTAGACTTCCAACAATAGCTTAAAAAAAATTCCTGGACAAACATTAACCCCCAAAAATTCCCATGACAAATTTCTGAGCCTTACAAATTTCCAGAAAGAGTTTTTAACAAGTTTGTTTGTACTTTATTTGCAGAATTATGTGGCCAGGATATGCAAGCACCACCTTGTTTTGGACACCCCCGAAAATACCTACTTACATTGTAAATTAAGCCGCCTAAGAAAATACTTGCCAAAAGTTACTAGTAGACCCAACAAAATCTCGGAATTGAAAATTTCAAATCCAAAAAATCCTTCAATCATGTCCATCCCTTGAAATCCAGAGTACCGCCCTGGGGTACATGGTTAATACCAACTTAATGTTTTCTGTGAATATGCAGCCAGTTAAAGGGATTTAGAACTGTGGTGTGATGGGGATGGGGGAGGAAAAAAACCAACAACTTGGTTTTAGCAACTTAGCTACGCAGGCTATAGCAGCTGGTTATATGCAAGCTACGTAGTTTGCCACTGTTCACGAATAAACAGTCTGAGTGCTGGCCAAGAAGGGTGCTCAATACAGCAGCTTCATAATTGCTTTATAGTGAACTCAGTTGGGGAAAACATTTCTTCTTAAAAATGGCAGTAGATACCTGGTAGAATAAGGTTCTTTAATATTTCAGTTCCAGTAGCGGTAGCATTAATCAAACAAATCTTGGCTCCCTCTAGGGCCTGCTGTCCATGGTCTCCCCATAATCTAAATAAAATAATTAGATAAAAAGAGAAGTAAACAAATACTAACTATACTTTAACTGCCCATTCATTTCTATGCTAGCAAAATTTCCTTAATAAAATTTCTATTTTTAGGCTAGAACTTTAAGCAGTGAACTTAAATATCATATCCTGTAGTTTAGCGCTCATAGCCTGGTGAAAGGACTATTGCCACATATGGACAACTGTAAAGGATAGGATTTTAAAGCGGTATGAAATAAAAAAATTTAGAGGATTTTTATCTAGAATAGGGTACCATTCTCTATTTTTGAATTCCCCATAATACATTCTGTTTGTCCCCCCCCCCCCCCAAATTGTGCATAAGTTATTATTTTCAAATGCTCATGGGAGGACTGCATATTTCCTAGAGCATGGATGGATTGGATGGATTGGTAAATGTCAAATGTTCTAGTGTCTTAGTGGCTCAGCCTCGCCCAAAAATTTCATGGGTGCCCCTCCCACCCCCCCAAACCCACGCAGAAGCTGGTGAATGATAGAGTCAGGAGACGGGAGGAACGTAGTGAGTGATTGGTAGGCAGCCTCACAGAGCAATCTGTAGTTGTCAGGGTGACACCCTGGGTGGGGAACTTTTATTAACATGAGGGAGGGGATCTGCGGGTGGAGCAAAGTTTGCCAGCCTGAAACGTGGGAGGTCAGTCTCCACTGGAAAACAGGAAACGTAAGGGGAGAAGGCTTATATTTCTATAACTTATAACAAGAGCTATGTTCGAAAGAGTAGTCAATCTATAGTTATCTCCACCAAATGATGCGTTACTCTCAGGCCGGCCTTCCACCATCCCCTACTATGAAAAAAGACAATCCCAGGGTTACTACTAACAGTGACAGTCTGTCACTCATCGCTGGACTGCAGTCTGGTACCTGCTTGATTTTCAAGGATCGTGTTTTTTTGAGGCCCGATGACGCGCATTTCCCATCACATCTCGGCTTTCCTTTCAAGCAGTATCAAGCAGCTGTTTCTCTTACCTTAGCTGACGATCGTATTTTTTGTTTTTATCCAAAGCCACCTTTGACATTTTCGATTTCCTTGGGGAAGCCGGCGAAGCTGCAGCTTTCCTTTTCATTGCGCATGGCCGATGCTGTGGTTCATTTGTTCCGCATTTGTTTTATGTACAGCGGAGCTTCATAATCTTCGGTTTATCTTCGCTAAACTTCGTGGTTCGGATCCGATACGATGAACTCCAGCGGACTGGGGGACTGGTACTTGCGACGTGGCATGCGCATGAATACAGAAAGTTCCAAAAATACTATCATGGCGGATGTTTCGTCTTCGAGAAACTGCAAAAAGGTGAGTTTTTCTACCGTTTTTTAGTTTTTATTCTCCTGCTGAAAATAATGACTTTCTAACCACTAGCCATGTTCATTAATACGATCTTTTTCTCCCCTTGTAAAATAGAAATCGATGTTTTGGATATTAATGTCATCTTTGATTCTCTGTGTCAATGTACTCCCCGGCGCGTCTTTCTATCTTCCTGGGATTGCTCCCATCGATTACAAAAAGGGAGAGAAACTCGATGTAAAGGTGGGTTGCTTTATGAAAACTATTCCTTAGCCATGTGCTGTTAGGGATGTTATTCACAGTGGATACTCATTCTATATATATCTAGCCAATTATTTTAACTATATAAGTTTATAACATTAACTATATTTTAAAAAAAATTCCTTTAAAGGAGTTTGCTGGTAAGTTTACATTCAGCTTTGAACCTTATAATTTACATCTATATCAAATGTATGTAAACATAATTAAAGCTGGAATTGTCATCACACTGTCCCACTGCCAGAAGGCATCCATATCCAAGTTTTCATTTTTTATCATTCAAAGAAGTTGCCATGCCATTTACAATCTTACAATCTTGTTTATATTTTATCCTCGGGGTCGAAGTTGCAGGTTTACAGATGTGACTAAATGTCCTTCAACCAAAACCCTGATCCTTATCATAACACCTTCAGCTGCACTCCCACCTGCATCTGAAAATTAAACCCAACATTTTTGATAAATTTATTTGGTCAGCTTTGTTGGTGTCTAGTTTTTTTGTTATGCATATTAGCTTATCCTGTTCCTGTATTTTATGGTTCTCATTAAATGCTGGCAACCATCTAAAAAAAATGGCTACTTTGAGGCTTCTTGAGCCATCCATTTCTGGAGGAAAAAGGGCAATAAAGTGAGGGAGTGAAAGCCTTAAATTGCCTGCAGCACTTAATTTCCAGGCCACCTTCTTTTTCATCCTAGCTGCCTGCTTTAAAAGATAATGAGAATCCTGTATATAATTATTTTGGTCATATACTGTATAGTTGTGAGTCATGAGATATGTTAAAAAATATGTATATGTTGCAGTTAATTTTTTATCCTAGTTAATTTTTGTTTTTCCTTTGTTTAAAATTCATTAGCATACATTACCATACCCCAAAACAATGGAAAAACAAAAATTAACTAGGATAAAAAATTAACTACAACATATATATGAGCGTGAGTCAATAATTAAACAAATGAATTTTTTAAAAAAATGATTCAAGCTTTCCCTGCATTCAAAGGCTATCTGTAAAGTCTACTGTGGCCAGTGTGCAAAGAAAGTAGTGTCTGATAGGCTGGGGCTAGTGGATTTTGCTATTGGGCTAGTGAATTCTTTTTTTAACTTGCCCAATGGGCAAGTGATGTTTGTTGAGGAATTCGAATAACAGAAGAACTGTGAAATCAATTCTGCTTGTCAAAAAGCTTTTGGGGCTAGTTGAAATGACATCTGGGCTAGTAAATGCTAGCTGCTGCTTGCCCAAGTGGCAAGCTGTAAAAATGATTTCCTTTGCACCTTGGTACCCCTTTCACTCATACGTGATGTAGACCAAATTATTTTGAGATTACCTTTGAACCTCTTCACAACAGCCACCTTGGGGACACGAGAAAGTGGCCGTTGTGGACGTGTTATGGCAGTTGGGGACAGACTTTAGTGGCCAGTGGCCGTTGCCATTATAGAGAAGTGGCCAATATAGAAAGGTTTAAGTAAGAGTCAATTTATGGACTGCATAAAAAGTGACCATTGCAGAGAGGTGGCTGCCAGTAAAGGTTCGAATGTATTTATTGCTGTAATCTTTAAATCTGTGGATGAAATCCTTTACTGTTACTTTTAAATGAGACCTTTGGAAGAATCTATGAAAATAATTTGGAGTATCAGTAGCATTTTACAAACTAAAATTTGAATTTTTTTGTGAAGTCTTCCTTTTGCCAGTTGTGAAAAGGTTACATAATGGAAATCAGAGATTGTTCAGCCATCCAACACACTTCAATCTTACTGCAAAAGAAATTTCTTAATTCTCACTGTGGCAACTGCTTTGGATGCTCCTTTTTACTTTACTGGCTACAGGCCCGGGTCAGATTATATTACTGGGCTTATGATCCTGACAACTGGATCCTGAGATTGCTTTTGTATCCTAATTCCTTTGTTTCAATTCCTATTAATTGGGAGGAAAAACAATTAAACTCAGGTGGACAGTAGTTACACTGTCACTGCTTAATTGCAGATTAAAAGACATTTTTGTTTGTAACGTTTATACTTGTAATAATTGGTGTACATGTGCTAGTTTTGAATTAAAAATATTGTGCGGTTTACTTTTGTATTGGCGGGGTTAAGTCTTGGAAAATGGTTGTGAAGGTTACAATAAGCTAACAGTTGTACCTGTTTGAAAGAAAGTGTTAAAATAGCTGAGATCTTGTGTTCCTTACTTGTGACCTTAAGTTGTATATGTTTACGCACTGACACCAGTAGCTGAACTTGATGACTTTTTAGGCAGTTAAAATGACAAGTGTAAAGACACAGTTACCATTTGAGTACTACGCTGTACCCATTTGCAAACCAGACAAGTTGCAATACAAGCCTGAAAATCTAGGTAAGTTGTCTAGTAAGGTTTTTATGTCCTTTTTAAACTTTTCCTGTTAAGGTTTTTTATGTGCTCATTTCATAACAGAAATTACAAGAATACATTAACAAATTTGATCACCTTTGTAAAGTTACATCATATGATTTTGTTCTCAGGTGAAGTTCTTCGAGGGGATAGAATAGTCAACACACTCTATGAGGTATGGGAAGTTGTGTGAATGGCATTCAGTATCACTATGAAGTTTTCCAATTCCAGAAAGTTTATGCTTGATTAACTAAGCATTTCCTTCTTTAGTAAGTCCTTTCCATTTAGCAGTATTACTTAATACATGTTTCTGTACAGCATATACTGTAGGTGACTGTATATGGTTTAAAAGTGTATGTTCAATTAGTATTTTTATGTCTATGTTACAGGTCAAAATTATATTCAGGTTAAAATATTTTAACCTAGGGGTTTAACCTGAGTTTTAATTTTAGCCTGTAAGCTCTGTGTACATTGTCTTGTTGTTCACTTTTGGCCTGTATAATTTATTAGATTAATATGGCAGAAGACAAAGGTTGTACATTGCTATGCCAACCAAAAACTTTAACTGGAGATGAATCAACAAAGCTTGTCAAGTTAATATCTGAAGAATACCATGTTCACATGTAGGTATCTTCAATAGCTATCCTAAGTAAAGAATTGAGTTTTGAGGATCACGTTTTGAGGATCCAGTCAAGTCTTGAGTCTTGAAACTTTTCCTACTAAAATGACGTCTTGTAATTGCCCAGCAAAAGAGAAAACAGATGGGAAAAAAGTGGGATGGAGAGAAAAAGAAAGGAAAAACTTGATGGGACTGTATCACTTTTATCTCACAATTTTGGGCAGTTATGACTCTTTTTAGTCAGATAGTGACCAAAAAATGGCTCCACCAGCTTCAAACAGTGTTTTTTCTGTCAAATTTTCAAGAGCAAAATGTTTAATGTTTTGTTTACCCGTATTCTCTTTCAGGGTGATTGATAACTTGCCTGTGGCTACAACATTTGAACTGGAAGGCAAGGTACATGTAAATTGATAATACTTTTTGTAGGCTAGAGCAGAAACTATTTCTTTTTGTTATTTTATAACTGCTTATGGTCATTGCTTGGAACTTGTTAATTTGTCAGCAAGAGCTGTTGAGTTATCAGAGAGATTAAGAGTGACATTTAAGGAAGATGGCTAACATGAATTTGTACCATGTGACCAAGTTTTCTCGCTACCTGTCATTTGTTATTCATTACTTCTACCCAAAAAATAAGTATTTTTATGTCATTTTTATCCATAAGAATTGTTTTGAGCTGTTTTTATAAGCCTATTTTCTGTTTTGACAAATTCTCAACTTGAAACTGACTTTTGCTGTTTGCCGTTAACGTGACTGTTAATAGAGGCCTTTAGATTCAAGGACGAGGACGACTACGAGTACGAGATTTCACTTAAAGTTTCTTCGCGTCTTCTCAAAATATAGACTTCCCGGAAAGCTTCATTTTACCATTTTTCACCAGAAAAGTTAGCAGTGTTACCTTTAGTGAAGCAGGTTACACCCTCTCCTGATCGCAAAATGATAAAACTTCTAACATTTGAGATCTTGTTTCCACTACTTCGACATTCTCGCTAAAACTCGTAGTAGAATGACGACGGCTACCACGTTTTCCCGCCAAAATGACGCTGGTTCACGCGCGGGCACTACTTAGTACTGAGAAAATCTCGTACTTGTAGTCGTACTCGTCTTAGAATCTAAAGGTCTCTAATCTCTCTGTTACTTCAAAAATAACAGTATGGTATAAACATGCCAACCTACATGTCTATGTATTGGCAGTATTTTTTTGTTTGATTCCTTATTCTATTTTACTTTACATGTACATGTAACCTTTTGCTTTCCTTGAACCATAGAAACAGTATGATCACGGATTTAAACTTGGATTTGTCATAGACAATGTAAGTGAGTCAAACAGTAGCTGATTTAAACTAAACTAGCATAAGAGTGATTTTACTTAACCCGTGAAATAGGTAGTAGAATAATACGCACTATTACGCACTAATTCTATTGTCTTCTTTTGTTTATTTGTAGCTATTTTGCACTAGTTGTTATTAACTGTTTTCCGTGTCAAGAAAAATCTCTGTAATGAAATATTAATAGTAATATTATTCAAAATCTCTCAAACCCATCTTAGAACTTTGTCTTCTCTTTTTAGAACAATTTTTTGAACAATCATTTGAAAATGGTCCTTAAATACCATACCTACGATGAGTAAGTGTATTTTAGTTGTTATTAATTTAGTTGTTTGTTAAGAAAATTGAATTACAACTATAATGACAGCAGTAAGAATAATGGTGCAATGTGAGAAGTTCAATGAGCTAAAACTTTTTCAGGAGCGGAACAAGGTTGTCCCTAGTGTGAAGATCGGCAAAACAGTTTTCTCAAATTTTATGAGTACCTTTAAAACTGAAGAATTCTTTCTGACAAGAATTAAGTTGCAAAGTTGTACCTCTGTGGGAGACGTGTTGGGGCCTATCCACTTTAGCAGACAAATTAGGAATTTTCTTTGAAACATTTCAACCAAAATGGTGATAATTTTCGTTTGAAAGAATTTATCCGCGTGAGAAACTATTTACTCCTAGTGTGAAGATCGGCAAAACAGTTTTCTCAAATTTTATGAGTACCTTTAAAACTGAAGAATTCTTTCTGACAAGAATTAAGTTGCAAACAGCATGCAAAAATTAGAATTTTCTTTGAAACATTTCAACCAAAATGGTGATAATTTTCGTTTGAAAGAATTTATCCGCGTGAGAAACTATTTACTCTTAACAGCATGCAAAGAAAGTCAGTTTTACAGCCTGCCATTCGGGCAAGCTGTAGCTAGCATGTACTAGCCCACAAGTCATTTCAACTAGCTCCAAAACACTTTTGATTAACAGGATTGATTATAATCCTTCTGTTATTTGAATTTGCCCAAAAAACAGCACTTTCCCGTCGGGCAAGATAAGAACAAAAATCACTAGCCCAATAGCAAAATCTACTAGCCCTGGGCTATTGGACAGGACTTTCTTAGCACACTGCTTAACAGACCGCCACATCTGTCAACACTTAATGGAAAGAATAACTGCTTTTTAACATCAAATGATTGGCAAGAAAAATGTTTATTTAGCTGATTTTGTTCATTTTTTACCCACGGCTTATTTTGTCTGTTGCGCCTTTGAAGATTGTCTCATCTCAAACAAACTTTGAATAGACCCAAATGACTATCTGAATTTGTTAAGCATTGATGATGACAGAAAATTTGTCCAGATAAACAGCTTTTTTGACAGTGTGGATTTATAGGCCCTTACACAGCAATCTTGGCCACCCAAGTTCACTTAGTAGTAATCCAGTTTGTATCTCTGATCCTATAATCCAATGGGAACTGCTAGGACATGCCATGGTGAGTCGCAAAAATGTCTCTGGACTGTAATGAACACCTCTTCATCAACAGTGACCATTAACAAAAAGATTGCATACATCTGTATTTGGCTAATAAAAATTATTATGCTTTTAGTTTTTGCGGAGCATGCAAGAGAAGCAATATTTGTTATCGTTAATAGTCTTATGAAATAATGCATTTTTCTTCACAGTGATTCATACCGAGTTGTTGGATTTGAAGTGGAAACAAGAAGGTAAAATACCGATTGATAGGGTTTAATTCATCTGCCTTCTGTTTCTCTCTATTAACTGATAGATAAGAGATAAACATGTATGGGCATACAGCTGAACCGCTGACAACCAAATGTTAAGTTTAATTTTTTATGTCTCTTTTTTTGATACTCTCACTCGAGAAGTCAGCAAAATATGTGTTGTGTTTCCTTCTAGCAACAGTTGTTTGCTTTGATTTTTTATTCATGAGGAAATCTGTTGCTTGAGCCACATTCACTACACTGTACAGTACTTGGTGACAACATGTCACTAAATTAGGGGCACTAGGGGATGAAAGAAAAAAAGAACGAAAGAGGGGTGGGAAAAGAGGAGAAAGACAAGAAGGGAGGAAATGTGTATGGACAAAATGAAACGGTAAGGTGGAGTTCAAAACACACAAATGGTAGGGAAAGCTGCCTTATCAATACTTAACTGTTGTAATAAGCGTGAGACAGAAAATATCCGACTGTCTGACAAGATTTTAACTGGCAACCTTCAGGAGAAGACATCAGAAAAGGTGGCAATGAGCATTATTTAAGTTTAAAGAAAGCTATTATAAGAACACAGAGGAATAGTGAGAAAAATTACAGTTGAAAATAATATTGTTTGTATCTACAGTATTGCAAGAGATGCAGTATCTAATGAACAAGGCAGTAACAAGTGTTCCTTCACATCTGATAAGCCATCAGGACAAGTGGTCGCTCCTGACAGTAAGTATTCTTCTGTACCCAGACAGTATCCATTGTGGTATTTTAGAGTGGTCAATAGAAAATGTGACCATCTCCAGAAAATCAACACTAACACTTTTCCGTTTAATGGCTAAAGGCATTTACAACTCGTTACAGAAGTGTTAAAACAGGTTTTGGAAATCATTAGAAGCATTTGGAAAATCATTAGAATTTTTTAACCTGCTGTTACAAGCGTTGGAAAAACTGTTCAAGGCATTAGAAAAAGTTGCTCAAATTTTGCATCAAAAACGTTTGAAGCGTTAAGAGAAGTTGTTAGAATTTTGTTCACTGCTTGGAAGATTGAAGCATGAGCCATGGTAAGTTTTTTTCATCATTAAACCTGATTCTTAAGGTTCAAGCTTAACAATGTATTGACTTGAGTTAAACAGATAGAGAGATTACTTAAAATCACAAAGAGAGCTTATTTCTGTTTTAGCTTTAAAATCAACAAATAGAGGCAAAAGATCAAATTGATCCTGTAACATATGAACCTGAATGACAAGTTAGCTAAGTACAGAAATTCCGTCCCAAATTGCCAAAATATCTGACAAAAAAAGGTCTCACAATTAAAATGACACATTAGTAAGCTGTCTACAATGAACAAAGGAAAATCTGAAACAAAAGCAAGATGTTAAGAAAATGTGAAAACAATCCACCATGTTTTGGTCAAACATGTGCTTCGAAAACTTGCCTTGTTACTAAGCATGGACGAACACAAGGCAAACTTGTGTGTTCTGTTTTGATTGAGAGGCGATTTCTGTGAACATTTCAAACATAATACAATGAAGAAATGAGGGAAAATAGATAGCAGCAAAAAAACCAAACAACAATATTTATTATTTAAAACTTTTTTTTATGTAAGCCGTTTATGTCGTTTAGTCAACCCATTAAGCAAACTGTCCAGAAAATGAAGGCAATCCGCTCAAACACTTTCCACAACCATTAGAAATTTTCGGTTACCCGTTAAAAGCATTAATCAAAGGGTTAAAATGCTTTGAAAATCCATTAACAAGCCATTCATCGGCTGTTAGTTTTTGCCCGTGTAATGGAAAAGTGGTATTGTATGTTTTCCTGGAGAAGGTCACAAAAAAGTAACAAATTGTTTTTGTAGGGGTGACACAATTACTGGCAAACCAATAGTTTTCATTGTGGCTCACCAGGTGAAGAATCTCAACTGGCTGCAGGAAAAACCAGTTGGCTATTTAGAATCACATATGACCGCGGAGTTAAACCGGAGACTAGCAAACATAAATGGGCAGGGATTGAGCTCAGGGCCTCCTTCCAACATTCTTTAGAACTCTTTGGCCATGCTGCCTCCTGCAGTTTATACATTAGATATTTATCTGTTGTTAGGTGATTCATGACAGAAAACTGGGGTTGTAAACATGACATGTTTTGTTTTGTGTTGTAGGCTGTTTTGATGCAGTCTTTTTTATACGGGTGTCACTAAAAGTTTCAATAACAGACAAATCAGTTCTACATTAGTTCTTAGTTTTGTGCATGTTGTCTTAGCTAAAAACATTAAAACCAATCTTATTACTTCAAAAAAAATTTACAAACCCTAATTATTTTTTACAGAGGAAAATACTTTGGTATACACCTATGAAGTAAAATGGGAGGTATGTAAGCCTAGAAACTTGTATTGTTGTAGGCTTTGTGGCTTTTCTCTATTCCATGCAATGACAAGTTCAAGTTTCTGTAGATCTCTGGTGTAGAAGTAACATTATTATTACATTCTCCTGACGTCAAACAAAACCTAATGTAAACCCAACCTGCAAAAAGCCTTGCGATGAACATTTAGCAGTAAAGAAAGTTAATTTGTTGTTTGGGACAAGTACCAGAAACGGAAATATGTCATAGACCTTAGACTTCTGTTCCCAGGGTCTGTAAATTTGTTTAGATCAGAAGTGCCTGAGAGGAAAAACATGTTAAGAAAGACTACGAGAGATATTGAGAATGCTCAATTTGGATAAAGTACCATTGAAATGACAAAGAAAATCAGCTGGACATACTGTTGGTTGGCAGAACTAAGGCTAGTAATCGGAAGGCAATCAAACATAATGATTTTGAATTGGCTTTGGCAAACTGCACTCTGCTCTCGCAGGGAAATTTCTTCAAAACAAGTTGTGAGTTTTTTTGTATTTGAAACCACTCAGTAAAAACTATTAAGTTTAGTTTTAAGCTTATTTGTGAACATGTCAGCTAAATAAAGAAACAACTTATTGGCATTTATAAACAAAACATTTTTTCACTGGTTTCATCAACAAATTCAAGTCAAACAGACAAAGCTTAACTTCCAAACCAAATTTTGTCACCTTCCTGTATTTCGGGAACAGCCTGTTTGATTATTTGTGAAATTTCTTTGTCTGTTGTGGCAACAAACTGGGAAGCTACTTTGTTTGAAACGTACACAAGTTTGGCATCGCTCGCTCACTCGGTGGAACTGGAGGTGAATCAGTGAATAGCACTTGATATCCCGATTTTGAGTAGCCAATCAGAGTGAGCAAAATACACTATCCACTGTTTTAGTATAATACTTAATTCGATTACCAGAAGCTGTCCTTTGTGTCCTCAAGGGCTGTTTTCTAATTTGAAAACAGATGTGATATGTGCAGTTCATCAGGGGAATAAAAAAACTTTTACTTCATTGTTTAATACTTAAAACCTTTTTTCATTTCACTCGGGTTGATTAAAACAACTACTATACACTTTGGTCTCGATAAAAAAGAAATGTGGCTCTATCAAACAGATCCTCCTAATCCAACTTGTCCCCACATTTCACTGAAACCTCTGAATGTTTCCACTTTGGTGATGTTGCAGGTCAAAATTAAATTCAGGTTAGAGTTTTTTAACCCAGGTTGATTCACAATTTCCTTTTTCACCTAGCCCTAATTCATGAATAATTATGGCTAGGAGACAATGGAAATTGAGAATCAACCTAGGTCCTCAGTTAAAAAATTTTAACCTGAATTTAATTTTGACCTCTAATAGTGATATATCCAAAAGTAAACATTCAAACAAGCTTAATAATTCCTGATTATTGCTAGTGTAATAAAGTAGGTATATACAGTGTAATAGAAAACTGACAACCAGAGACTGATGGCATGAATTTGACTTATGATGCAGGCCAGCGATATTGTGTGGGCTTCCAGATGGGACACCTATTTAGCCATGAGTGATGTTCAGATTCACTGGTTTGCAATTGTAAACTCTGTCGTTATTGTCCTTTTTCTCTCTGGTAAGTCTGCGTACTCTTTTACTTGAAATCATTTAACATTTCCAAGAACCCTAGTAAACACTCCCACTCCTTGTTTTTGAGACAGCTAGTTGTGGTACGTGTATCTTGACTTCAGCCAAGACTCTCCTGGGAGACTCCTCACCATTACAGACGGTTACCCTTGTCTAAAGGGATTAACCTTTATGTAATCCCTGAATCTATGCTGTTGATTGGTACGGCAGAACATTTTCTTCATGACTCTGGTAAGGCTGGAGAAACTCTCCTCTTAGTAAGTCCTTTTTTAAAAAAATGAGAGGCTAAAGCCCCACATCATGGCAGACAATTTATCACAGGAGTGGATTGAGGGTGAGACTTGCAGACTGACTGACGGGTAAATGAGATAAACATTGTTGTGAAATGCTCTAACAGATTCCCTATCCCTAAACTAGACTTTTAGGAGATCATGTTAAGTTTAGGGACAGGGAATAATATTAATACATAATATACATAATAAATAAATATAGTTTATTTCACTTTCTTGCAGTTAAAAAATACTGAATGAACAAGTGATACGTATACAATCTAAAAAATACAACATAACTATGCTAGGACTTTACAAATAATAATTACATTATTTTAGATATTCTTAAACATGATTGCTAGTACAATAATAATTATTATTATTATTGTACTAGCAGTGGTGTTTAAGAATAATCTAAATGTAAAAAATTAGTCGGCTCTCTTAGTTTTTCTTAATTTGTTTATTGTTCTTTCACTAGCAGATCTTAAATTATAAGAGATAGATCTTGTTTCAGATTTTGTAATGAGGAATGATATTGGGTTATTGTGATTGCTAGCCATATCACAGACAAATCGACAACACAGGGAAACCTTTCTATTTGCTAGAGATTGAGACGTTTGCCTTTAAAAGGGCTTGATTATACACTGTGCATTCAGGATTTATAATTTTGAGTGCTCTCTTTTGAGTACATTCTATCCTATCAGACAAGTACTCTGGAATGTCCTTCCAGACTTGAATCACACATTCTAAAATTGATCCAATGTTACTTATATACACTTTCAAGATGTCATGTGGGTTGACGCCTGCACGTTTTAATAGTCTTGCGGCATACAAACATTTTGCCGCTTAAGCAATGATACAGTCTACAAGTGAGTTCCATTTACGATCTTTTTAACCCTTTAAACCCTAACATCAAAATTCAAATTCTCATTTGTTATCCATAGACATTTTCAATAGAAGTAGTGGGGAGAATTTGTTGAAGTATCAATTAGATTCATCTTGTGTGATCATGTCCGTAATTCTCATGACCACTCTGTTTTACAAAGCATTGATATCACAAGGAGAAATTTGACGCTCATCACTCTTAGGGCTTAAAGGGTTAAAGTAGTTACTCTGAGTAGTTTGTATGTCATCACAGTCTCAACTACTTGGTTCCCAATACAAATAGGTATCATTACAGTATTACGATTCGCCATGAAGTCAACAACCATTTCCTTTCATTTCTAAATTTTTGGGTTTCACTTCATTCTATGACTTATACAATACTCATGAATGTCTCTAACTGCTATGTCAAGCATACTTATGTAATTTCTTTGGATGACTTCAAGTACAGTAGTATCATCATCACAGCATTTCATCAACATAGCATGTTGTCATTTCACAGCATTGTTTACCTTGTTCACCACATTCTATGCCCATGGTAAATTGTCTCTCCTACATCACAGCCCCCTTGTTGCACTTTCAGTTGACTTCAGCCTAGTGCAGACATTTTGCTCTGTAGCTTTGATGACTTTGTCATTAGAGATTTGACTGCTTTTAAATAACCTATGATGCCTAGCATTGTAAATAACACAGCTCCAGAATATCTGACTTCGTGTTTTGTTCGTTGCTGCAATTTAACTAGTTATAACCTTAGAGAGAATGAATACAAGGTCGCTGTTCCACAACCCCGTACTGAACTTTATAAAAGAAGTCTTTCTTACAGCGGAAGTGTATTATGGAACAGCTTGCCTCTGGAGGTGCGACAATTGACATCCCCTAGTATCTTTAACGGAAAATTAAGAGAAAAAAACTTTGATTGACAAATAATTTAATTAGCGATATTCTGTTTTTACACACGGCCTCCTTGAAAAGCAGGTGTTTTCTTTTCATCTTTATTATTTTAGTTTTTATCTTAGATTTTAGATTAGTTAGGAAGTTAGTTTTTCTATACTTGAATGTGAATGTACCTGAAGGAAATACCGTGTATAAATAAAGTTACCATTACCATTATGTAGAGGACTTGATATGCATGTATCACTCATACAGCTTTTATTAATGAACCTCAGGTTTTTAAAAAAGATTATTTACCTGTGACTTTTTTCCCTCCTCAGCTATTGTATCTATGATCATGATCAGGACATTACGGCGTGATATTGCACGATATAACAAGGAGGAGGAAATGGTAAAGAAGCCTATTGAATGAAAAGTCCTTAGCTGAGCTGAACGTGAAGAGAAGTCTTCTAATGATACGATCCTTTTTAATCACATTATGCCTCACAGGAAGACACCATGGAAGAAACTGGCTGGAAACTAGTCCATGGGGATGTATTCAGACCTCCTCAGAGGGCATGGTTACTGACAGCATTTGTTGGATCAGGGGTGCAGATCTTCTGCATGGTTCTCATCACATTGGGTAGGTATCTTGTGAACTAATTTTAATGTTATTACAAATTATTAGAGAAGCTTAGTAAGAGCAGAGGATTCATTCATGAACAAAGAAATAAATGATCTTTTCATATGGTTTTATCATGTGTAACATTGAAGATTTGTAAGTTTAAGAGGTAGTGTTGGGTATGCAGGGTTTCACTATGAACATTGTTAGCACGTCTTATGTATTTTTATTGTTATTTCAGTATTTGCAATGCTTGGAATGTTGTCTCCAGCCAGCAGAGGAAGTCTTGTTACAGCTATTATATTTCTCTATGTATTCATGGGGTGAGTACAAAACAAAAGTGCTTGAAATGACCATGTTTTTTTCACTATATTCTTTGTATTATAAATAAATGTACAAATTTAGATAACATACATATGCTTTTGGCCAAAGACTCCAGTTCCTACCTGCATTGAAGTCTAGTATTCTTTTGAGTGGCTGCTGTGTCACTAAATTCTGAACCAGTAATTCATAATGACCATATTTTAAAGCTACAATAAATACATTATACTTGGTTTGTGCTTTCCTTTTTCTTTTTCTGTATAGGATTTTTGCCGGTTATTTTGCTGCTCGACTTTACAAGACATGTAAAGGCCAAAACTGGAAGAAATCTGCATTGCTGGTAATTTGTAATTTCCTTATTGATGACCAACATGCTCATCTGCTTTCCTTTCACATAGATGTTGCTGCTATGTTTGCATTAGATTTTTGACATTAAAATTTCTATATCAAACAAGAGGAATATTTTAATACAGGCATCATGATGCATTTCTATTATTTGTCTCAATGTCCAATTTATTGAAGCTTTTGACTGCATGTCAGTCTTCTTCTGCAATGACTTAATTCACTGATAAGTCCTGTAACAACACTGAACTCAGTCATTGCCAATAAAGACTTTGAGATGCGGTTAAAAGCTTTGATGCTTTAATATTAAGGGACTTTGAGATCGAGTTCCCTCACTCAGCCTCTTCATCCCAGCTGGGACATAAAAAACTCATTAATAATTCATAAAGAAATTCAAAGGAATTTAATGTTTAATGAGTGTTTGGAAATCAGATGAAAAACTGCTCATTTTTGCATCCGTAATTTCTCTTCTGAAATCGTTTTGTTTGAGAAGTAATATCACGCATTCAACACAGTGTTTCATGACCAGACGAGACACCTCAAAGTCAAAAATACTCCACTGTGCATTATATTTCAACTCTCTTCTCGGTGTTTCCCCTGGCGATGAAACACTGCATCTCATGCTTGATGGATTACTTCAAGGTCAAGAATGAGCTTACATAGTGTTTCATTTTTTATTATGTTTTGTTCCCCAGACAGCTACTTTGTACCCTGGATTTGTTTCCATAGTTTGCTTCATCTTAAATTTCTTTATCTGGGGACAACACTCATCTGGAGCGGTAAGGCTTATGAGAAATAGTTCACATTGAAAGTGCACAAATGGACCCCTCGCATAGACAGACACTCACAGAAAGTCATAGTCTCCATGGCAAACAGATACTGCATAATTTTAACCTTTCTCAAATGGACACTCTCCCAAGCAGGCACTTCTTCTGATTGCAAGAATGTCCAGTTACAGGATTCATGTTTGACTGTACCTCACAACATTTTAAGGTTTTTTTTTACCTGTTATGACATTTATTCAATCCATTGTTTGCTCTTAATACTGTTCAGACATTAGTCCCACAGCCATAAATGGCAAATTAACTTCACTCCATTGTTGATACCTAAAAAACTGTATTGACATCTCGGGTGCCCAGCATATGATTTGCACGAGAAAACTAAGATTTTCTAGGCGCCCAAGGCCATAAGTGAAGTGCCAGAGCCCACCGGGCTCTGCTAGAGCACAGTCCTGCATCTGATGGGTTTTCTGTGTTTGTAATAATTTTGTTCTAGATTCCTTTCACCACTATGCTTGCCCTGCTCTGCATGTGGCTTGGGATTTCAACTCCTCTAATTTTCCTGGGCTATTACTTTGGATACCGAAAACAGGTGAGTTATCAAACTGTAGGAAATATGTGTCTTGCAAAACCTTACCAATTTTGGAGTGATTGGGGCCACTCAAGTTTACCCCTGTTAAATTTGGTGGGGTTGGGTACTGGATGGTTGACGAGCTGCAAATATCCTATGTTGTTGACTCTGGGACCTTGAGCTTCAAAATAAAAGTGAAAATCAAGGTAAAAGAACATTTGTATAATTTTGTATATCACTTCATGGATGAGTTCGCTACTGTATGCACAAAGGAATTGTGTTTCAGTTTGGCTTTTTACTGTCAAAACCTTGCTTCCCTGGAATGTATCTTTGGTTTTTATATTACACTGAGGCAAACCCTCAATGAACTTGAGGCTTTTTACTGCCAATGACTGGTTTTACCAATGTAGTTCCCTACTTTGGCTGTTGTCCAGTTTAAATGTGAACTTGCATTTTGTTTTCCATCCAGCAGCCAAAATTATATGCTAAATATGCTTTGCTATATGCATTTAAAGAATTTAAGGTAGGAAAAAAAGAAAAGAAGGAAAAATGGTGGCGAGGGAGACAGATGTTTGTTACATCTAGCAATCCCTGAAACTGACTTAACTCTCCATTTAGACAGTTTTCCCACAGTTTTTTTTTACTCTTAACTTGGACATTTCCGCGAGATGCAAAGGGTTTATCTTTCCAAGTACCAAAAATGTACAAGAGCTTTTTTGCTATTCATTGGTAACTTAAAATGGCAAAAGGAGTTTGGCACTGCCCCTCTGAATATCCTACGAACTTCAGACATTTCGTTCTTTCTTTCTTTCTTTCTTTCTAAATCTCTTTTGGACACTTGTCTGTTGTTAAAGAAAGAAAGAAAGACAGACAGACAGAAATAGGAGTCTGCATTAAAAAATATTAATTTTGTGGATGGTCACCTTTTCGGTTCCCAACCCCACCCAACAGGGCTTAACTTGGATGACCTTGTTTTCTGCTAGGGTCATCAGGTTTTGCAAGACTTGTATTTCTAGATCTGTGTCTTGGTGACTAATGAAAGCTGTCAATATATTGTTGTACAGAGTTACATGGTGGTCGTCTTAAAAAGTTAACAGTTTGAAGTTTAGTGGCTCCCTGCTGTTGTGTTCTTTGTTTCTCATTGATTCTTTGCACCCAATTGTATCAATGGTCGGCAGAAAATGTAATACTTCATGCTCTTTTGGAATTATAACATACTCCAAAATGTTTTGTGTTTCAGCCTTATGAGCATCCTGTGCGAACCAACCAGATTCCTCGACAGGTTCCAGAACAGTCCTGGTTTATGAATCCTTTGCCAAGGTACATTGTAAATATAAAATAAATAAGTAAACCTCCTTTTTCAAAGGTTTGTAATTGGCGTGGAATTCTTATAACTCTGCACCCTGGTTCAAACAAGACTCAAGAGGACTGCATCTTTTGATTGAACAACAGCATTTAATCCAAGCGAACAATCTATCACAATGTACAATTCTCACTCCTTCAACGATCAGAGAAGAACTGCTGCATTCTAAGAATACAGAGGTTTTTTCTATTGCCCTTGCATAAGGCAGTATTTTTACACAAATCAGATGTACAGTAAATTCCCAATAATTACTGAAACATATATAAATTAAGTTAGTATAAAAATTGCAAAATTGCACATTCTTCCACCTTGTTTAGCCTTACTAAGTGCATGCAGTTACATCATTTTATATAGTAAATTTACTTGGACTTTGTCTATGTTGTAGTTGATTTTTTATGGCAGGTAATTAATTTTTTGTTTTTCTTTTTTTGTGGGGTATGGTAATGTATGCTAATGAAGTTGAAACAAAGGAAAAATAAAAATTACCTGGGATAAAAAATTAACTACAACATCTACATTGTTAACAAATTAATATTAAGCCATGAAATGTATCTTGTTTGCACTACAATTGTCAATTTCTAATTAGTATTTAATCACACAATCATTAAGTTAAGCATGTCAGATTTCTTTCGTGACAGTGATAAAGACCTGACTCTGGCTTTGTGTTGTTCCATAACAAAAACATGTAAAACATTAACTGATCCTGTCATTCTTTTAGTAACCTCATGGCTGGCATTCTTCCTTTTGGTGCTGTATTTATTGAACTCTTCTTTATCTTGTCTGTAAGTATATATTTTGCTTAGTAACATTAAGAAACAAACTCATCAGATCACAAATTCAGATATTTTGTGTTACTCAACAGAGATTTATTATTATTTTCTGAAAGTCCTAAAATACTCTTTAAATCTGCAAATCTATTTGGTATACTAATTTTGAATATTTTACGTTGATGCCTCTAGGCCATCTGGGAAAACCAGTTCTACTACTTGTTTGGTTTCTTGTTTTTGGTCTTCCTGATTCTCGCCAGCTGTGTTTCCCAGATTTCTATAGTGATGATCTACTTTCAGTTGTGTACTGAGGTAATCTTGATATTGCACACTTGGTAAAATTTGGATCAAGTTATATAGCACTGGACAAACAGCAGAAACAATACTCATTGCTATTATTATTAATACCAATATACCTTATTTACTTGAATAAGTGCCGCCCCCAATGAAAATTAATGCTGCCCATGAATAAGCCCCTTATTTGGGAGAAAGAAGTTAATAAGGACTGCCCCTGAATAAGTGTCGCGGCCCTGGTATAATCAAGATCAAAAGACGTTAATTCTTTTAGTTCTTAAAATATGGAAAATAATGATACTGTAGTCAATTCTTTATCACCTCGCAACTTTCAAATAAACACCTCCCTCAAATAAGCACTGCTCTTTAGGAAAGAAAACTTTAATAAGTGCAGGGTGCAAAGAAAGTCAGTTTTACAGCTTGCCATTCGGACAAGGTGTACCTAACTTGTGCTAGCCCACAAGTCGTTTTACTAGCCCCCAAACCCTTTTTGATGAGCAGGATTGATTACAGTTCTTCTGTAATTTGAATTCCCCCAAAAAATCACTTGCCAATCGGGCAAGTTAAGACCAGAATTCACTAGCCCAACAGCAAAATCCACTAGCCCCTGGCTATCGGACACCACTTTCTTTGCACGCTGAAGTGCCTTGGTGCTTTTTCAAGTGAATAGAGTATTGCTGCAGCCTTAATCAAGTATACATGGATGCACTTTAGGTCTCTCTTACTTACCTGTGTAAGGAATCTTTGTTGGATATTTTGAATGTATGACTTAAACCATTGGTGTTTCTTTTTACAGGATTACCATTGGTGGTGGAGGTCATTCTTTACATCTGGTTCCTGCTCTATCTATGTGTTTTTATATGCTGTATTCTACTTTGTTACAAAAGTGAGTTTTTTAGCATCCAAAGCTCAGTGGATTTTGTGATTTATGGAAATAGTACTTTGCATTGGTTCTTGCTGTTTTCTAGATTAACATGAGTACAAACTACTGACCCTAATGCTACGTAACATATTTACTTGATTAGGTGTCCTGGGTGCTTATTAATTTTTGAACCTTTAAGGTGGGCGCTTTTTCAGGGCTGGGCTCTCATTGAATTCAGTAATAGTAATTTTATTTTCAATTGCAACAAATCATGAAGATGTTCCAAAGACAAATTTTAACTGTTCATTGAAAGTTTAAAATATTGGTCTTCAGGAAAGTCTCTTAGTCTATGCCAATCAGTATTTTTTTTGTGGGTGGTGGTAGGGGCTGGGCGATTATTAACAATTTCTGGCAATAGGGTGGGCAGTTATTTGAGAGGTTGAGGTTGGGGGCTTAATCAAATAAATAATTATGGTAGATTCTTTCTCTAAATGCAGTTGTAGTAGCTGAATAATTACGGTGATCACAGGAGTTTGCTTTCTTTGGTGTTGTTTTTGTTGTTTTTAATATCTCAATTTAATCCCACTCTCCTTTGTGTCTGCATTCATATTCCTGTCTTTTGCCTCTAGCAAGCATGGGGACAGGGAGCAGTGGGAAAGGGAATCATCCCTCTAGACTCATGTCCATATGCGGGAGCAGGGAGTTAACAAAAGTTAATACCGGCACCAACGTAAACCTCAACATTTCCTTTGTGCCATAAATGATTTACTTTCGTCTGCCCTGTTCCTCATTTACGGATTTGATAATGACCCACCTTCTTGACTGGTCTTTTCCTTAGCTTGTAGTGATGTTGATTATGATGATGATGATGATGATGACTCACTGTCGTAATGATTTTTTCTTTTTAGCTCGAAATCCAAGACTTTATCCCAGGCCTACTATACTTTGGATACACAGTTATCATGGTACTCTCATTCTGGCTTCTAACTGGCTCTATTGGTTTCTATGCAACATACATCTTCATCAGACACATTTATGCAGCAGTGAAAATTGATTGACAAGTGCTTTAGCATCAATGATACATTGAATAAGAAGTAAATCACAACAACCCTGACCATCAGCTGCAATAGCTTAATCTGTTGAATGGAAATTTTGTTTTTCAAGGGATATGCATAAATATAAAATGAGATATTTGCAGTGGCAGAAGAGGTGATTTTAGTGTTATGTAAATTCTGGAACCTGTTGTTAAGTTTTGTCGGCTTTTCCTTGTTCAGATTTCTTAACGACATGTATAGGTATTTTAACTTTACACCCCATTTTCTGTTATGTAGAATAATGTATCTAAAAGGCCTTTAGTGGTGAGAATTGCTCAAGAACTGAACACTTTACCTCACAGTTACATTTATATAATTTTCTTGTCTAGACTAGACAGGCACCAATACTTTTATTTTGCCTATTTAAAATATTTTAATGTAACAATGATAAGCTGTAGTGGTAGAGAATCCAAGAAGCCTCAGTGCTGTTGAAATAACAATTTTATTTTAATATTTGTTGCCATAGATTATGTAAGTGGTGTAGATTCTGTCAATATTATAATTAACTTAAATCTGCAGCTGATTTTCAAGTCTACTTGCTCTTGAAGTAGTGTACTGTCGTTCACTGCAGCTTCATGAAAACAGCTTTTGCTATTTAACAGTTAAATGCCTCTATTTCACAAAGCATTCAAGTTCTTTAGCTGAAACGGTCATGAAGAAACGAAAAAAAAAAAAGGATTGATATTAGACTATGAACATTGCTGTAGGTGACAAGAACTAGGAGGTAATAAAATTTGTGGGAAAAGAAGGAATGCAGAAATGACAAGAATAGCCTGAGTATCAAGCGTTTCTGGGGAAAAGGGGAAAGATGGAAGCGAAAAAAGGAGAGAGCTGAAGGCTGAGTATCAAGCGTTTCTGGGGAAAAGGGGAAAGATGGAAGCGAAAAAAGGAGAGAGCTGAAGGCTGAGTATCAAGCGTTTCTGGGGAAAAGGGGAAAGATGGAAGCGAAAAAAGGAGAGAGCTGAAGGAGAGAAACGCCTGACACAGATGCTTTTACTGGAGCCTTCCACCCCCACACAGCATGATTCGATACCATCCAATCAAAATCACTTCCGGTCATTGGGTTGTCAGCTTCACGTGTCAAAAAGCTCGCCTAAAATAAATCTCACTTTACGGTTTGGCCGAGGTCCGGTGTTTGTGTTGCATTTTGCTACGATTTCGCTTTTTTTTAAAACCTCCAATGAGGAGTTTTCGAATAGCTGTAATTTAAAACATTACAGGAATTATAACATGTTTTAAAAATTGTGCTAGTATAAGATCGCCAACGCTCTGTTTGTAAATAAACGTGCCCCGGAAAATTGTAAATTGCTTTTGTTTACAGAGTTACATCAGGCGCTTGTCTGGCAGCTAAAAAGCTGATGTTATCCCTCGTATCCTCGGACGGTTGAAAGGAGCTGCACGAATAAATAGGAAGGTGCGATGGTGAAACACCTATGCCTAGAAATTATCAAGCAGCAGCAAATTCCACCACTTCACAGAGAGCCCGTGAAAGCTGTTACAAGTTAAAAAAAAAAGTGAGAGCCTTTAATAGCAAAGGTCAACCCCGTTGGCGAAATATGATGGCGCCCGCTTGAGCTTAAGACATTTCAAAAGTGAGAAAATTTTGGAAGAGGAAGCGAACGAATTCCAATCACGTACGCTATCGTAACCACCACAAGCAAAGTCAAGCTCAGTTTTTAAAAGCAATGGTGCTGTCGGCTATTCTCAATACATGGCTACCACGCTCTAATTTTATTTACAGTAACAATACCCTTTTAACGGTAGGATGTTGTTTTGTCCCGGTCTAGTGAAACTAATGCTCGGACATATAGTTTCGGCAGAAGCTGGTATATGAGGCGTTTCCATACTCCGAGAACATCTTCCATTCTAACTACGAGGCTTTGAAAACACAATTCTTGCTCGGGTTTTGTTTTTATTCCCGGAAAGAACTTGAGAGCGCCCTCTAGAGCCTCTTTGAATTCCTCTCTGCGTTTCTATCCATAAAATTACCACATGAAATCAAAACACTGTGCTCGTGTTTACTTGCGGTCGGTGACGTCAGGGCGTATTGTGTGTTATCCAATCACTACCACATCCAGATTCTGGATGTGTCACACGACTTGCTGAATGGTTTTGTGTCAGGCCTTCCTTTCTCTTCTCCCCCTCCCCCCTCCCCCCTCTCAAATCTCCTCTCCCCTAGCCACTTAGGAAGGCCTGATACTCAGGCTATGACAAGAAAGGCTTGATGCTCTTGGGAAAAGGGTACAGAGGGCAGATAAATAGGGAAAACCAAAGAACAGTTTAAAGAGAAGTTCAACCTGCATGACAGCTGTGACTGTGTTTTGTTTTTGGCACCAAACAATGGAAAACTCCCTGGAAAACCCAGAATTAAATATTGAAACAAGTATCCTAAAACCGTTAAATACTTGAAAAAAGTAGCTCCATGCAAAAATACTGCTTAAAATGAGTTCCTTCTTCTTCGTGTGCATTGTTGCAGTATATACCAGCAATGAGGGATAATTTGCAGTATTGTGTGATGACTGTGACATAACTTTATCATATATTTGCAGCAGATTGCAGTAGATATTCTAGCCTATTATGCAGGAGTATACCAGTTTGACAGAGTGAAAAGTTGTAAGTGCGCATTCTCACAATGGAACAAAAAAAATGTACAAGAAATTATAGCTCAAAATGACAGAACATTTTATTTTAAGCTAAATTCCTTGTTTGATGGTTTAACAGATATTTGTGGATGTTTTGCATGCATTTTCCTTGCTGTTCCTTGCTTCTGCCTACTTCCTCATATAAATAATAATGATAATGGTTATTATCAATATTATTAACTATTATAAGTGATTTTACTTGACCTGTGAAACAGATACTAACAGCTACTGCAAAATAGCTACTAGTGAACAAAAGAAGACAATAACATTGTAATTTGTGAGGTTTTTGGCAATAAAAGATTGAATACTTGACGAGTACATAAAACCATGTTTCTCCCTTTAAAAATGCTAAGTATGGTTCTTGTTTCAAGGATGTGGCCTTCTGAGCACAATTTACCAGCTAAGAATAAAGGAACGTGTATCGTGTGAATTTGCCATGCATTTACATGCAGTGATGATATAGTGCTTTTAAGAGCAGGTTAGTCATTAAGTTGGCCATGACAGTTGTAATTTGGTGGGATTATTGGGGATCGAAGCACTGTTTTCTTTTTGTAAGGTGGAGCTGCATGGAAATTGGAGGCAAGTAAAATTTTGCAGCTTGTGGAAATCCCTCACGGTTCTGCTGCTTACTTCGGGTGGCAGCTTTCTTTGCCAAGTAGGTACCCCAGGCATAACGATCCTGCCAGCTATGCAAGTTATTGTTTTCAGTTTCCATCTAAGCCTACACTTACTAGGCTTGATCTCCAGCCATGAGTGTCTTGTTGCGCCCTTAATTAATTGGAGAGAATCACAGGCATATTTAAAACGCTCACATTTTGGAGACCGAGTGTAACCTTTCACCTGTGCATGTAAAGTTGGTGTCAGAGATAAAAGCCATCTTCCACTATTAGCATCATTCTCAGCTGACTTGCAGTAGACTTTTTGCTTATTGCAAGTCATATTGCAACAAGTGTTTAAGTGTTTAATAGGTTAATATAAAAGTCCATGGAAGATCATTTTAATCAGATAAAAACACTGACAGTGTAAGGGTGGTGAAGGAAAAGGACTTTCCCTAACCACCCATGAGATGCCTTAAGTCGAGAGCTTGTTCTTTGGTTATTATACTGTCCAACAGTATGGTGAAATCGTTGCAAAAAGTGCAAAAACGCTATTGAAGATTGTGTTGATTGTAAACCAAATTCAAAAAGTTTCTTGGGTAGTTCAGTGCATATTTTTAGGGCCCAAATAATAATGTTAACAATGTCATGGTTTCACAACTTGCTAGAGTTGTCCAGTTGAACAAGGACAAAGGAATACTTAATCAAGTAACCACCTTGCAAGAATTTTGCAAAAAAAACATTTATTGATAAATCCACTCACAGCTATTTTCATAATATACTAAAATATTATATTAAGATCTGTCAATAACTTAGCAAATTGTACACTCATATTTACATAAAACAGCTTCTTCTAGAAACAATAAGTATTTTTTTAAGCAACTAAAAATTTTCATAGTGACTTCAAAAAATATGTGTCAATTCCCAAAATCTTTCCCGACCCATATTTGCGAAAAGGAGTAACATTAGCCTGCGTTTTTCTCTTTCCTCCTCGCCCCCTCCCCCATTGTTTTCTCTATTGACCTCGCGTGCAGTTGTCTCCACAACACACACTGGGCAGAAAAGCACACCAAAAATCGCCAGCTACACAGGCTAGTGTAACACTTGTTCTTGTGGAGTTTTATAGTGAAACTTACATGAAGGACACCCAAACTTGTTTGTGAAAGGGAGAAGTTGAATTACTGTACAATTTATTTCTATTTACAAATAGTAGCAAGGAAGAAACAGAATGGCCCATAATTTCTGAACTGTTTCTTCTTTTCACCGTTTGGCAAGTTTACACTTAAAAAATATAAGAAAGAGAGTCCAGGGCTGAGATATTTGAAGCCTCATTAGGCCTTCATCCTGGGTAAACTGTAAATTAATTTATATGAAATCTAACATACTACTTGTCATAGTAACCAAAGTAAACTCTCTCTTAGGCAGACGCCTTTGGGTCTGGCTCTTAGTGTCCGTCTTTGACAGATTTCCCTGTTATGGAGAGTTCAATAAAGGGAGTAACGATAGGCAGGGTACAACTCTAGGTGTCCATTAGCAAGGTGTTTGTTAAGAGAGAGTTTACTGACACAGTACAGGTCCCCAAGATACAGATCTATGAACAGCATTAAGTGTCTCCTAGCCCTAATCTCTTTAAAAAATGCTTCATTAGATCGAGGGGAATCTGTTTGGTTTGGTAATTTATCAATGGAGCAGCGACCTGTACTCTTGACCTTTGGAATGTGACCTGTACTTTAGACCCGCCACTCAAACAACCAGCTGGTTAAGGTTAAAAAAATATACCATGGTATATCACACAAATTTAAAGCACTCTTCTTGTAAATTTAAAAATGGAAATAAATTTAAAAAGTAACCTAATTTTAATTTTATAAGAGTCCTAACTTGTAACTGTTTGTTCCTTGTTAATTTGTCTTTGTGCAAAATCTTCTAAAGCCTTGTTCATTCTTTCTCTTGACATCATTGCTTGAGCTTTTTCTACCAACTGCTGTTCTTTCTCCTGTTAAAAAGATGATAAAAAGTTCATTTAATTAGAATGAAAGACAGTTACCACTTCAAAATAGCACCAAAGCCTCTCTGTGTATGTATTATTACTGTTATGCATAATACAAGATCATATGAAAAACACTTGAAGAGCTTTCATGTCATTACATTTGGTCTTTACATTTACCAAATTAAAACAAGATGACTATATGAGACAGGTTTTGGATGATCATCTGTCAGTACTCAGGCTGGCTTCTAGCCTGTTCACACATTTTTTTTCCTTGACAATTTGATGAGTGCATGAGGAAAGTGAGCTCCAAGAACAACTGCAGATCGAGCATGGGTAAACTATGTGCTATATATTTTCTCCTTTCCCACTGCCAACCTCTTGCCGTTGTAGTAAGAAATCCCCAACAGTTTTCATTGTTATACGCAAGCTTTGTGATCTCTGAAGAGAAAATAGAGGGTCTGTGAACAAGCTATCTGGCCTCCACAGAATGTAGACCCATACTGGAAATATTACTTTAAGGGATACCAGTGGTGGTTTTATACCTTTCTCCGGTCGTCTGCATGCCTGAGCTTTTCGTCAATTTCTTCTTTAGTTCTTCGACCACTTTTCTTCTTTCTTTTTTCCAGTTTTCTAAGATGCTGAGGTCTTCTTTTTACATTGCCAGTTTCAGGGCAAAGCATAACATCAAATGAAATTCCCCCTCTACTCTGTGGTCTCTCTGTGACACCTCCCATTGGTGAAAGAGAATTTATTCTATTTCTAACTTCTTCCTGCTTCTCTGAAAAGGAAACTCTCTTGTCTTTTAAGCTCTTACGTCTTGTTACTTTGGTGCCTTCGATGCTGAGTTCTGGTTGAGAAAAGACAAAATAAAGTTGAAGTTGTTGTCTTCATAGCTTTTGGCTCTTAGACTATAACGACAAGATGGATATCTACTATGTGATCTATCAAGACAAGAAAAGAATTTGTCCTCCATCATGTCCACTGGAAACAGAAACTTGAAATGGATATCTCAGCTTGTATTTTTCAAGCCAAAAACTTTTGGCATTATAATTCTATTTCAGAGATATTATAAAGAAGAAAAAAGTAGAGAAAATAGAATAGAGAATGTATAAGTGAGTTTTATTCTTCCAGTGCTAGAATACATCATGGATTCTAGAACCACACGTGTTGTCAAAATAAACAAAGGCCAAAACAGTTGTTTTATAATGAATTTATGTAAACTGGATTATTATATACGTGACCGCTCTGTTTCGCTCGACTGCTTTTACAAAATACACGTAACTCTAGGCTTTCGCAATTTTGCATCCTAGCCAGCACGCTATGACTTGCACGTTTCCCCAACACTTTTGGGAATGCCGCTGTTGCTGGCAAACTATTTAGGTTCAAACAAAAACAAACCTGGAGTCGGAGGTCTTTCTTCCGCTATTATCATTTTCTGCTTATCAGAGGTAGCAGAACTCTCCGTTATAATATTTGGATCGTCCTCAAGTTCTCCTAAGCCACTGTCGTCTGTTCTCGTAGATCTAGCAGAACTTTCACGATCAGATCTGGAAGAATCCGAGTTCGAGTTCAAGCTGCATTGGCTTCCATGCAAGCTGTCCTCAGTTCTTTCTTTCACTTGAATCTTATGACTGGTCGTTTTCTTTTCTGCTTCGATTTTCAGTTCTTGAGTTTTGTTATCTTCTTGAGGTGACGATTTTAAATTGTCTTTAACTTCTGTCGGCATGGGGACCACAACTTCGGATGCTTTCGAAGCTGAACAACCCATTCTGGAGTATAAAACAAAAATTCGAGAAGTGGCCTGTCAGAAATGTACTTGTAAATTACAGCGAAAGAAGCGCAAGTTTTTTGAGGGGTCGGAAACAATCAGTAGCAATCATGATGTCTTACCTTGAAGAATTGATAAGGAAGGAAAAAAATGCGAAGGAAGACGAAGAAGGCGAGATCACCGTAAGTAACCTCGACGATCGAGTTAATGTGATTTAGCGTTACTGAAACCAGGGAAATTTATTCACTTTTTCACCGTGTTGCTAGAGCAAAATATACATTTGCCATGGCAACGTTTACAAATTGCCGGGGTTGCTAGGGCAAAGAGAACTCGTGCCAGTGATCGTGGGCTCAACTAATGTCCAGTCTTTCTCTGTCATCCTATGATGACGTCATTGGGAAGTCGACAACCGCTGACAAGAATAGGAGGTGAGTAATTTCGTAATTACGGCGACTACGGTGACTATATTTCGGTGAATTTTTACCAGGTTTGAGGTGAGACAACTTACTATTATGAAACTAAAAAACGTGTTGAATTATTTTTATTCCTTTTGAAGCTTAAGACTTTCCGAAAATTCTTCATTTACAAGGTTTCTGCATGACCATATATTGTTTGACATTATTCAGATCAAAACGTCTTATAGATTAAGATTTACAAGGCCCTTGTTTTAGTCTTTTGCCATTAGAACATATACAAATGTACATTAACCCTATGTGAGACACTTTTCGACACTTAGTTATGGCGAAGATATTGATTGTCAGGTGTAATTTATGTGAATGGATGGGGTGAATTCTTGGAAATGCCAAATTAAAATAGTCTGAGTTACTTGATTATCACTCACTTTCTGTTTCACTTCGTCGATCAATCAATTGTACTTAAAGTTGAACACATGTTTTGTTGTTAAGAATTTCACCAGACCCTTCTAAGCTAGAATTGTAGATGCCGCTGTTAATCCTCCCCGCTATTAAGTTTGACTGATTGCAATCAAACTTAATGGCAAGATTATAGCTTATTAACTTAATAACCCCTGCTATTGTTTCTTGTTTGTTTTCCCAGATGTAACCATTTTTCATTTTGTGTCTCGGTTTGTCAGTTATGCATGCTGTAAATTCTCTATTAAGTCCCCGAATAGCCTGCGTAGCAAGCGTTTCCGTGCGGTTTAGGAGCAAAGAAAGAGGAACGAGAGTCAAAGACCGCGCGAAAAATGGCGCGTGTAAAAGAGCGGGGAGGGGGTGGGGAATAAAGGATGGAAACACTTGCAGACAAACCCCGGAAGTTTGAAAACCACCCACTTGGCCTGTCATGCCTGAGTTCGCGCACCGACATTTGCTGCTGCCATCAGCTGTCATAATTGACCGATAAAATGTTTGGCTTTCAGTGGAGCGGAAGTGAACTTCAGAGGACGTATATGTGAACCCAATAACACGTGGACGGCATTTATGTTGAAATATCAATGAATCCGAACGATCAATACAGGCTTTGGACATTTGTCTTTTTTGAAATTACCATCTGAGAGAATTCAACATCCCTCAAAAAAACACTAACGAGCTGGGCCCAGCACAAAAGAAGATCGCTATTAGTTATTCAGATTAAATTAAATTAAAGGACCTGAAACCCTTATTTAGTCGCAAGAAGAGCCTTACATTTCAAAAGAGGTCAAAGAAAATGTTCTTGCATTGGAGGACAAATCTTGCGGACCAAAATAAAGAACAACCACTGAAAATTAATATACGTGACACGTACCATACCGTCCTCTCAGTATGAAACAAACCTTTGATTGACACATGCCAGCACTGTTCGACTAACGGAGCCAATCAGGCGCTGCGTTCGCTGGCGAACGCAGGTTTTCAAAATCGAGGGGTTTGTCTGTAAGCGTTTCCTTCCTTCCCCTCCCCTCCCCCAACTTTCATTTTTTGCCTCTTGTTTCATTTCTCGCGCGGCCAAAACTGAGAATCCCGTTCCTCAGTCCTTCTTTGCTTCGAAACCAAATGGAAACGCTTGCTACGCAGGCTAGTCCCCGCAAGGACTCATTTATTTCAAACACATCTGAGGGGGGCGGAGGGGGGGGGATGGCTTATTTGAGAAGAGAGATCGTGCAGCCGAGAGTCAAAAACATTGGAACTTCCAGTTGGTGAATAAATCATCTGGGATCAGTCCACACAAAGTTTTACAGTGACGATTGATTAATGCAGTCTATCATTTATGAGTAACAAATAATAAGGGGGAGAGGGGCTTAAAAGAGAGGGGAGTTATTAACTTTCTTCCCCTGAAAAGGGAGGGGGGGCTTATTAGAGAGGGGCGTGCTTAATAGAGGATTTACAGTATATATGTTAATTTTCCTTTGTCAGTGACGTCAAATAAATTCAGCACCATGTCATTTGGTGAATACTCGGTAAACTCTGGAACAGGTGAGAGCAATCGATTAAATGTTATTTATCATCACACTGTTTTTTTTTTTTGCCAAATAAAAAGGTTTTGGTAGACATTGTTAGAAAAAATGTTTCATATTTTACTGAATGTATTTCTGCTTTTTAACAGTGTAAATACCCATTAATTCTACAAGGAAAATTCTCCAGACAGTTAGATAGCTTTTTAGGGACATTTGATATACAGCTAGGCTTATTCTGGGAAAGCTCTGTCTACATAACTGTTATTTGCATAAATAGGTGATTTTATTTTTTCTCTGATGCAGTTCCTAGCAAATTAAGTTGTGAGAACCTTGAATGTTTAGTTTAAAAAAATGCACTTTATTTGAGTGTCAATGTATTTAGCATGAAAGTACTATTTGGGGACACCATTTTTACATCTCCTACTGGAGATGAGACCGCCACTTTACATGGTCATCCGAACCATGCAGAGGTTAAGCGATTTGCAGGGCAAAAGCAGTAACTTCATTTCTCAGTCATTTTAAGACCATGAGTGTTGGTCCAGTCCGGGGAATCGAACCCTCAACCTCCTGCTCTGCAGTCAAGTGCTGTACCGACTGAGCTTATCCTGCTGTGGTAAATTATTTTAAACCTCTGTCCAGTAAACTCAGTAGTGATCCATCTACCTGTGTATACTGCATCTAAGATGCATAAATTTCTTAAAACACACCCAATCAAGTGTCTGAGGTATGCATGCCTGTGGATGCGTAGACTTTTTTCTGTCCATTATGAGTTGGATCCTTAATATGTAGTTTTATCTTAAAAATTAACATGTTTTCTTGAAATGACACACCAATCGCAAAGCCACCATGTTACTATTGCAGGCTCAATTAGTAGCAGGTCAGTGGCATGGGCAACACATCATAATTATATCCCATACACGCATTATCTTCCGGACAATCTGTGAAATTTGGAGGGAACATTGTTCTAGGCTGTTAGTGTTTCACATTGTCATTTAAATTTATATCACCAATATTGACTTGAATTAAAAATGCAAAGTTTGCACAAACAATCACATAGGAAGTAGTCATGACTGGTGTAAGGGAAAGATGGTAATTGCATATATTACAACTTGTACACAAGCCAAGAAGTCTAACAAAATGAGTACGGGGGCCCAGTGCAAAGGCTTGTACATTAAAAGGTGGGAGGATCTATGAGCCAAAATTAAGAGATGGCTTGCTGATAATGATGAGGTTTTCCTACACTTTTGTCTGTATAAAGCTAAAATTGTTTATAAGAACTTAGCTATTCGTAGGTAGTTTTGCTCAGAAAAAATGTCTAAATTTCTACAATGGTAATTATTATGCACAAGGGCACAGGACTCTTATCCCTTTTCTGGGACTCATAGTCTTGGATTTTGGACTCGTAGTTTTATAGCTGTATGAGTCCCAGGACTCACTATGGTTTTTTTTAGATGGATCACTGCTCAGTTCAAGTGTGCTGATTTCCTTGTTCAGAATCTGGTACCCAGATCTTGTGTTGACGAAACCAAAGGCAAGATCTGATCAAATCCGATTTGTACGTGTGATCGCCTGTCAGGAATGTGACAGGCGATAAAAGAACGCATGCTCAAATAAATCCTCCAAAAAATTGCGTCATATACACTTTAAGACCCTGTCTCAGTTCAGTTGATTGCATCCTTGGGCAGTGACTTTTTACCATCTCTTCTTTGTTCGTGTCCATTAACTTAAGAGCTGGGATGCTACTGTTGAATATTGAGCATGGGGAAGTAGATTCCTATGTTGTGATCTTTTTTGGGGGAAGGAATAATTTTATTGGACTTAATAATATTGAGGTAAGTTAGCTAACAGCAGGAAAATGCTAATAATGATACAATAAAACTTTTTTTCCTCTCTTTTCTCTTTTAGCTTCACAGGGTGGAACTTCTGAGTACAATCGACTGTGTGGATGTGTTAGTAATAATATTCAGGCAATAAACAAAAATGGTGGGTTCAGTTTTAAATTAACTACAATACTTTCATTTCTGTATATCTTGCTAAAACCTATTAAATTTTCAGGTCAGGTCAAGAGAATTTTTCCTTTGTTTTATCCTAAAATTAAACAAGAACACTCCTAAAAAAAAACATTAAGTCGAGCTTGTTACTGGGAGATTTGTAATGGTAACAGGACTGAGTGGAGTCCAATTTGGTCTGTAATCATACGAGTACAAAATCACACAGTTGTCCAATTTGTTTAATCACGAGTATGATTACAGACCGAATTGGACGACACGAAGTTCTGTTACCAATTATTAATCTTAAGGGAAAGTTCATTTAATATGACAAGGGGGGGGGGGAGAAGATATTGAGGGGGGGCTCCGAAAATTTTTAGACACCCGAAGGGGGGCTCGAAAAAATTGTTTCCCTAGGAGGGGGGGCTCCGAAAATTTGTATACTTCAAAACACATGACATCATCATACAGATCGGATGGTTTTCAACTCAACAATTTAATGACCTGTGCAACTCAGCTATATCACGTGGTTTACAGATATAACAGCGCTCCAAGCTGCGACCATTTTGGTCGCCATGGCGAGTGAAAAAAAAAAATGGCGACTGAATTATCGGCGAAAGTCGCCATTTGGCGATCAAAGGATATAAGCTCAAAAGAATAAAGTTGACTTCACGTTTTACCGCTTTTTAACTGAATCATCGTTAAATTAAAGAAATATTACCAAGCTTTTCTTCTGTGTAAATTCAATGATGAATCTGTTCCTCTTGCATGGCAAGACATGTGTACAGTTCTGGCATAAGGATCATTTAGCACGTACAAACAGTATTTTTGTCATCAACTTTGAAGAAAGAAACGTTTATTTAGGCCAGAAGTATTGTTATTGTTATTGTTATTGTTGATTCAAGTTTTAATTTACATATGTGAGTGGTTTCAATACCAATGATTTAGCTAAAGAAAGATGTTTCTTAGCAAGTAGACGGTACGAACAAATGTAAATTCACGTAATCGTATCTGATCAGATTTGTTTCAATGATATCACTGCAAATACATGTTCCGGGTTTCAACATCCGACTTTGCAGTAAATTGTTCTGGTTACCTCTCATAAATGTCTTTGCCTGTTTTTGCCATCTTGTACTGCGTTTACAACCCGCAGGCAAGTAACAATGGAGTGTTAAAAACACGATTTATTTCCGTACACAACGTTCAGCAGTAGCTCCTTCATGTAAGTAGTATGAAGTGTCTTGCGTTAATGAAACGACAATTTTTGGCGACCGAAATTTTCCATTGGCGACCATTTTAAAAATGAAGGTCGCCAAAAGGCGACTTATTGAAAAAATGAGCTTGGAGCGCTGTATAACAAATGTAGTCTCAGTAATTATTACACTCTTGTTCATCCCAAAAATGCTTTAGAAAATTGTATCACAACTGTATCTCAAGTTTGTCATAGTATAAACCATTGAAGACAATAACGGTAAATATATTTAATACAGTCCAGCGATCTTTTTTCAGGGGAGCAAAGGGGGCTCTGAAATTTTTGTGACTACCAAGTAGGGGGCTCCTAAAAAATTGAACCGCTAGCGAGGGGGGCTGCTAAAATTTCAAGCTTCGAGCTTCAATATCTTCATCCCCCCCCCTTGTCATATTAAATGAACTTTCCCTAACTTTAACAAAATTTGTGATATAATAGGCTATTTTTTAAATCAAAACACCAGAAATTCGAACTTTTTTTGGTGGCAGTGAAAAAAAAGCGCGCTCATGATGGCGCGTACTGTCCAATTACTTCAGCATGACACGTACTGTCCTATTAAACTGTCCGATTAAGGCTGAAATCAGGGCAGTTGATAGCCAATCAAATTTGACAATTTTGTTGTAGTTATGATTAGATGAGAAATTCAGAGGTGATATATTCTAAACATTCTACACGAAACAGGATTTCGTTGCGAAAAGTTTTCCACAGCCTACTTTATTGATGGTCTAGTAGTCTTCAGGATATTTACTTTTTATATCGTATTCAACTATTTTTTTCTGAATTGATTGGGTACGCATGCATAAATACATGAAAATCAAGGGCCTTGATTCAAGAGCAATTACATCATCGTCAAAGAGCAAAAGCGTGATGAGCATGGCATGTCATTTCTGTTTTCGCTGGAAAAAAACTTATGCTCCTCACAAGACTCATTTGCATACAACATGGATAATAGAGAGACTGGATAGGAAACTGGTGGATGTGATCAGTTATAACACTTGGAAAAGTGTGACGTCACATTATCTAGAGCCATTCAACCTCTTACATCCGATGTTTTGCACTTGTTAAATTTTTCCTCACATGTTTCACTATCTCTGTCTTCAACTGAGGACTTGCTTTTGGAGAAGATAGTTAGAGGGTACAAAACAGTTAGAGGCAAAAGACAGAGTAAATGATTATGAAACTTGTGAAAGTGAAGAATGACTCCAGCGCCCGATAATTTTTTGCACCAAATGGGAAGCCTAACTACATGAAAATAAACGAAAACTTACATTATACCGAGCTCTACTAAACACCTATAAAAAAAGGCACAGCCTAATTTTCTACAAACCACAAGAAAACCAGGAATAATTTGAATTATTTTTATCATGGTTTTGACAATTTCTTTTTTGCTTTTATACAAGCTCAGCGAGTGTCGAATTTTATAAGTTAACAACTCTTGACAAAATGATTTTATGAGCGGTAAAACTGTTGAGGCTTGATGTTTCAAGTACCCAGCTCAAATGAGGGTTTAATTTTCCATTCCAATTTATTTATGGATAACCATTGACAAGAAGCGGTTTTTGAGAATATTGTATAAAAAGCGGGGGTAAAAAACCCACAGCAGAGAAAAGAAATTTGCTTGCGGACCATTGTGGAAATGCTGTTTCATACTTTCTCAAATCAATTTTCATAGTAAAGCAAGTTGTATTGTTATTTTCAGGTATAGAGCGGTTTTCACTTGACTGTCGTAAAACCAAAACCAAAGTAAATACACTAGCCAACCAAAGGGCGTAGTAAAAACAAAACCAAAACCAAAACCAATCCCTTTCGACAGTCAAGTGAAAACCGCTCTAATAATTATACCTGAAAATAACAATACAACATAAATATATGTGTGCCTCAAAGTTATCCCTTTTTCAAGTCCATTCTTTAAACTCATTATCACACATTGTTGTACCCAATTAAGCAATAGAAAATCAAAGTTTCCATCAGGGTTGTTACTACTTAAGTTTTTGAAGTAAGTGTGCAATTGAAAAAGATAGTGAGGGATTTGATATATTTTTCCTGTGTTGTCAAGATGTTGCATTTTTACAAAGTAGCCAGGACTCACATTTCTATCAGGCAGGTAAAATCCCCCACCTTCCAGCCCTTGATGACAGCTCTGTTATATTGTATATTTTTTCCTCAAAAAATAAGAACCTAAATAGCCTAAACTAGTGCTAACTACCATTTATATAAGAACCTGTTGAGGCTAACTTAGAAAAATCTAGGTTCTTAGTCAAGGGGTTTTACTGTATTTTGGTACTTGAAAACTTTATGAAACAAAATCTCTACATTTGTGAAGGGCAACAGTTATTATAGAATTCCATTTTCAGTATGTAATGTTTTTCTTTCCCTTTTTTCTATTTTTATGTGTGATTACAATAGAGGCTAATATTAATGTTGCTTCTTGTATGTTTGGTTTTACAGTTAGTACAATTCAGAAGCTTGTTGACAAACTGGGCACTTCAGAAGACAAATCACAGCTACAAAGCAGACTGTAAGTTGTAATATAAATAACCTTTTTTAAAAATCTTTTTCTTTCCAAAGTCTTCCAAGCTATAAAAAATTCTGACTCAAATAGTCATCACTAGGAAAAGTACTTTTCATGCAGTGGTATTTACTCAGACAAATCGTCATACTTTTGTATTTCAGTGATGAAATCATGGCAAACTACACAAAATGTAACTTCTTTTATTAGCTAAACTTAAGGATTTTTTTTCAGACTATTAATATTGCTGAATGCACTGCAACTTAAATTTGATAATAATCACAAACAGAAAGTGCTTTACTAATTTAACATGGTGCACAGTAAAACCTGTGTTTATAAGTGAACCTCTGTTTAAAAGTCTTAGAAATATTATCGTTATTAGCTTCTTTAGATTGTTGCAGTCACCTCTTCCTAGCCAGGTCCTCTTTTAAACAGTCGGTTTGTTGAAAGGGTTTCAATGTAGAACGTTTGCAATGCAGTGCAATATCATTAAGTAAATCTGTTTATACCACTACATGAGAAATTTCTGCAATTTGATTGGCTTAGAGCAGTGGTATTTCAGCTTAATTTGAAATAGCTACATGTGAAAATTACAAAACTATTGCGGGTAGTAGTATAAACAAATAATAGCATGATTTGGACGTGATATTTGGCATAAATACCACTCGTGATATTTCAAAATTGTCTCAAATTACGTATAACAATTTTGAAATATCACTTGTGGTATTTATGCCAAATATCACTTCAAATCATGCTATTACCTATACTAATTCATTCATGAAAGGCCTCAATGGTCTGTTTCTTTCTTTTCCTTTTTTGGCACAAAGAAAGGTAGAAAAACCCTTTTGAAGTTATTAAACTAGTCTTTTGGTTGATATTTGAACTAGTCACCATTATCTTTTTGTATGCTGTTAAGGCTGGTTAGTTCTGTATAGAGTAGTCAGTCAACCATTCCTCAAGGGTATCCACCAAATTAATAATATTGTTTCTATTTTATTCAGGCAACAAACAGAACAGGCCACACAAAAGCTTGCCAAGGAAACTACCTCCTATTTCAAGCAACTTCCTCACCTCTATGGAGATTTACCATCTGACAGAGTATGTCTAATTAATTATTATTACTTTAATTTGGTGATTCTGTACTGGATTTATTGTGTGAAATTGATGCAAATACACTGAGTTGTGGTGTGACAAACTGAAGCATTGGTTTTAAAGCCAAGGTCTCTCAGATAGTACATGTATGCAATGGTGTGATTTCACACAATTGGCCTGAAATTGCATCTGGTCACACAATTTGAAGAAAATTGTGTAATTCGTAGAAAAAATTGCTCAGTAGAGTACTAAAGTGATGACGTCATACAAATGAAATTTCTGAAATTATGGGATTTGTCCGGACATTCTGAAAGAACAATGTCCAAGAGGCCTACTTGCCAAAAATGAGCATTTCGGGGCAAATTGTCTCTGAGATGTCAGCCGGTTATACTCAGAAAACTCCATACAAACCCTTCTAATATTTTTTTTTTTTTGGGGGCTTTTCTTAAATTCCTTATTTCATCATTGTGAGTTGAGTTTCAAGACAAAGGCATTTATAATCAAAAGGTGAACCCCTAAAAAATTGAGAAGGGTTTGTATGGAGTTTTCTAAGGCATATTTTTTCATTCTTTTGGCTGGGGCTAGTAAAAATTACGATCTCAGGGACAGTTTGCCCTGAAAAGCTCATTTTTGGCAAGTAGGCTTCTTGGACATTGTTCTTTCAGAATATCCAGACAAATCCCATAATTTCAGAAATTTCATTTTTATGACGTCACACTTTAGTACTCGATTCAAGTGAGGAAAACAAAGATGAGAAATTCTTTAGTTTTATTGTTTATTGCCCTTTGAAATAAATTGTTCTAATGAGCAATATGTTTTTCCCTAGCGCCAAAGAAAACTGCAGGTGGAAAAGTTAAGAGACAACTTTACAGCAGCTCTAAACAACTTCCAACAAGTTCAGCGGGTAAGTTTATAAAATATTGTGATACTGGTTTTGAGCTGTACGAAAAGTTAAAATTACTGTTTGGGCAGTAGACTCACTGGTTATTCTCTGCTTGTGTCCATTTTGCAAAGCACCAGTTTAGGATTGCTGGCCAAAAAGCTGTTTTTAATTTGGTTTCTTTGGTTGATCACACCGTGATCTGCTTTTAATGGTGACACATTTGCCAGTCCCAAGAATGTTTTCTTATGGGATATTCGACTGTAGAAAGTTTTTTATGTTGGCAAGTGTTTGTAGTGTTCAGAGTAAGTTTTTTACAAGTTAAGGGCAAGTGATAATGTCGAGGCTGAAAAACTATATTTTCCTGCAGATCCACCCATTCCAATTGATAGTTATTGGATCATTTTTGTCTAGAGAGTTATGGAATTAAAAAACTTGCCCATTTTGTGTTGGATTTTAGAGACTTTTCGATATTAATTTCTGTTGTGTTTTAAGACAGTGTATTTTTGTATTTTGTAATGATGCAGTGGAACCTGGTTAATGAAGACACTAAGGGGACATACCATAGCGTCCATACCGGGTGTCCATATTAAGCAGGTTGATTTTAGAGAAAATATATGAGGCTTTCATCTCGAAAAATGAAACTGTCTATTATTTAGGGGTGACTGTATTAAGTGTGTGTCCATAGAGTGGGGTTCCACTGTACATACCTTAAAGTTTATGGGCAAAGTTGATCAATGTCTTGTTTTTCTGCCTTAAACAGGTTAGCTTTTTTTTTAATCAAGACATTTATTTCCCAAATTACAAAGAACTAATTAAAAAGAAACTAATTACAAAATTCTAAACAACCATAATAACAGAAGGAGAGAAAAAGGGAAAAGTATTACATAATTACAATAATTTTATTATCTACATTTCACAATTATATATGTTTCAGCCAAAAAACAGCCACGCAATTGCTGAAATTGGCTTATTTTACAAATGGTTAATTAATTAGCAATTAATGAACGAGCCTGAGTAGGATATGATGAATTAAGCAGATTGGGGAGGGTGTTATCCACTGAGGCCAAAGGTCGAGGCACCACAAATATCCTCCAAATACCCGTAGCAGATGTCGCCCTCCGAGTTGTCTTCTTGCTGTTTTTGCTATGTTTGTAGCTATTACTTCGCCTAGTTTCAGCTGTAGTTCTTACTCTTGAAACAAGTGAAATGTCCGCCATTTTTTTTTTCACAACCAAAACAACTCAACCTCGTCCCCAGGTCTTCTCGATAATGGTACCTTAACCTGTAGTGGGCTGCATTTTTTACGTCATTTCCTCATTAAACACAAAATTCTTCCAAATTTGGTCATAAGTAACTGGTTATGGTGAATTATGCATGTGCATTTTATTCAAATATTTTGAATGAATAATGATAAGTATTATTATTCATTCAAAATATTTCCCCACTGAATTCTGATTGGCTAAAAGCACACGCATAATTCACCATAACCAGCTACTGATTGCCAAATTTGGAAGAATTTTGTGATTAATGAACCGATGACGTCAAAGGTGCGGCTTCCTTGCAGGTTAATGCATTGTTAACCAAGGAGCCCTGGGGATGAGGTTGAGTTGTTTTGGTAGTGAAAACAAAAATGGTGGACACTTCACTTGTTTCAAGAGTAAGAACTAGGTGAAATAATAGCTAAAAATATTGCAAGAACAGCAAGAAGAGAGCTCGAAGGGCGACATCTGCTACTTACAGAATGTTCGCCAAGCTAAACAACCCTAAATGTGCACTGTGGTAGATGAACTTAACATTGATGGAGGTAAGCATATTTTAGCTATGTTTTTAAACTAGGAATTATTTTGAATGAATAACAAAACAATTTATTATTGAATTCAGCTTTCGTATCATATGAAGAATTATGGAGATCTCTGAGGGTGTTATCCGCCTTGGCCTACAGCCTCGACTGATAACACCCTCCTCAATCTCCATAATTTTATAAGATACTCAACCTCATTCTTCAATTGTTAAATACAGGAAGCCGCTGAGAAGGAAAAGGCGTCAGTTTCAAGAGCCAGGTCAATGTCCGCTGGGATGACAACTCCAAGTGTAAGTTCCATCTTCAACTCTTGCTACTTTGCAATACATGTATGTACAGTGTAATGTAAGTAAAAGTAAGTTGTGGGATGATTACATCGTATATTAAAGGACTGTTCACCGTGACATTGGATTTTGTCTTTCTTTGTAGTTTTATCTCTTTAAACTTGAGTACCGTATTAATTTTATTCGAATAAGCGCCCAACCTCGAATTAGCGCCCACCTCGAATAAGCGCCCATCCTAAAGGCAGAAAAAGTTAATAAGTGCCCAGCCTCGAATAAGCGCCCACCCCCTCCTCCTCCCAATGAAACTCAAATAAGCACTCACCCCCACCCCACCCACTTGAGTGAATAAATTCTAATAAGAGACTTCCCAGAGGACGGAGTTTTCTTCAGAGTATTTCACAGAAACCTTGCTTTGTTACTTCTTTGCGTTTTGTTATTAGCATTTATTCTTTTGTTGCAAAAATAATAAACATACTTCACTTGCTGAAAATGGTGAAAATTTAATAAGCGCCCAGCCTCGAATAAGCGCCCCCTCTCAATGTCCAAAAATTTAATAAGCGCCCAGGGCGGTTAATCGAATAAATACGGTAACTTAAGTACTGCCCTTAAATGTGAAATTTGCTACTTTTTATCTATTTAGTTATTTATTTACTCCATCTAATTTTTTTTCTTCCGATTTATTCTGTGTATTTTTTTTTTTCTTCTTTGTGTTTTACTTGCAATAAAATTTTTAAAAAAACTTGAGCTTTCTCTTTTTGGTTTACATTTAGGAGCTTAAGCAACAGCGATGGCGACGGCTACCAAAATGTCGCTTAAAAAATGAATTAGCGCTGCTTTAAACTAGATCGCACTTATTTCCATCTCATTCAATTCCTCAAAATTGCTGGCAAATTTTTCTAGAGGTGAATTCTAAAGGAATGTATCAAAGTTTAGAGAAAGAAAACGAAAGTCATTGTCTTGTGTTCACGTCCTCCACAAAATGTGAAATTAGAAAGTTTCACATCGTAGTCGTTCAATGGCTGCAAAGAAATGTACAAAAAAGTCTGATGTACATGCAGAGTTGTTGTTTTGGTTACCTAAACCTATTGCTTTTTTGCCGGTCTCCTTGACATCACTGTCGTCATGTAAGCTCCCTAACATTGCAGCAACAAAACCTCATGTACGTTCACAGTATTGATGCTTCAAGGGCGTGCTGGATTGATTGTATTCTGGAATAAGAATACGCAGAAATTTGAGACAATTCTCTCTGGCTTCAAATTCTTGGACCATTGGGGTACTACATTAATCTTAATAATATATTAATCTCCTCTAGATTTCTAGATTTCACCGTGCGATGAAAGTCTAAACAAGTGATTGTTAGAATTTATTCCATGTGTTGTTATTGTGGAATGAGGTCAATTAAACACAGCTTTATAATCAAGTCTCAGGAGCAGGTTGCATGTGTGGTATAATCCTTTAGTAGTGGAACAAATCAAATGAAAAGTAACCGACCCACCATATATTTGATATTTGCCAAAGTATGAAGTGAAAAAAACATAAAAGAAATAAAGTAAATATGGTAAAACAAACGACTCAGAACAGTAGAAACCAAACTAGGCGAGTAGTTTCAATAAGACAGGTCACAACAGGATTCATACAGTGGTTAAAATATGGGTTGTTTTGTCCGTAAATGATGGCACAAACTCAAATTAGGATAAACCAGGATTGTGTGACATTGGGGATGTCACATAAGGAAAACTGGTGCTATTTGCTGCAATGTACCACTAGTGACATGTGTTTTGTTTTCAGCCAATGGGTGGATATACTGATGAGCATGGTTTGGCAGAACATGACAGGTACTCGATAATTATTATTTTAAGGAATATAATATTATTACATTAATTTTATTGTATGTCCATTATATTTTGACGAGGCAATTTATATCTGATAGAATCTATCAATCCTATGGTTTATTCAGGAGAGCATCAAAATTACTGATTTTTTCAAATGTCAAGTGATATTTATATGTTATATATTATCCTGACAACCAGATCAATGACTGAAAATAGCTCTCTAGGGAGAGAATGTGTTTAAAGTTTTTGTTATGTCTGTTGAACAACTGCGATTTTATCGGCTTCACAGTTTACGTCATATAAGGATTAAAATTAACCTGTTGTGTTGAAGAAAATAAGGCATGATTTCTTGGGTCTAAGAAAAAAATTTTTGACGTACAAGGTGATGCTTATTTATCTGATGCACCAAGTTACTCTTCACCTTCATTTCATATAGCATGCCTTTTAACATAAGTGTCAAAGAAAATGAAGCCTGACTTCTTGTATCAAGAAAAAATGTTTTGATGCAACAGGTCCACGTCACCTTCATGTTATTTAGCAAGCCAATGGCCACAATTACTCCTTTTTTGCAAAATTTCTTTTGCCTAGAAAAACATAATAAATAAGATTGATATAATGACAAGCAATAGGGGAGCAAGGGATGGCGCAGTGGTGAGAGTGCTCGCCTCCCACCAATGTGGCCCGGGTTCAAATCCCGGCGTCGAAGCCATATGTGGGTTGAGTTTGTTTTTGGTTCTCTCCTTTGCCCCGAGAGGTTTTTCTCCGGGTACTCCGGTTTTCCCCTCTCCTCAAAAACCAACACTTCCAAATTCCAATTCGATCTGGAACCTACGGACACGTTTAAACGAGTTCATATGAACTCTTAGGTGCTTTGTGGGTAAAAAAGCAATTTCCAATTTCCAATTTCCAATGACTTGAGCATAATAGACTCTCCTTGTTTGCAACCTGAATCATACAGTATTTTGTATCTGGCCTTCAGAACTATGACTTTTCTTACTGATGGACATTACAGACATAACATGACTGCATAGTGTTTTATAGTTTTTATGGAAACTGTAACCACAGAAAGTAAACTAAAAACTTGCTAAATTATTTGTTTTTATAGGACTGCAGGTGGGCTTCAAGTGCAAGGAGAAGAAGAGATCTCAACAGAGTTGATTGAAGAGAGGGAAAGAGCTATAAGGCAACTAGAGGTAACCATTATGGAATAATGTCATTGTAATAGCCAACGAGTAGCCTCAGGAAGGGGTAATTGTGAAGAAGAGCTCCCCAAAAAACCTGTCGGTCGACTGTCGGTCAACTGTCGGCCGACACATTACCGACAGTTTACCGACAGGCTACCGACAGCTAACCGACAGGCTACCGACAGTTTCTCAAAGAAGAAAATTGTTGAGAAAACACGCATTAAACATGACATAGAAACGATAATAATCTCGATAGACATCACTAATTACTTACCGATCGATGGTAAAACGATTTCTTCGGACATGTTTATAGAAAGCTTTTGAAATGCGAAACAGATATATTATTCGTGAAAGACAACAAGGCAATCAATGAAATCAGATTTAGAGGAGCCACCAACACTATGAAAGTCAATGACCAACAATAAAGTTAAAATAAATAATGAAATACAGTACAGTCCCAATTCCTCAAACCCTCAAATAAAAACAAAAGTAAATGACCGGCAATGAATAAAGAAAAATACGTATAAATACCCGTTCAAGACTTGACTCTCAGATAAATTCGAGAGGGACTGGGACATAGTTTACCTTTCCAACAGCCGACTGTTGGTCGACACACGGCCGACAGTCGGCCAACAGTCGGCCGACTGTCGGTCGACAGACGGCCGACAGTTGACCGACAGTCGACCGACAGGTTTTTTGGGGAGGTCTTCTTCACAATTACCCAGGAAGGTGACAGGGCAGCTTAATAAAGCCATGCGTGAAAGTTCCAAGGCAGAAAGAATCTCAAAGCGATGTAACATAAGGTAGTGTAAGGTAACTTTTATGACGTAATGCAAAACAGAGAATGCATTGTTTTTGAGTGAACACATGATACAGAACAGAGAATCCACGAGCCGCGTGCATGTTTGTGAGTCCTGTGCTCATCCAGTCTTCAACCAATCGTTGGGTGGATTCACGTGCAACATACGCATATAGCTGTTGCATTTGCTCGCCTGAATTTTTTATTGTTTTCAGGTTTAAAAACAATAAATAATTCCAGAGGGCGAATGCGAGAGCTATACACTTGTTTTTCTTAAATTACGGCAATTCAAGACGTGTTAGGCACTCAGTGATAGCTATATCTAGTAGTAATATTTTTGAACACTGAGACTGGAATACAGTCGAACCTCAATATAATGAAGGGCCAAGGGCCGGCAAAATTTGTTTGCTAAAACAATGTTTCGTTATATCAAAGTTCTTTGTTATATATCTAGAGGTCTGTTATATCGGTTGTGTCTGTTATATTGGTTATGTTTGTTTTTAGTTGACAATAATACTAATTCTTCCTTTGGACAGAAAGTTAAAACCAGGTGCATAATTCAAGAAAGTGTAAATAGTTTTTTTTACCAAAAAGGGGTTGAGTATTTGGTAGTCAAGACCATTTTTAGATGTATCACTCTCCATTTTTATAGTAATGCTCCTCAATTTATTGTTTTTATTTCAGGGAGGATTTATGATTTTAGGAAAAAACGCATATCTAATAACTGCTTTTTTTCACTTAGGCTGATATTGTTGGTGTCAATGAAATTTTCAGAGATCTTGCGACTATGGTTTATGAACAAGGCGATATGATAGGTACAAGAAGCTTGTTTACTTCTTTTTCTTTAATATTGTTCATTTTTGTCACTGTTATCAAACAATTTGTTAATATATTTTATAGATAGCATTGAGGCAAATGTAGACAGCACTGCAGTTCATGTTGAAGATGCCAATGTTCAGTTACACAAAGCTAGTAATTATCAGGTATGTACTTTTGCTTCATTTTAATTTGTTCCATGTTACAAGTTGCATATTAACTACAAACAAATTCTGGTTACCACCCCTATTTTTCTTGGTTTATTAATAGTCAACAATGCCCTTGTAGCAGTGCTGTATAATTTGTCCTGATATTATGATGGTACATACTACACTGTGAGACACAAAGATCATCAGAAACTAAATTGGGACTCTCGTGAGAATGTAACTTAGACAGAGGCAAACCTAAGTATGTGCACATTTGGTAGTGCGATTTTTAGGGTGTTAGGGTGTACCTTTTAGAGCTTCATGCCAGAAAATGTCATTATTAGATAGCAATGTTCATCACTCAACTGCTTTTCATTTTTTTTTTCGAGGTTTTGTTAGAGTAAATTCTGACAAGCAGTATGGCCTTAAAACAGCAACATAAGTCAAATGAAATGGCCACAAATGACATAAAGATGGATTAAAAATGCCACAGCAGTAAGAACAATCACAAATACACAAGTGAAATATGGATAATATTATTACATGGCTTCCTCCTCAAATGCGAAACAAAAGGTTTAAAATTGAGACCAGGGACACACTTACCCCCACCCTAAGAGGAACTCTTTTCTGCCATGTGATCTCTTGATCGAGGGATGTGCAGAGTGGTGTACCTCTTTTGTGTGCAAATGAGTTTACTCCATACCTACAAAAACTACCTTCAGCGCAAAAGCATTATATAGCTGTGTGGAAACTTCAAACGATCTTGATTTAGTGAAATGTTTTACAAGTAATATAATTATTATTTCAGCATCTTGTGCAAAATGTAGTGCAGATATAACAACTTAAGTAAATGAGCAGTGCCTGTTGATGATTCTAAGTCAGATATATTACTACTATTAAATTTGGTCCATCTTTCATCTTTCTGTTAACAGAAAGCAGCAAGAAAGAAAATGTGTTGTATCCTGGTGATTTTAGTGGTGGTTGCTGCTGCATTGGGTCTCATTATTTACTTTGCTACAAAGTAAATGAACCATCCAACATGGAATTACTCAGACATATAATTGTCAAAAAAAGTAGAAAAGTATTCATAGTAGAATATTGATAACTTAACTGTAACATCTTGTACCTCTTTCTTATTGCTGGTATTGACTGACTTAAACATCTAGATCTCAATATCCAGTCAATAGGAACCCTTAGATTGGACTATAGGTAACAAGATTTTCTCAGTACAAGTACAAGTTTTCATATGAAAGTAGTGTTAAACTCTTTTTTTTTTAATTATTTTATCTTATTTTGAGATGAGGCTGAGGTAGGACTGAACATAAGTCTCAAAATGTTCCTTAGATTTGTTAAATTGCATGTAGTAATAATAAGGCCTTGTTAGGGTAAAATTTCCAACGAGTGGCATGGCCTTGAAACAGTGACGTAACACTAGATGAAATGCCAAAAAATAGCATAAAGAGGGGTTTAATACCAAATGGGGCATGGCCTAATCGTTAAAACGCAAAATGGCCATATTTGAAATTCAATTACTAAGGCTCTTTTATTCCTGTCTGTTTTAGAGGGGTATCTAAGGGTCTTATAAAGCTTGTGCCGAGCCCAGATTGGTCTCAGACGAGTATCCTTGCCCCTTTCACATGGGGGAAGTTCCCTTGGGACTTACACTGCAAACCGGTCGTTTCGATACAAACTCAAGCAGTGAAATTGTCCAAAAATTTTGTTCACTTCAAGTATAGTTTGCCAGTGAACAAGAAAAACATTTTGGGTGAATGTCTTCGTTCTTTAAGCAAAGTACGTGTAACTAATTACACCTTGAATGAGTAAACTTGTCTCGAAACTATTTGTAACGAAACAACTTAATGTCGAAACGACCAGTAACCCTTACACTCAGCTATAGGAACACTAGTAGACTCCTTTCATCATTACAGATAAGTTTCGAGTATGATATTTTATAGTTAATTAACAATACTACATGTAATACATTAGGGGCTACAATTTAGCGTGGTTTTTGAGTTTCACTCAAAGTTAGTACATTAGGAACCCACATATAATTTTGGTGCTTAAAAGTACCAAACTAATGGGTGTATTAAATTTAGAGCATTGCCCACGTGTTCACTGGATAGCGATTTCCCCGGTGGATAGCGAAACAACTGGGGCCAGGATTTTATAGGAATTCATAAATGATGATGTTGTATGTTAGCGGCCTCGAAATTACTTATTGCTGTTGTTGTTGTTGTTTGTCTGTTATTTTTATAGTTAATCCATAAAATGTAGTGGGTAAAACGATCAGGTGAACCCTAGACCAACTTGTTTGAAGTCAAGCAGCAGTTCGAATTTAATGATTTCCATTGGTATCAGTTGTGCAGATGAGGCCTAATATACCTTATTTGGGAAAGTTATTGCTAACTGTCCCGTCTTTTATTAAAAAACTAATATCAAAGTTCACACCTTATCAAACGCCTGTTTTGGGTATGTGTTATCCATTTTATATATACAATGTATCGATACTCTGTAAAACCGAGAAAACCAGTAAGATATAAGGGGAACACCTTTGAGAGATTTTCATCGATAGAAGTTAGAAAGTTGTGTAAATAAGGGTTTAAAATTCTGTTACGTCTAACTTAGAGTTAAAGATGGGGTAGAGATGATCTTGTACACAAGCGTTGTCTGAAGAAACTTACCGGTATATCATTGTTTTAGTTGTTAGACAAATGTTAATGGAAATTAATTTTAATTTTCCTGCAAAGAAATGCTCTGTTTATAATAAAATGTCTTCATATTCGGACCAGCATTTCATTTGCTGTTTTTTACTCCTTGTCTAAGCAATAAAGGCACCCTAGTATCGAAAAAGTGCTTTGCTCTCTTGCCCGTCTATCACCCTTTAACATCATCACCGTATGTGCTGCGCAATACTCCTTTGAAAGAAGTTATGTTTCAGAAATACCTGGTCCAAGTTAGAGGCTGGAAAGGGACAAAAAAAATGCATGAGAGGATGGGGGTGGGGTTCTCTCGCGCGTACAGTTTCTTGATTGTGTTCATTATCGGTAATTATAGTCACCACCCAACATCAACATCCTCCTTCTCCTCATCATCTTCATCATCATCCTACGGGCTTGCTGGTAAGTACAACTTTCCCTAGGCCCATTTTCCCTGGGTACTCAACAACTGACAGATTTCCCTACCCTTTCATATACTTCAATAAGGGAAATTCCTTTTATACACCTCAATCGTGAAATAGGGAACCCCTTCTGGGCGGAGCCTCCCTGTATAATAAAGCGAATCTTTATTTCCTTCTGCCCTCGATTTCTCATTTAAAACCAACCAAAGTGTGAAAAAGGGTATAGATTTCGACCTACATGTACTCCAGTACCTTGATGTTAAATTGAGCTCCTGGTGTTGTTCTATGGAAGCCACAAAGGCCGATGAGAACCGTCCTAATCTCCTCGCAGTTTCACTGCCCTCGCCCACCTTGGCTTGTTTGCGTGCCCGACCAAAATCGCCATTACGCAGGTATTACGCCCCCTTCTCCGTCCCCTTTGACTTGAATGTTTGGAAATTGCGGTTCACGCACCCAAAGAAAATGCCCGTAAAGAAATATCCGTATGCGCCAACACTGGTCTACTTTGCCGATAAGCATCTTTGGCACAGTAGGCAGCGGAGCAGGGGGGCAGGAGTGTTTAGCCCCTCCCCCCAACCAAAATTTAGCGAGGGCATGCAAATCCCCCTGACGCTTTGGTGCTGAAAAACAGTTTTACCGATGTATTTGACATCGGCGACTTCAGGGCGCATATTTTCTGCCCTCAGACAATTCAAGAGCTACCTAAGAAGCACCATGAAGCAGGACCCGCCGGAACACCTACCTACTGACCCATTGTCACAAATCGATTACGGACACAATAGACAGTGAAGATTACAAAGAGGTTACCTTGCGTGGCAGGCGTTCGAAAGGGAAGGGGGAGGGAATTAGGGCGCGAGACCGTGCGAGACCGCGCGCCCAAATTCCCCATTCCCCTTCCCCTTTTAACGCCTGCCACGCAGGCTACAAAGAGGTTGGATCCTCCGTTAGACTACTAACAGTCCCTCTTTTTCTGTAGTCCGTCGAGCAAAACGCGAGACACGCATTTTTGCCACTTCTTTCTTGGGTAACCTGTGACTCTGTCCTTTTTTGGTATTACACGTGACTTGTTCAGCACGTTGGAATTTCCCGCGAGGTTTTAAAAACATGGCGGACCATGCGGTCGAGGAGAATTCAGCTGTGTTACCGAACGCAACAGTTCTCTTCGAAGCTCAGTCGCCCTGCACTCAGTATAACAACGACGAAAATAGTCCTCTAAGTCCCGGAGAAATTCGAATGATGAGAAATCACCCTAAAGTTGCGTCTGTGCTCTTCTCTCCCGCGCGGAAAACGCGAGGGGAAGGAAAAATTAAACCAAAGTCTTTCTCTTCGGCTCTGTATTCTTCACCCACGAGGAAAACGGTATGTTCGTTGAATCCTGTTCGTTACGTTTTACTCTCTTTTTGTTTAGGAAGCTTTGGATGGTTGTTCTCATGCTTCCTGCTGAATAAAGCCAAGTTTTTTTTCACTTTGTGGCAGAAACTACAAGGACTCCAAAAGGAGACGCGAAAAACACTTCAAGTTCTTCAACCGACGGCTAGCGGCGATGGTACACTTGTGGGAAGTCGTGGAGTGATAAGACACAAGGAAACGGTGAGGGTCAGTTTTATGCATGGGAGCTTCAGAAAAGTACTTTCAAGGTCGAAGTTTGAAAACCTCAAAGCCAGTTTGAAACTTCAGAATACCCCGCGATAACAATCGGAGAAACGCTGTAACATATTAAAAGCACAAGGCGTAACACAATAGGCACTCCTGTTGTTTAACGAGATGCAAATAAGTGGCGGGATACTGCCTAAATTTTCGGTGCCCAGTAGTAAATTTTAAATTTTAATGACCCGGACAAGCCCACTTTCCGGCCATGAAAGTGGAAGATACAGAAGAAGAGCAATGATTTTTAATTTTTTTACCCAGGACCTCTACAATACTACTGTAGTCGCAACAGATAAAGTTTCCTGTTGTGCTTTGGACCACTTCGTGGGTTATCAACTTGTTATTTTTCCATTCATTAGCCCTTCTAGTCTGCCTTGTCCCAGTCAAGGGATAAATATGGAACAATAATATCCATTTACAGAATGGATGTGAAACAAAGCCAACTCATTCTACTCCTTTATACTAAGCCCCCGGGGTACTCCCATACATTACCTATACGGGTATGTGCCGCCCAACGGGGGCGTGATTTTGAAGCTCCTGATTTAGAACGGGGTATCCATTTCAGAAGCGTTTTCTAGAAAGGGGTATAAAAAATTCTGGATCATGGCTTTATCTTCTGCTTAAAATTGTTGCTGATTATGAAGAAGCATTTATTTGATGTATAAGTCGAGCAAATAAAGAAATATCTTATTTAGATAACAGGGCTATTTCAATTTACAAACTTTCTAGAACGGAGTATAAACAATTGGCCCATTTTTAGTACGGGGTATCAGTTTTAGGGCGAATTCTAGAACGGGGTATAAAAAATTGGCCCATTTCTAGAACGGGGTATCAATTTTAGGGGAAATTTTTTTAGAACGGGGTGCCAATTTGGAGTCCCAGGCGGCACATGCCCACCCAAAAAATACCCAAGTGCCCAAAAAATAGTGCCCAAAAATACCCAAATTGTAGTTAATTAACCATAATTTTACTTTTTTCCCTTACCTTTCTCATACCAATTTGAAAGAAATCAAAGAAGAATAAGACTCCTGTGTTGCAACTCAAGCAACAGAAGCTCAAGATTCCAGCATCAGGCAGCAGTACTTCAACATGTACAGATTCATCTGATTCAGACACAGCAGGGAGTTCAGTAAAGAAGGTACAATCAAACAAAACTGAAATTCAGCAAGATGCACATGCACACCACTAGGCTTTTTGACATATTCTTGTCTGAACCCTATGCTACACCATTGAGTGCTAGCAGGGACAAAACAGCCGTCTGTGTATGGTTGTGTGCCTGTGTTTTGTACTGGCCATACTGCAGAATTGTCGTAGCATGCTTTTTTGTAGAATTTTGTTTTGCACTGGTATATTGAGACACTCCAATCAATGAACAACTCTTTCAGCATTTTCATTGATGACAAAATAAAGTTTTTAATGACAAAATGGCTGTTCATAAGACAATTTGATTTTAGGGTATTGTTTTGCACTGTGGACAAATATTGAGCTCAGAACATCCCCCCACCTTAATCAATCACAATTCTCCTTCTGAACAGCAATTTTTATTGAACATTGAAGAAGGAAAAGGGACAAAAGAGATGGTTCAAGCTAAAATTTGAAAAATATAATGTTGATAATAACTTATTTTTTTTTACCTTTCATTGTTGTAACAGTTTTGTCAATTTTTTTGCCATCACTTAAAACACTGATTTTGCATGAAGAGAATCATCTCAAATTTTGAATGAAAAAATCAAGAATTAATAATATTTGCGTATAACCAGCCTTGAGTTGAAACATTTTTGTTTCTAGGACACAAAAAAGTTACAAAGTGATGTGAATGAAGAAGCAATATCCTTGATGGTTTCAGGTAGTAGAATTTTTCAAAATTAACTGTTTTGACCACCTCTAGTTTAAGCTTGGACACTTTCATATGGTCTTTGTTTTTGAGAAAAAGAGTTTGTCTTTGAAAATTGCCAGCTCCATGCCTTTTTGTCAGGCACCAAATCCTGTTTTTGCAAAGCTGCAGCAAGCACAACAATTCAGGGAATACAGTGGTCATGTTCCAATACTCTTTCCAGGTGCACTTATTTAGTCACCTGAGTAGCCCCTATAGATTTTCACACCACCCTTCAACCCTCGGTTTGTTGTAGAAAAAAGTGAAAATCAACGAAGTTTACCCATTTAACTGTGCTCCCATCTTGTGCATAGAGTCATCAACATGTACTCTGAACCATTTTTAACTGTGAATATGTGCATGCAGATCCAGCACCTGAGAGATACTGGGAGCTGCTCGCAGAGGAAAGAAGGCTGGCTTTGCAAGAAGCACTGGAGGAAAATGAGAGGGTTAGTTTCTTTGTACCATGATGCTTTTACTTTAACAACAGAAAAGTCGTTGGTCTTTGTTGCATGAATTTAAAAGACTTGAGTTGTGTTTGTTTTGACCAGCTTTACAAAGAGATGGAAGAGCTTAAAGAACGAAACAAAACCTTGCAAGAAATAGCTGGCCAGGCAGAATATTTTGCTTCCCTCTACCAGGTACATGCAGTAATAATGCAGAAGTCAGTTTTAGCTGATTAAAAATACCTTAAATGAACAACCCTAGGATCAATATTGAAGATGCAGTAATACTGAAGTTTTGGTTGGTATGTTACCTTATTGTTTTTTTGTTGTGTTTTTAAACCTCCAGTAGCTCTTTCACCCTGTGAGTAGAGCCTTATTTTGTCTACTTGAGTGAGGAGGATTAAAGGAGGCTCTGCCTGAATAAGATCAAACCTTTGAGGTTGAGGCAGCCCAAACTTCTGGACTGGTCAGTCTTGTTCTATCTCGTCAGACTGGTTTTTTTGAGTGTGAGCATCCATTTATTGATAAACCGCTGGAGCAAGCACAAGGCTGTTACGGCTGGGTTCAAATCTATTAGTATATCAGTAACAACATCTTGTGCATGCTCAACAACTTGATCTTACTCGCTTCATGCAGTCTTTTTTCGAGTATGGCAAATTGAGCAAGCGAAGGAAAGGCTCTGCTGACAGGGTGTAGCTCTTTTCGTCATCTAAATATCCTAATTTTGGTCATTAGAAACTAGATTCAAATAAGCTGATGCCTTGTGAAGGGATGTATGCTCACTATAGGATTAAACCTAAGATTGAGAACTTAAAAGAAATGCATTTTAATAAGTAATATTATTATATTAAACTATTACAGCTGACATGTTTTGGCATCACTAATCAGGTTTGTAATGGCAGTGTAAAACATTCTTTGTCTGTTTTCTCAGCCTAAGTTGCACTGCACTATTTCTTCATATTTTAGATGGTCATGGAGGGTGAAGTTCCTGACACAGAATCTAGTGAGGCAACTGATGATGAAGGTGTAGCGGCTGCCTGGTAAATGTAGGCACAGAAAATAACATTAATATGTTCAAACTGTTCCTTCATTCTTCTATCATCAATGCAGGTTTTACTCAAAATTATAAAGAGCTGTGAGGCACATGGAAATGACATTAAAAATAATAAATGCAATGCAATTTGCAAAAATAAGTTGTCTTGGTGGGTCCCAAGTTTGCTAACTCTTTTATTTGTTGAGAAACAAACTAAGATTGTCAGACAAAGGAATCAAACTCCATTTCTCGTGACACCATTAAGTTTTCCTTGTCTTCATGGAAGATTATGACCATTAATCATATTGATACCAGTCCCAATTTCCTGGAATGTTGCTTTAAAATCCCAGGCTGGAATACTACAAACAGTCCATTTTAATGTCAGCTGTCCTTGGGTGTTAAGACATCATTTTACACTGTCTTGTACCTGAACAAAATGATATTTATGTTTAATTCTTTTTAAATGCATTTTTACCGGTAACTCAATCTGTTGAAATTGAGTTTAATCTTAGATATCAATTTTAATTAGGTTCTGGTAATGGAAAGAATTTTGCAACCAAGCATCTGAATCTTGTCCCTCTTTTTTTTTTTTTTTTTTTTGCTTACTTGTCTTATTGCAGCATTAACCTTGACCAACCATCAAATAAATAACTTGGAGACCATGTCAAGTCCTTTTAGATGAAGAATCAAACCTTATGATCAGATGTTGTAGTGACTCCTTTCTTTGTTGATGGCTATTGTTGTAAGTTGTAAACATTCTTTTCATTTTATAAAAATATTATTTTACACTTTTCCGGTAACAAGTGTGTATAGCTGGATTTACTAGTATACTGCCTCATCCTTGTTTTTTGTTAATTTTTATTGCTATATAGACCTTCTCATATTCCGTAACAGTGTCTGTATGGGAGCACAATGAATAAAGGCTCAGCCTTAAGTTGATATTTTCATACAAATCATTGTAGTTTAGTCACACCAAGTTTCAAGTTGGTGCCTTTGAGGGAAAAGGTCTTTTACATTGTGTATATTCCTAACTGAAATATGCAATTTTATATTTTATTATTATTTCAGTGATTGTCTTAAATAGAAATATCCTTTAAACTTTTGGTATAATTTTTCTCGACAAAGAAAGGAAATACAACTTGAAGCTTTTAAATTTTGCCAGTGATTTTTGGAAGGGAATCACGTCCTGGATACATGACCGGTGATTGCAATTGAGTATTCCTTTAATTGTTTTTAGGCACACGTGCATGTGGTGTCTCTTGATAAAAGTATAGCATTGACAGTCTTTTCCCTGAGAAAACAAGTCTTTTTTAGTTTTTCAAGAAAATATCTGCCTGAATGAATGAAAAGTAGCCATGTGCAAGTAGCCACATAACTCAAGCTTTGAATATGGCTGTATTTTAATTTAGTGCATTAATTTAGACTAACTTGTAACTGCCTGAATTTTGGTTTGTTAATAATTTCTGATGTTATTTCCCAACTAAAAAACTGTAATAATTCTGTAAATAGTCCATAAAGGTTAAAAGAACATTTATTTCATTATTATTTATTAAAAGACTGATTGATCCAAGATGCTATATATCCGTTAAATTCCTTTATAGTCATAATTTATTAAACATTTTTTTACACTTTGTCATCTACATGCTGGAGTGTGACTATGTACATTATACCTTACATAAGTGAAAGTTTAGTTCATGCAGGAGGGGTAGTTGTTCACAAAATCTCCTATTTTCCTGGCTGTGACACACTAAAAACCCCAATAAAATCCACCTGATTTGAACTGCATTTTTTTCCTACCTTTAATGCAAAGAGACACATAGAAACCAAATTTTGTTCTGGTGTTTATATGGTAGAAGTTGATTGTATGGTAGCAATGTAACTATTGGAAGGGGAAACTGTTTTCAATAATTCATTAAAAAAACACTAATATTTTATTAGTTGCATAACAGTTCCTATTTCAGTTAACCTCAAAATCTACTTAGGATTTGTTTCGATGGAAATTTGCAAATTTTTCAAATTAAGCATTTTAAGTTAACTTGTGTGCAATAATAATCATTAGTGTCAAAACAAGGTTGTACGATTCCAGGTCTAAGTGGCCTGTAAATAATCCATTTAGTACCAAGAACCAACATTTTAAATAGCTGTACCAGGAATAAGGAACAAAATACAGCAAATCTATTCCATTGATCAGGTTTATGCACTAAAGAAAGACCAAGACATTTCCACAACTAAAATAATAGTATTTTGATTTATTTACAGTGTACATAATAATAAATCTGTCCTATGTTGATATTTTGCATGATTGCATGTCTGTTTCAAATCAAATCAATCCCCTGGCCAGTATGGTTTTCAACACTCTTGTACAAAGTAAATTTAAGGCTGTGAGCAGCATACCATGCCGTCAAGATTGAGTAATCATTTATTAATGATCGTTAATTAACTAGTTACGGAGGTGTCAAATGTCTTATATAAACGAGCGCACATTCTTAACCGGTCATCTTTTGTTAGATCCGGAGGCGACGCGTAACCTCTTGGCATGTGATAACTCCGCGGCTGTTACGGTCATCTCATCCAATGCATCAAAAGATCCTTTTATGCAGCGCTGCCTACGCCAGTTATGGTTCACCTCTGCTCTCTTTGACTTTGAAGTCCGCGCGCTCCATGTTCCTGGCACACACAATCAGTTTGCTGATTGTCTTAGTCGCTGGCACTCCGATCCTTCAGCTCGCGACAGCTTTTATCGCTTTTGTAGTGACTTTAATCAAGTTTTCTATTTTCAAGATGTTGACTCTGCTTGTTTTTCTTTCGATGTTGCGTGACACTCCTTTATTTAGTTTTGTTTTTCTCTTGTAGACCTCCCTCCGGGATCAGGTCAGCATTCCCGGTCAGATGTTTCTATCGTCACATTGCAGTCTTTCGTCTCACGTCTCATCTCCTGTGCACACGCAACATCGACACAGAAGAATATAGCTGCTCATATTCGTAGTTATCGGACTTTTTGTGACCTGAGGGCTCTTCAGTCCTTTCCTATTAGTGTTAAATCGATTAGCTTGTATGTAGCATATTTAGTCGCGCAGAAACGGGCTTACGGTACCGTGCTTAACCATATTAGTAGTCTTAAACACGCTCATCAACTTGCCGGGTCTGAACTCACTTGGAGTTCCGATTACCGCTTTCAGCTTTTATTACGAGGCGCCAAGCGTTTTCTGGGTGCGGCCGTTTCTCGTAAATCGGCCATGACACCTTCAATTTTGCATGCCGCGTTTGATCTTTTCAATTTTTCTTTACCGCTACATGCGGCTATGTGGGCTCTGTTTTTAGTTGCTTTCTTCACCTTTTTGCGTAAATCCAATCTAGTACTCGATAATCCGCGGCAAATCTCCCCCAAGGTTATCACGCGGGCAGATTTGGTTTTCACGTCTTCGGGCGCAAATATCCATGTTTCAGCCACGAAGACCATTCAGTGTCAGCAACGCTCTCTTATTTTGCCAATTCCCGTGATTCCTGGCTCTCGCCTTTGTCCGATTTCGGCTTTGCGACGCCATTTCGCGCTCAACCCGGGCCCCGTGTCTGCCCCCCTTTTTTCAGTTTCCTCCGGGTCGGGTTTAGTACCAATTACTTACAAGCAATTTTGCGCTTTTCTTTCGCGGGTTATTTCTACGCTCAATTTAGATCCGTCCCTTTACTCTCCTCATAGTTTTCGAAGGGGTGGGGCGACTTTCGCATTTGATTGCCATATTCCATCCGAAATAATCAAACTGCAGGGAGACTGGAAGAGCGACGCTTATCTTGTTTATTTAGAATTATCTCAGACACAAAAACAGCAGGCAGCCAAGGCTATGGCCCTAACGCTTCAGTCTATGTTTTCCGACTAAGTTTTATTATCGACTTATGCCTTAGTCTTCTTTCAACCCACTACCAACATTCTCACTCTAGTTTGGGCACTTTGGCGTCTTGGTTTATTGTCAAGCTATCGGTCAGCTTTCTCCGCTTGGTTCAATAAACTTATTTTGCCCAAACTCTCGTGTCGTCTTGGTAACGTGGGTTGATTGAGTAATCATTTATTAATGATCGTTAATTAACTAGTTACGGAGGTGTCAAATGTCTTATATAAACGAGCGCACATTCTTAACCGGTCATCTTTTGTTAGATCCGGAGGCGACGCGTAACCTCTTGCCCACCTCTCCCCCCCTTATATCTCAGTATTCTTGTTGAGTTTATTACCATATTGTCCCTTCGTTTCATTTAATTTAATCTAGTTGCGTCTTGGTT